GCATGAATTTGGTTGAAAGGCAGGGAAGGTTACCCTTATGCAATAAGGGTTAACATGATAATATACCGACGAAATATCTGGAGATGTGTGTTGACGTCCTTTTTTTAAATACTGACGGCGAAGTCGTGTTGTCAAAACGAGGTCATCGGGTGGAGGTGGATTGGTCCCGCCTGGCTTCAGGGTGTCGCCACAGCCATAGCATCGCGTGACTTTACTGTCGAGGAAAGATAATCTGGCAAACACTAAAATTCCTGGTAAGGGCTTTGGACGCTTTGGGGTTGGAGGCTGTCCGTTGGCTTGCTGGTAAGGTTGATTAGATGAGATTGGAGGGACTAGTGGAGTCCGAGGCACGTTGAAACTGTTACCCAGCTGAATGTGAGGCAAAGGCGACACTGGCGGCCAAGGTGGGGTGTTTTGGTCAATTGCAGATGGGCATGAATCATTGACGGGTGCGGATGTAGGCTGCAATACCCGATTGCGAACAATGTTCCTATCAGTTGAGGATTTATTGCTTCCACCTTTCCGCTTCCTTGTTCCGGTTTTTGACCAGCATTGTTAGGCATGTTCACGTTTGCAAGGCCTGACAGATTAGGAGAACGCTTTCTGCTTTTGAACCATTTAAGGAACTCCTTTAAAGCCCCCTCTTTCTCCGCTACTGCTAGGGTGTGTGAACACAAACTGTACGTGGACCAGCTTACACACCCTTTATCACACTGCACCTTGCCAGTTTTGGGATAAACAAGGACAGTGTGAGGCTCACGTGATGTTTGGCTGTGAACCATGTATCTGATTGGGCATGAGGGGTCACCTCCTTCACCAGTTGGCACTTTCCACAGCGCGGACGGATCTTCCACTGTCGTAGCAGCCTTGCTGAACATCCCCTTTAGCACTGGGTAGGGAATATCAATAATCTGGGCATTTTCAGCAGTTATGGATAACGTTGTATCTGTGGCGGCTCCTTGTTCTTCTGAATCTTCGTTTCGTAACCTTGACATGGATGATGAGAAGAATTTCTTCTTCAGGGCGTCCTTCTGCTTGTGACTCATTCTATAGAAGCCCTTCGCGTCGATCCCAAGGAAGGAGAAATCTTCAGTTAATCGGTATTCCCCTCGACCAATGACTGCGAGGAACTGCTCGTCTTGTTGCCTCTTAACTTCGCCTCTTATTCGCTCTATGGAAGGGGGAAGCCCGTCTGGTTTCTTTGCAAGCTTGGCATCTTCGTCCGCTTTCACTAATCTGTTCATACTTTCACTTGCGTTTTGTGTATATACCTTGGGCGGAAACCCAAGGCCACACATCGAGCGAATGTCGGCCGTTGCACTTTCCCGAATAACTTCCGCGTTCTCTTTTAAAAAATACGTTGTAAATTGATCACCATTCTTGTGCAAGCCTGGCCATTTTCGTTTAACATTGTTCAATGCAATGTCGAACTCGGCACCTGAAGTGCAGTCAACTAGTCCACCCTCAGTCACTTCTCCAAGTACCTTTCCAAAAATATCACAGACAATTTCGTCGGCCACACTTCCTGATATTCCAAGCTCACTCAGTTTTCGTTTGACATTGTCCCTCAGGTGAATGTCACAACGCAAATGCTTTGCGTCTACAAAGACTTGCGACATGGCCTTAAAGAGGTTTTCCTCTCCATCTGTTCCGTAGGCTAGAACACCACTAGTGTCTTTGTTGTACTTTGTCATTAGGAGAGGCAAAGTCTTGTATGATGTTAGAAGCTTTTGTTTGTGCAAAATGCCGGGTCCTATGCAGACAGGGTGGACTCCCTTGTTAGTAGTTAACATCAGGTTGCGATAGGTGGTAAAGGTGTAGTAATAGTCGGCAATCTGAAAAGTACAGTCTACTCCCAAATAATAGGCTCTTGGTGCGTGTAATAATGCGTGACAAATTTTGGCCTTCCCTTAACTGGGGCTCCTTCGGTACCTTTTCGGGCCTGTAAAACTGTTTTGGGCTTGCTCAATTGCATTTAAGATATCGATGGTGTGTTAGTTTTGAAAGTAACACAACAAACTATAACCTAGTCCCGAAACAAAATAGACTGGTTTGCAAGCTACGACCCCCCGAGCTACAACCCAGCGGGGGGATGTGTACTCGAAACGTTCATGACGGGGGTCTGACTTTATTTCTTTTATTTTATTTTTTTTAGGGGGATTAGAAATGTGGGGTTAGAAATGTGGACTCCCGGAATTTTTTTACAAATTTTGAGTCCGCGTTTTACAAATTTTTGAGTCCGCGTTTTACAAATTTTTGAGTCCGCGTTTTACAAATTTTGAGTCCGCGTTTTACAAATTTTGAGTCCGCGTTTTACAAATTTTGAGTCCGCGTTTTACAAGTCCGCGTTTTACTAGTCCAGTCCAGTCCAGTCCAGTCCAGTCCGCGAAATACAGTATGCCTTTCACAAGTGGACTAGTAAATAAAACATGAGTGTTTTAAGCGCGCTGGTGAGGTTAACAAAGGAAACTCCGAAAAGATTGATGAAGTTGACCAAGAAAGCAACAAAGGAGGAGAACAGACTGAAAATCAAACAGCTGGAGCATTCGAAGCAAGCGACGCCACGATGGCTTAAGGAGTTTCCATGGCTGCAATACAAGGAAGAACAGAGTCTTAATTTTGTTATGTTTCTACTATGGATAGTGGAAAATATGATTCTTTCATTTTTGGAAAGTAAAATTTTACTATGGAAAGTAAATTTTCATATCTATTTTCCACAGTGGCAAGTTATGTCAAAAGTTAGTGTCGAGCCCTGCTTTGTCACCAAGAGTAACTAATCAGTCTACCTAACTATTTAAAACAGTACATAAATCTTGAACAGGTTTTCAGTAGGATCATAGTTACTACTAACTTCATGAATTAATTTTTTTTTTAACTCCATCCAAAATTCCCACGTGCACGAGCCAAGGAAACTCGTCAAAAATTTACAGCATTTGAATATTACCACAGAGAAAAACCTAACCTACTAACCTCAAATCAGATTCGGTGTCTTGAAATACATTGTCTTAACGTTCTGCTGACATAGCATAGAAGCATCAGCAGCGTTTGCTTTCTAGGTTTCTAGGCTCGTTGCGGGCACAAAACTTACTAGATTTGCTACAGTAATGCACCGCGGGCTATGAAACATGGATCATGCATCATTCTTCTCTGAAGCAACCTTAATTGAAATAGGTGTGTACAGTTTTGTTCAGTTGTACATGTAAATATTCAATGATTTGTGGCAATTGTTCCGAAACTCAGCACTTTTAAATATTCTTTCTGATCCTGGGCTGTAGGAAATAACCTTTTAAGGTGAACGATAAACATAATGTTTTTTTACTGTATCTTCTGGATAGGCATTATTCAATGACAAATAACACCCGTAGCCAGATGACTTTTTCAGCGCGAAAATACCTTCAACTTTGCTGGAGGGAGGGGTGGGGGGTGACATCATTGTTTTAAGCACTTTTTGGAATACACATATTTTTCGAGATTGGTAAAGGTCATTATTAGGTTACTACAACCATTTTTTTTGTTTTTTCTTTCATCAGGATTTATTTATTGATTTTTTTAACCTCTTGAATCTTTATCCCGTTACTCGTTTTCTCGTTACTCCGTTACTTTGTTACTCTGTTTAGTAACACCCCATTTTTTGTACATTTGGCGTATACATTCATGATTTTTTCCTACATTTTTCGTCATGCACCTATCGATGGTGTGCCCCAGGATGGGGGGGTGGGCAACCCAGGGAAAATTTGACATTGCCAGTTTTCAAATGTCAATTTCCCCACCCTTGGATCTCCATTTTGAGTCAAATTCCCACCACTGGGGCAAACTAATAGGCACTTGCTGCTACCTTTATTGCAGCACAAAGTGGCCCCAGAGAGTAAATGGTACCCAAAAACATTGTGCATTTCCCCAAGTGTAGAAGACATATTCCAGCTGGATATCTTGCGCTGCTGACAATTTAACACACATGCTATACTCCCGAAAGTACCTTTGAATTGTTTCACACAGTGTTTACAGCAATGCAAAATGTACAATGCCAGAACATGACATGCCAGCATCAAGGGGGGTTAATGTTTAAGGGCTGGTGTTCTGTACATGTGGTCCAGAATTTCATTTAATTGGACATTTTGAATATACCAGCAAATCTAACATTTCATTTTTTGAGGTCTGGGGTGCCGGATCGCCGGTACATCCGTCCTTCCGTCCTCCCCGACGCTTGGGACGTTTCGCGGGAGAGAAACGTCCCAAGCGGCGAGTAGCGAGGAGAGTCGTAGCCTGCGTAGCTGGCGGGATTCTTGTGCCCAGGATACGTACTTTCTCGGCGGCGGATCGAGCCGCGAGGAAAAATCCGTCTCAACATTTGATTGACGTGTTATCTGTTATCAGTTGATAAGAAACTCCCCTTGACTTGCTCCCAATCTTCACGCGATTCCACCGCCAAAAGAACTACAGCACTCGCCCGCCAATCCCGCCAGCTATAGGGGAGAGACGGCTGTATTCTCGGCTAGTAAAAAATAAAGAAGATTAAAAGTTTCGGCTCTGATTTTTTTTCGGGCTGCTTTTCTTTAAGAACCATACTTTGCAAAGATATCTTCAATAACGATTGATTAATGTCAAGAGAAAGAGTGATAGCCACAAACAGATCAACTGAGGGGATCTGAGGGGCCTTCCGAGTTCTCTAACCGGAGAAACAGTTCAAAGGGTATTAAAGCCCATGAAATATGGAGAACGGGCACACGCTTGTCCTATTCCCTCGCAGCCAGCGCCGTTTTTAAATTTTATTTCATTTAATTTTTGTTATCACTTTTTTTACTGCGCCTCCGCTACATTAGCTGCGCACAGGGCGCCACAAACAGGGCACTATTGTGTAAAGATTCTCCAGGTGTCATGTTCCTCGACAAAGACTCTCTTTCCTGTTTCTGTCACTTGCGGGCAGCCAGCATTTTACTGACAAAGCCATGCTCTTTCAAGGACCTAAGAATTCGTTTTGACATTGACAAGATCTCGAAAACATGACCGTCTGGAAAGCTACCGTCGTCGTGTTTTCCATAGGACTTATAATCCACGGATTAAAGGCTCGTAAGTACTGTTTCAATGTATGATCGATTAGATCTCAAGCGTTTTCCCCCTAGACAAACTTTGAAGCTTTTTCGTATGGCGGGGCATGAATCGTAATTTTCTATTTCCATGCTTGCTGCATGGTAATCTCTTACTTTTACCTGTTTTGCCGTACGGCGCGATGAATTTTCATTGAATTTTCATTTATATGGGGTCAGCATCGTCTCCAGCTCGTGAATTTTCTGTCCTTCGCCGTTGCCCTTTGTTTATACGATCAGCTCTCTCTCTCTCTCTCTCTCTGATGTTTTTGCTTCTTTAGTAAACAAAGAATACGTGGCTGCTTGTATCAAATGATCTTTGAGTAATTTAATTGAATGTTTAAGGCACGTTCACCAAGGTTTTGTAGCGTTTTGACAACGACTTATCATTGTCGACGTTGTTTAGTATATAAATCGAGTGTTCGTGACCAAATTTCAGTCTGTGTTAGTTGTTTTTTTACCGCTTATGAAACAATGGAAATGCTGTAAATATTTAAGTAGTGAAAATTCTAAAAAAATATGCAATAAAATTTGCGTCTTGCACGCTCCAAAATCTCGGCAAGTTTACAAGTGTGACCTGATGCGACGTGACCTATCACGCAACACTAAATCTGCAGCACTTGACTTGTCACGGGCAGTCACACTCAGAAAACAAATACAGTTGAAACTTTATTAAGGGGCCACCCTCAAGGTAGTGGCAAGTGGCCTGTTAATGGAGTTTGGCCGCTCAATGGAAGTTCGTCATAGATAAGCATAATCTTTAGCAGAAACATCACTTTAATGTGAAACAAATGTGCATCTGAAGAAGCATTATTAATACTGCTCCACAATCTGTTGTCACTTTCTATCTCTTACTGCATTTTCCTTCATCATATTCTTAAAATAAAGCCACACTAACGCACCAGTCAATGTTTAGCCTTAGGGAGGGGACCGGGGATACGTAGGGGGATTTGACAATTTACCCTATTTTCATGTCAAATTTTCTGTGATTGCCCAGGGGCCAAATGCTGGTTTCAAATAACCCTTCCCTGGGGATGAATGTATGTTTTTTATAATGTTAATGCCCCTTAAATAATTAACAATGCATACATATTGCCACACAATAAACGTTTTCTCCCTCAGGTGAACCATAGGTGAACGTCAGATGAACACGAAAGTTTTAAAGATCGATAGCCAGCAATATTACATGCAACCTTGATCACAGGTTTCTCTGGGTAAATTTCAGTAATTAAAGGGGGCGCCCAGGCTCTGAGAAAGTTGGGTTTGTAAAACTGCAACTATCTTAGAGTCTTAAGCCTGGAACAGGCTATCCCATGGTGGGCCTTGAGCTAGGTTCCATGCAGGCTCTTATCAAACATCTCCACCCTCGGGATCTTGAGTTTTCTCAAATCTTCTCACAAAAAACATTGTAACATTGCCTCTGGAAATCATGCATTGCGTGTGCAACCTGTAGGCTGTGCTTATAATTTTCCAAAATTAACTTTAGGCTCTTGGCCAATGAGAAGACAGATAATGGGTACAATGTAAACAATTAGGCTTAATTATCTTGCAGCTCTGTCTGACCCTTCTATTTTTCTGCATTTTTTTTTCGTAGCTACCAGCTACCCCTTCAATTTTTAGCAAGCACTTATACTCTTTTAGTCGATCTTACTTTTTACTTACAGGTTACTTTTTTATTTGCTTGCTTAATTGTCCTTAAAGCAAAAACTACCATTAGGTATCATTGTAACTGCCACAGTGAATGACCACAACTCTAATTTAAAAACAGTTTAATTTTTTTAAACCTTTTTTTTAATTTAAAAATACAATGTAAGGCTTTGAGTGTGTCAAGGAAATTCTTACCTCTTGAAATAATGGGTAGTGTACACGTAAAATGTGTTCTTCCATTGTCTAATATAAATAAATAGGGCTGGGAAACAAAGTAAATTTTGAATCAAACTAGATTGAATACAGTAAAACCCCGCGACTAAGAACCTGGATTTTTCCAAGTTAGCCTAAACAGGTTCTTATATAACTGGTAGTTAGCACACGTTTAGGCTATGTAGGTTCTTAAATAGTTTCTTAGTTTCCAAAGAAAACATATGAATATAACTAAGAGTATTTGGTGGTTCAGTTGACATATCTTATATTGTCTAAGTGTGCAGAAGTTTTTCATAGATTTTAGAAAATAAGAACCTGTTTCAAATTCTAGGCTAAACAGGTTCTTTAATAGAGGGGGCTTAACTGGCAAATTTTAGCCTAACAGGTTCTTACAATCCAGGTTCTTAGTCGGGGGGTTTTACTATACTGGCTTAATCTCACTGAACACTTATTTATTACAACTGGTTAAAATCTTGGTGCATGCCCTTCTTTTTTATCTTGCAGAGAACACCGTTTGTCCTAACGTCACCAAATATGGGCCTGAGTGTCCATTGGATGTGGATAATGAGTGTCTGTCAGATCAAGAGTGTTCTGCTGGACGAAAATGTTGTCCAACGCCATATGATAATGAAGCCTGCCAACTCTTATGTTTGGTACCCGTGCCGCAAAGTAAGAGGCATTTATAACAGGTTCTCCATAAAGCCTGAATTTCTAGTCACAGTGAACCCTTCGTCCGAAAGCGACCAATTAGCCTGCGATATTTTTTAATCTTTCCATATATATAATGTGGTCCAGGAGTGAAAAGGCTATGGTGGTCGCCAGTGTGCGTGCAAGCTTTCAAATTATTGCGAGCGCCGGTAGCCTGCGTGCAAACTCTCCATTTGGGGGAGTCGCGAGAAGTCACGCGAGAGCCGAACGCGAAAGGAGACGAGCGTTCTCTCGCGGTTCGCTGGGCCTGTTAGCAAGTTCTCCATTTATGGCGAGCGAATTGACCCGCAGAAGAACGCCCCTCGCACTTGCTCGAGCTTGCTCGCAGACTAGCGTCCACCGCAACCTTTTCACTCCTAGACCTGCTTACATATATGGGAAGGTTAAAAGAAATTGCCTCTTTAAATTTTAAATCTGCTAAACGGATTTCCCCATAGGGGTAGTGGTCTTTCAACCAAAATTGTGCTGACTTTTGGATGTTATTTCATTGGTATTAAGAAGCCACAAGGAAAAAAAAGAACAGCAACAACTTTCTCTGACTTCTCTGTGAAAGCCCAACACAGAAAGAGGACACTGTTTTTAACGGGTGAGAGCATCCAGAACGTAAGGGCAACTAGGTGATAGTCACGCAGATCTTTTCAGTTTTGATCTAACGAACGTTGTTGTTTTTCTTTTTCCCACAGCCAACTGCCCCGTTCCTGTAGATTTTGCCTTCGTTTTGGACGGCTCGGGGAGCATATCATCGAGTAACTGGGTCCTCATCAAAGACTTTGTTAAGCGCGTCATTGACGCATTCGAAGTGCATGAAAAGGGAACCCACTTCGCGTTCCTCGAGTACAGCACGGAACCAAAAGTTTACCTGAGATTCAACGATTTCACTGGTGCTCAGCTCAACGGCGTTAATGTCAAGCGAAAGGTGGAAGAAATTTTGCAATCGAAAGGCAAGACTTTTATCGACAAAGCTTTAACATTGGCGAATCAGGAAATTTTTACTGTGGAAAGTGGTATGAGATCCGGTGTTAAAAAGGTAAGTCAGGTCACTAAGGTCTTTGAGGATCTAAGGGCTCGCTCGTCATTTCAAGGGGAGACTATCACAAGTACAGTCGAACCCCGCTTAACGGACACCTCATTATCACGGACGGTTTGCTTTGTCCCTTGGGAAAACCCTTACCTTTTTTGTAAATTCAACCCGGGGTTTGACTGTAGTTTGAGACTTGGGACTAATAGCGATGAAGTTCTTTAAATTTACATTTACTTCTTCTACCCTTCTTTTAGTCAGGTCTCTTAGTGCAAAATATAGGCCGGATCGTTACAGACGTGACAAAAGTGTCAAATTTGGCACACAGCTTCCTCAGCACCTACCGATTAATACTGGAGGGGGTGCCCATTACAAATGGTCCTACTTACAGATAAAAGCGGGGGTTAACTTTCACCTATATTAGCAGATTGGGTGCCCTGTGGTGAGTACTCTTCTTGTTTGATTTGGCTAAAAAACAGTTGTTTCAAATTTTTAAGTTTTCAATTTGGTAATGTTTAGTTGTTGTTACACTATTCAAAATAGTTTTACATGTATATAATACTGACTAGTGCCCAGTCTCCACACGGTAAGTGTGGCCATGTTCACTGTGCGGACTGTGTGGCTATCAGTGTCACTGCTAAGACTTGCAAGTGATAATATCATTACATATCAATTTAAACAGATCACAAAGCCAGCTTTCAAAGATGTCATACAATAACTTAAAACTCAAATGTATCACATCCTAAACGATAGAATCGTTAAAGTTTGACATGCCACATGAACGACCTCATGAACCGTAACTGACAACGCGCCCACTTTGTAATTGTGCAGCTAAGATTAGATTATAATTTGCTTCGTTGGTAACCCTGTCCTTGAGATAATAATTAAAACATGTCAACCTCGTCCTCAGGGGGAAAAGGAGGAGCAAGGGTGGCACAGTTGGTTAGTGCGCAGCCTTCGGGGCGAGAGGTCCCGAGTTCGAGCCTGGTGTCAACACCTCCTTATTTCAACTTCTCTATCTTCAATGTAGCTTTGACTAGCTTTAAATACCCTTAAAACGGAGAATTAATGGAGAGAGGGGGGTAAAAGGAGCACACCGTCGACCTCAAGTTTATCGGTTATTATTACTGTCACGAGTTATTGACGTAAAATATGGTCGCTTTACCTTTTTCTACCTTTTTGTTAAGCCCTGGGGAAGAGGTTGTAAAATATGCCTCTCCAGGAATTTTTAACACTCTTTATTTTTTGCACATTTGCATTTACTAAGAAGTGTATGAGGTCCCTGCATGCCTAGACACCTGTAAGCGGTTCATTCACTTCAGAGCCTTTGGACCAGAGTGTTACTGGTAGGTCTATACGATCTTTCAAAAAAAAGGAAGGTCGTCGCGTGCGTTACAATTTACAAACAAACTAACTTCAGAAGAGCTGAAAGTTACAGGAACAAGACCTCTTTTAGCCAACCAATGATGCATCATTTATGAAAATGAATGTAATTTGTTTGATGCAATTAGGCGAATACTTAATGGTTACGAAATCTTACGATCATAAATTCCTAAAGAGAAATTCCGTTACCAACTTTTCACAAAATAATGCTGTGGAAAATTACATAAAATACCAAAAAAAGCAAGGGTCAACAATAATTATGGCCTGGTCCCTTATAATAATGGAGTGGTCATGATAAAGAAGCCCATCAGCCCCAACTGTGACCACTCAAACAGATGTTTGACAGATTACATACTGCAAAACTTTGCATTCACTTATGCCTATATGTTGCCACACCAGGGGCCTAGAAATCGGCTCCTGGTCACACCTTGTTTTTATTGCTGAATATCATTCTAAAGAGCTTTACGAAATATTTTGTTGGTAGGCTAGGGGTGTTTTGAACATGATTGATATTTAGAGATGGTGACAAAAACGAACACAAAAAAGTCACAAAACGAGACGCATGAAACAACCGCAATCTAATATTCGTGTTACACCGATATAATGGCTCCTTTGGCTGCTATGCTGACGTTTTTGAAGATGGAAGTAGTATCACAGCTAGTCCCGGGTTAGGTATACCATTTATTACCAGTTTCACGGTTCCTGAGACTTAGGGCCCGTTAACATAAAGGTGGGGGACCCCAGGTAGGTGAGGTAACCTGCTTAGGTGGGGTAAAAAGATGACTCTCCTTTACATGCAATCTTACAACCCCGCCATCCTGGGGTGCAGTTTCTCAAGATTATTGAATGGTCGCTAAGCACGTAAACAAGAAAAATGCTGGCAAACCACGTCTACGCTCAATTTCTGCTCTTGCTGCAACCTTCAGTGTTGTGGCTTTATATTGTTACCTTTAATAATTATGTGAAGCCACCCAGCGCCAAAGTGAATTTTGCGCGAATTTGATGTATCACGAATCCGACCCTGACTAGCCTGGGTTACCTCACCTTGAAACGTTGACATGGCAAAATTTGACCTCAGCTGAGAGGGTTACCTGGTGTGGCAGACCGGATTACCCACCTTGAAGGGTGACCCTCAGCAGTTAAAATATTCACCATTTATCATTTGAGTCAATCTTGTACCACTTGAGTCTCACTTTTACGACTTGATAAGCTGTTATTATTTTTGAAGTTCAGTGCCAAATGTAGAGGCTTCATGATAAACTGTGCTGTTTTTTGAAGCTTGGGCTAACTTGTTTCTTTTTTTCGTTTATGAGACCAGATTCTTTTTTCTTTGTTTTTGCTTTGTAAAGCTTAGACAAACTGCGGAAATTGTAAATGATATGACTTGTGCCACGGTGCTTGCTTCTCTGTCAAAACATGCACTTGCGTCCAGCAGATAACTGGATAAAGAGAGACTGAAAGGCATCCAGACCTATGTTAAGCTGAAAAATTAATTACCTCCCTAGGAAAGAACTATTTTGGGTTCTGTCATTTCGTTATTTGCTCTTCATGAATAGCTGTCATAAACCCCTGATAATATGTGATACAACAGACTCTTTGACAATTTCTTTTTTCTGAAATTTTGTGTGTAAATGGCTATGCCATACGCTTTCTTCAGCTTAAAGTGACATGTAATGACAAGTAATACTTGATAAATAAGGCTTAAGCCACACAATAAGGCCTCCTCTAATTGAAGTACATTAGAAAAGGGGAAGAGAACCCCAGAAGCTGAGTACTTGCAAGTTATGAAGCAAAGACGAGGCCATCTTAGAAATGACTTATGAAAATGTGGGCGGACTGTGGACTTGCTTTGAGGGCACAGTAATAATCAACTTAATTATACAGTCAATAAGCAAAAATGGATGGGAATGCCAGATGTTCGAGTGAAATTGTTGTTTACAACATGAGAATATAATTCAGAGTGATTTAAGGTATTAAATAACAATTTTCGATCAAAACACCACAGGGACCCCAGTAGGTGAAATTTACAATAATTAAATCCTGTTTAGCACGCTTCAGTGGCATATTTGCAGTGGGCACCCCCTCTAATATTCATGTTACTGCAATAAGCTATGGCTGTGCAAAGTTTGGTGCTTTTGTCAACTCTGTAACGATCCTGACCCTAAGAGACCTGACTATTTCCCTTTATGACTAAGCCTTGTAACCTTATTACTAACATATATCCCTGATACCATTCTAGATGGCTTTGGTGTTAACAGACGGGACTCAAACACCAGAACCCAGCCCAGACGAAGCCGAAGATAACCTCCTTGCCGCAGCACAAAATTTACAGAACAGGGATATAGACGTGCTTGCTCTTGGAATTGGAAGGGGCGTCGACCCATTTCAGTTACTCAACATAGCATCGAATGAGAATAATCTGTACGTAGCTAAGGCCTTCGATGAAATCTTGAACGTGGTCGGACAGCTTACTAAACGGGAATGTCTAGGTGAGTTAAATGATACAAACGTTTAATAAATGGACTGAGAGCGGCTGCCAGTGGCGCCTTTGTATGCTGACGTCCGAACTTACTGTTCACATGTTAAAAATGTATTGTAAAGAGGGCACGTCTGTTGTCCTCTCATCCATGGCTCTTCTTTCTTCTTTCTTTAATACCATATACTGACGAGATACATTTTTTGACTCCGAAGATTTCAGGTTCTGGAAACATCAGCGACTGTCAGCAACAGTCCTATTCGGGACTACACTTTCCGGGGGGCGAATCAACAAAGTTTTTTTTTACGGAGACCCGAGGTCCAACCCTTTCCCTTTGAAATATTATTTTTGGCAGAAAAAGTACCTCTTTCAAATACCTTCTACCGACAAATGGTACCACTTTCACATACCTAGTGGAGAACACTGCACCCCCTTTAACTCTTGTGTAAATGTACCGTCTTTGAAATATGAAAAAATGCTATACCAGTATGTCTTGTAGACTTTCTCCCAGCTATAAAATGTGTCTGTTAGCCCTTTAGGTCCTTTTGCAGACCGAAATGACTGATTTCCCTACCCTTTCATATGCTTCAAATAGTGAAATCCCTACGCTTTACATATCTGAACCCTGAAAATGGTACCCCTTTCGGGCGGAGCCTCCCCTCATAATAAGCCATTATAGGGCGTACCTCCACAGACTACCCTCACTCTGTCGGACATATTTCACCTACTTATGACATGACTCCTGCGTTTAAATGGTTTGCTTCACAAACAGTAATGGAAAAACGAAAACTGTGTAACCAGTAAATCAAATGTATTTTTCTTTCAGCTTGTTCCGATCCTGTTGATGTTGTTTTCGGAATACCAACGTCCCAGAACATCTCAGTCGAACGTTTTCAGAGCATGAAGGAATTTGTAAGCCAGACTATCGATTCATTGGATGTCGGTCCCATGAAAGTGCACGTTGGTCTAGTAACATACGGTGAGACTGCATCAACGATCTTAAAGATGGACCAACTTAATGCGAAGGACGCCGTGCAAACTTTGACAAACGGTATCACCCAGCAAGGAAATGAAGTCAACGAAGTCTCTGCCATAGATGAAGCCTTCCACGTTACTTTCACAATATTTGGGGGTGTGAGACAGGCAGCTCCCAAATCATTTATCCTTCTTGTACCCGAAGGCTCCGTGAACAATCGACAAGAAATTCTTGCCGCTGCCAGAAGACTTAAGAGCTTGGGAGTGAAGCTTGTAACTGTGGGAGTTGGTGGAGGGGTGGATTCCGAACTTTACAAGCTTGCATCATCTCAGCCGTCTTCCAAGTTCTTTTACAGAATTCCAGATCGTGGTGATCTGAGAGCCCAGAGTAGAGATGTTGCCAACGTTGTTTGCAAAGGTAATCTTTGCGGAGTATAGTGAAAACCCGCGAGTAAGAACCTGCATATGAAGTATGTAAATATTATCATGTTTTCATTTCGCTTAATATTACAAAGTATTTGGGGAACTTCAATATAGTAATCTGTTTTCTGAAGAATCTCCAGGAGAATTTGTTTGATTTTATTAAGATGTAAATTGAGATTTCCTCGACGACGTGTGAGATTGAGGTTGTCTGTCCAGCTCATTCCCTGCTTTCTCATTACGAGGTTTGTCAAGTTGTTTATTTTATCTTCTAGGTAAAGCTGGAAGGTGTCCTCTCCTTCCTCCTCGTCCTCCTCTCAGCTGTCCCGAACTTATAGAACACGAATGTGACGTTGATGCTGATTGCAAGAATGGTCAGTCTCCAATGTGTTGTCAAGATGGCTGTGGTGAACGGATATGTGCAGCTCAAGTAACAAGTAAGTCACGTTTTTTTGACTGTTAATTCCGTTTGATTACCTTACTCAATTTTGTTACTTTTGTCGATGGAACGATTCGGTTGGACACGACTGTTGTTCTTTCCAGTGCTATGTATTCTTTTTTATTATATACATACTGAGAAATACTCACCAAAGAGCTCTGTCGTAAATTTTCATACGCAAATGTGTTCTAGCCTATCAGAGGAGCGAAAGATGGTTTTCACACGTGAAAAAAATGATACGTTCAATAAGAATCGCGAACGATGTTTTTTTTTACGTGTGAGGGTTAAGCACTGCCTTTACAGATTAAGGTTAAGCACTTCCTCTACTGATTAGGGTAAAGCACTGTGTCGAAACTGGTTAGGTTCTTTTTTTGGGTTGGGGTTGATGCTGGTACTTAAATTATGTCACGTCCATCCAGCAAATCCTCAGTGGTTTAGTGGTTAGCGTAGTATACCAGACCATTTGGGTCGTGGGTTCGAGTAAAGTTCGCGTCGTACTGTCTTGTATATCAATTTTTTTTTTCTTTCAAATTGAAGAGACTTGCACTTTCATGAACATTTCCGGCTTGAAATATCATGTAAGACCCTGTTTACATGGAGTGGGGGACCCCAGTCCAGTGGGGTAAGTTTCTTTTGTTTTGTGTCCTCCAGAGCGTGAAAACAAAAGAAACCAACCCCACTAGACCGGGGTCCCCCACTCCATGTAAACAGGACCTAAGTGTGATATAAAAGCAGAAAACAGTTATACCTTGTGTAAATTTCATGAGGTGAGAAAGGGGCTACGGCCGATGGCATCTAATGCTGACCAATCAGAAGCCACAGAGGTGTGTGAGTTTCGCGTCAACATTACCACCTTTTCTAAGTGCTTACAGCTTGCAGCGCCCCTTCGCAGACATTCAACGAGAAAAGTTTTTCTCGAAGTGTTTTTCTTGTATAAAAAAGTGAAAAACATCGCGGAAATTGGAGTGAAATAGTTTTGTTTCTTTCACTGTCGATGAAGTAAACTGTAGAGAGGCGTCAAAACAACAGCGGAAGGGGAAAAACAGATCAAGACGTAAGCTTATGTTGTGCTTTTTATCGGAGCTTGTTTGTCTTCTATTTATATTAAAACAGGCGATTTTACTTAAATTCGTTCATTTTCAATTGTACATTTAGAACAAACAGTTAATATTACTTGTAGTTCTTGGATTACGTCATATCCTTACCCTCATTATGTTTAAAAAACGTTTTTACTAATAAGCTGATACTTCGATTTCGTTGTCATTTCGCGGTTTTTAGCAGCAAATTTTAGCATTTTGGAAAGATTTGAAATAAAAAGGCCGCCAAAATGATGACTGTCTCACTATGTATATAATAAACGCAATACCACATGAAAAGTGCTTCGTACTATTTTTACCTCGCACTTTCCATGAAGTATTCTCTATATCTAGATCTGTGAAAAGTCGTGTTTCTCCTTTTACCGCTGCTTTTACTTAGGGCCATTCTCTTTTTTTCTCCGTTTATCGTCGTCCGACCGACCCAAATTTTCGGGATTTTCCAAAAAAAAAAAAGGAACGACGTAGTTAAACCATTTTTCACTTGAAATAATTCTTTTAATCTGAAAAATAAGCATAGTAGCAGCATAGAGAAAAACTGCAACAAAAACAGGAGCATTTTGTACAGTATATTGTGCATTTTGTTAGTCCAAATACATAAATCTTTTAACGTCATCCTGGGGTACCAAGGCCTCCTATACCGAGACTTCTTGTGATTTATTTTTTTAGGTTTTTTTTTTCAGTCCGATCGACCGACCCAATATCAGGATGGCCTAGTACTAAAAAAATATTTTCACATGTAGTTTTTAGCCAGTTTTTCAAATGGGAGTGAATTTTAGTATTAAATTTACGTTATTCACAGGTGTACTTGCTCTTAAGGTTATTATGTTTCCTACTAGTCCTTCCCTTCTGCTATCTTCGTGTCTGATCATGATGACTTGTATCCAGTGTAAATGGATTAAATAAGTCAGTCGTCTTTTTATTTCAACAGACCTCTTCATACCAATGGATGTGGCAATTGCAATAGAAAATTCAAGGACTACAACAAGCAGTGCCTTTAATGATGTCAAGACGTTCCTCAAAAGACTTATTCGTAGCATTTCTAGCTCGGAAAACAACATTCATTTCTCGCTACTTGAATACGGGAACAATGCTACAGTTCTGACAGATTTCCGAAAGTACAGAGACGAGCCATACTTGGAAAAGATCATAGACAACATACCAAAACGCAACGACTCTCAGAGAAGAGTAGACATTGCCTTAAACACGACCAAAGAAAAGATCTTTAGCTTAGAAGGAGGAATGAGGCAAGGTTATCCTCGGTTCCTTATATTCATTGCTTCGAACGACTCCACGTCCACTTTTAGTTTCCACGAGGGAGCAGCAAAACAACTCAGAGACTTGGGTGTGACTATTGTCGCCATAGCAACCAATCGTAATATCCCTCGCTCATTTTTGGAAAAGTTAGCTGGTAATAGTAGTTTTGTTTACAAAGCTAATGAAGCAAACGAAATGAGTGAGGTATTAAGCGATCTCACCAACAAGATGTCTGCAGGTAAGAGACTCTTTTACTTGTAGTTCAAAGACAAATATATCGTTAACCTGTGAACAAACAGAGAGCCTGTTTAATGGCTAATATATCGTAAATGATCCAATAATACCGGGCGTCTGTTTAATTTTCGGGGTCCATGCGGTGGCGTTTAATAGATAAGAGGCGTTTTAAAAGAGAGAGGCGTTCGTTCTCGTAACTGTAACAAACTACTAGATAAAACTGATACGGTATGCGCTTGGCGAAAATCCAATCCATCCGTCTTTTGACGCTCTTTATCCTTGCTAAGCACTTTGTGCAAGAAGAAAATTGCCGGCATACCGAGCACAGTAATCAAGAAGATCGAAGAGCGCTGGTTACTTTGAACCATTCTGTATTTTAACTATTCTTATATTTTTTTAATTTTCTGGGCCCGCAGTAACTGGCCCAGGCTGTTGCGGAATTCCTGCCACGTTTTCTTTGTTACTTCGTTTGATTACCTGATTGTATTTATATTATGTGGCGAAGCTAATAAAATAAAAAATAAAATACAAACTTAACATTCAACGATATGCAAGGTGCAATCCTCTGTTAATCAATCCATGAACTGTTTTGCCATTTCGTAGTATTTTGGAGTAATTTTAAGAATAGAAAGGAGGCGGCGTTTATTACCCTGTTAATTTTGTATTAGACGCCTCTGTCTAGGAAGGGCGTTTATTAGATAATAGGCCGTTATCTATTAGATCATTTACGGTATGTGTTTTAAGGTGACACGCAGCAAATTTGTGTTTTAACTGTTTGGACACATTTCCTAGATGTTGTTAGACTGAATGCCTGTATGACGATGGCAGCAAAAACGCCAAAAAAAAGAGAAAGAAATAGGTTCAATGAGCAAAACACGAACTCTTCACATGCATCACCGTTTTTATTCAATTCTTTGCTGTCAAGGCACGACCACGAAGTCAATTTTACGTTTTATGGAGGACGTGAAACCAAGACAACGATTATTTTTTCCAGTTTTTGAACCCGCTGCGTACAGTCCTTTAGAATGCAACTTCAGAAATACTCCCCAACAGCTGACAAATCAAACGAGATGGAATAATTAACAATTATTCCTCCAGCCCTAATTGGCTCTGAGTCAATAGCCCATTTGGCCGAACGAATGGGCTATTGACACAGAGGCCATGAGGGCGAGAGGAATAATTGTTTTATTAAGATCCAACTAGTTGGTCAAAAATATCGAGAATAAAAAACTTTTAGCTAGTTAAAGCTAAACTTTAATCCTTTTTTGCCGCCAAAAAGCCCGCGCTTTTCGCTACTAGTGGGCTATAACATATAGCCTAGTAGTAGCTCAACCAATCAGAACGCAGCATTGATAATAGACCACTATTTAGATTTTACTAATAGCGGTGAAGTTTGAAACCGCGCGAATTCACTTTTAAGGTGGCGTTTTCTTTGTCGTCGCCGTCGTGGTTACTTAAGCTCCCTTAAGGTGGTGTTACACGTGACGATTTGCACCGACGATTTTTTAGCATTAATGGTGGAACAATGTTGTAACAATTCGAAACAATGCCGAACAATGTTACAAGCTCTGACGCATTGAAAATCGTCCTTGCGAATCGTCCAGTGTAATATGTTAGGTTCTTTAACTGTGACATTTTCTCCTAGAGAAACCTGGAAAGTGCCCAGCTTTGGAATTCCTTGAAACCCCTGACCCGCTCTTGTGTGAAGCTATAAAACCCGACCCTAACAAGACAGTTCTTTGTGGACTCTCTGCTGAATCAAAACACGATTCTGACTGCCCTGGCGAGTCTAAATGCTGCTTGGATCCTCTTACGGGCTGTTTTCAAAAGTGCATTTACCCAGTCAATGGTAATGTTCTCTTTTCGTTTCGCTTATGTTAGTTAGACGAAAGAAGAATCTTTGTATTTTTTCTTGTACTTCTTTGCCAGTAACTTCCTTGTATTAAGGAGCAAGGATAAGCACAGTCGGTTAATGTGAGGTCTTCTGCGTGGGAAGTTTCAAGTTCGATTCCCAGTGTGCCCTAGTCATATCCTTGTGTTGACTTCTTTCTTTTTCGTGTAGTTTTAAGTAGCTTTAAATACCCGTATAGACTCAGCCCGGGGCCGGACCAATTGTGAGAGTGTTAAAATAACTGAGAAATGAAGGAACTCTCTTTGCCCTGCAAGCGGCTAGACCTTTACGTGGTTCGGATGACCACGTAATATGACGATCCCTTCTCCAGTAGGAGACGTAAAAACAGTGTCCCCAATTAGTACTTTCGTGCTAAATACATTGACACTCAAATAAAGTGCATCTTTTTTTCATATCACTTGGAGATATCGTCAAATCAAGGAAGACAACCTGTTAAAGCAGGACTTATACGATTTGTTCGGAGGAGTTTCAAATGTACAGTCTAATCTAATCCACATTCTATTAAAGAAGGGTGGTGGTTTAAATCATTTTCTTGGGAGATTGTATTTCTAGTTTTACCAATTTCACAGCCTTCTGTCACTGTCACCTACTGACACATTTCAACCACGTTTCCATTTCAGCTTGCAACAAAACCTTCGACTTGACAATAGTGTTAGAGAATTCGGCTCAGATCGGTGAGTCAAATTTTGAGGAGATCAAAGCATTTGCCAAGCAATTTGTGAACGCCTTTGAAGTCACGGATGAAGGCACTCATGTGGCAATCATAAGCTATGGTACCAGACCTCTTGTCCATGTTCTCTTTGACTCGTTCAGCGGGCCTGCACTCACCAAGAGACTTGTCACCGACGCAATCGACGAGATTGACTTTCAGAGTGATCGTCGTGTGTCACCAAGTCAAGCGCTTAATGAGGTGCTGAATACAGTTTACGCCGATGGTAATGGCGCCAGGAATGGTACAAATAAGGTGAAGCCCCCACATTTTTATTTTTCATCCACTCTAAAAATAATTACAACTTTAACCTGCGTAGCAGGCGTCGAAAGGGGTAGGGGATAGGGAAAAAGGGAAAAAGGGAAGGGGGTAGGGGAGAGAGGGGCTCCCTTCCCTTTCCCCTCTTTCGTGCTTTTCTCCCTCCCCCTCTCCCTCCCCCTCTCCCTCCCCTTTTTCCGCCTGCCACGCAGGCTATTACAACTTATACGCGTAGCTGTTCCAAGGCCGATTAGCCCTAACCCAAGATTAAATTTTTATCTGGGTTTCTTTTTCTTTTGTTCAAGAGCATTTTCCTAGATAATTGTCTCTGTTCTTTTTATAGCATTTAATCATCAAATTAATTGTAGACAGAAAAAACAAACAAACAAAACTGACCCTGGCTTATCTTTACCCTTCTTCGATCAACCCGGCCCTGAAGTAGCCTGCGCCACGGACGAAACTAAACTTGTGGTAAAGTCCGTCTGCGAACAAGCGCTGAAATGCTTGTTGTTGTGACCAGGATTTAAGTACGCGCTATATGAATAGCATATCAAAAAAGCCATCGGCAATTTGCCAACCATGTTGAAGGGAAATTCGAAACGCATTTTTGGTAATTCGTTGAGTCTGTTTGGGTTCAACAACGAGAATGTCAGCGCTGAAACGGAGGCATTCAGAAGCGCCTACACAGCACGATATATTATGGATGCTTTCAATATAAAAAAAGAAAACTATAATACAAAAGAAAAGGTAAATAGATAACTAAGACACGGTATTCTTAAAAAAGTAAAACTTATTCTTTTTAACCGTTAGTGGTACACTTACCTTCCTGACCTCATGAGGTAGGCTACTCTGCTGAGATAATCAACCCAGAAATAGTCTTTTATATGTTACAGTTTCCTGCATGTAGTCTTCTTCCTGAAACATTTCAAAACATTTTTTCCTGACGACTGGATGTGACTTGTGGAATTGTTACTCTTTTGGCTTTAAATGGGCTGTCACGTTATTTGCAATTAAGAAAGCTAGAAAGCGTCTCCCGCCACAATCGAATAGCAAATACAACGGTCGAGTTTTTTAACAACTGAAGACTATAGTAATGAAAGTTGAAATGATCTATGCAGTTGAGTTAACAACCTAAGTGGTTGAAAAAGAACCTGAAAAATTTCAGACTTGACCAGAAATATAACTCCGACCTTTGCGATGACCGTACTCAACACTCTATCCATTACGCTAATCAAACCATCTGGAGAGCAAGCCATTGCGAGTCCGTAATATACCCAATGGTGGTGAACTGCAGTTAAAGATATGAAAGTAGAAATGATCCTTTCAGTTGAATAAACATTAGGGGTCGAGTATATTACGAAATTGCTATCAATTGCCATTTGCACACCAGATTTGCAAAGAATCCTTGATAAAATGACGTTTCTCCTCAGACAGTCGTTCTCATAACAGAGGGAAAGTTTTTGGATCCAGTGGCTGCTCAAGGAGCCGCGCTACAAATTAGATCAAGGCCTGCGGATTTATTCATCGTCGCTATTGGTGAAGACCCGGATGTGAGCAGCCTCGTGAAAATGGCTTCGCCGCCTGTTGAGAACAATGTGTTTATGACAACCACGCCCAACGCTTTGCAAGCCCACTTGCGAGCACTCACGGATACAGTGTGTAAAGGAGGTAGGAGGGGGAGCCAATTTCTTCATATTCTATGAATACCTGATTTGGTAAGACGCGTTGTTAAAGTTAGAAAAATAACGAATGTGGTTTTCGGTGCCTTGCCTATCTAACTCTGCCACGCGCATCCACTCTTTCGATTCCTTAACATAAATACTGTAAATGGATTATTTGAGTCGAAGGTCGGTCTTCTAATGCCTAATGAAAACCTTTTCGTGAACAGACTGGAGAGTTATGCTCTTGTAGTGTTATGATTCTCAGAAAACCGTCAACTATTTACAGCAAGATTTCACTAAGCTGAACTGAGCTTAGCAAAGACCGGCCTGGTACAGTTTATTTAATATACAGAGTCTCTAGTCATTAATTTGATTTTTCATTACTTTCCAGCTGAGAAGATCAAAACGGTAAGTGAAATGTCTGTCTTCTAACTTCATGGTTTACTACATTTGTAGACTGCAAAACAGTCCGTATTTTTGCGTATTCAAGTACGCGCGAGCAGTCAAACAAAAGATCTGGAATGAGGCTGAAAACAGAGAGCGAGACTGGGGAGAGACGCCTCACACGCCCTACGGGCGTGTGAGGCTCGCGCGCTTCGCGCGCGTAAGACTCTTACGCCACGCTTTACCGATTTCTTTACTGATTTTGAGAAAAAAACCGACTGTTTTGCAGTCTACTACATTTGTCTTTGTATTAATTGGAGATGGTATATTGCCTCGCGAGTGATTCCGCAGAAAGGTAAGCCTTTTACATTTGGTCTCCAGATTGAACCCTAGTTTAAAGTGGTGCACAACAAGCGTTAATTAAGGTTACACTTAGGTATTTTAAAGGTGTCCTGTTCTCATATTGAGTGTGACTACTGTCGCCTTTATGGCCTCACTGCCGGTTACAATTGGTAAAATAAAGCTGATTTTGTGACGTTATGTGATTTGTTCGACGTGACCGAAACACGGTGTCTTGCATTGTCTTCAACTAACCTGTGTACCATTTATTTGGAATCTTATACCAGCTTGTACATCAGCTTTTTCCAAATAATTCAAAATTACAAAACAGCCAGCCGTTACTACCACGACAGGTTATATAGAGATAATTAAACATAGGCATACAGCATTTACTTCTTATCTTCCTTCTCTTTTCATCATTTTTTATATCATATCCATATCTAGAAACTCTTGTCTGCTTCCTTCGTGTAACGTGCCGAAACGTGTCTTAAAGCCATAGAATTTAAGTTGTTGTTTTGTTGTTTTCATTACTAGGTAATCGGTCCACTTGGCGACCCCGGAATTCCTGGCCCACCGGTAAATCCAATTTACGCTTGTTGTTTAGTAGACCCGTGGTATGCGGAGGACCTCTAATTCCCAAAACGAAAATAAAAATACTTAATTAAACCGTCAATTTGTTTAGCGTGAAAGTACTAAATGAGGACACTATTTTTGCGTCTTCGTTTCCGTGTGGTCATCCGCGGCACGCGAAAGTTCTAGCCGTTTGCAAAACGAGGTAGTACCTTCGTTTCACATTTCTAAAGAGACCTTGAGCATTGTTCAGGCCCCAGATTGACATCGAACCCATAATTCCCACTCTGCAGTCAAACACATCTACCGAATGGCTCGGGGGAGAACACTGGCAACTTGAAAACCTGAGAGAATTTACGAGGAAGTTACTCACATTTGTTCATTCCTTTTAGGGCCCAGTAGGACCCCTCGGACCCAGGGGAGAAAGAGGAGATGCGGGGGAGCCGGTGGGTATCGTAACTGGCAGCTGTTGTTGATGGAAAGTTCGGATGATTAATGAAACGGATTCTATGCTTATTGCACTAATGAATTGAAGTACACCCCTAACTGAGTTATTTTGGAAACAATTGAACTTTTTTAACGAAGACAACAACCAATCACAAATTCGTTCCCATGTTATCTTTTTGTACCCAATAGTGATCTCAGTAAATTAAGAGTTTATCCGGCCTTCTGAACTCGGTACGATATGACCTTACAGCTTATGATGATGTGAATGATGTTCGTGATCATTCAACAAGTCACGCCAACTGCTGTTTTCCAATCTCGAAATCTTGTCGTTTCACTTTGCAGGGAGAAGCTGGTGAAACCGGACCTCCTGGGCCTCCCGGACCCCCGGGACCGCCGGGACCGCCTAGTAGATCGGAGAGGCGCCCCCGACGTTCTGTTGTAAGTATTTCCCGTTTCTGGAGGACTGATCATTTGTAAACGATACAGGGCTCGAACACTGAGTTCATCATTCAACTTGAACATTTCATATTGTGGGTACCAAACCTTTTTTCGCCGTACGTATTTGAATAACAGCGGTCAGCCTAATCCAATTTAAGTAGGGCCAAATGATCTTTTAAACGCGTTAGCGAAGAAATACATTGTCAAAGGCTGATTTTGTATAACGTTGCGACAAAAACTTAAGTAAACACAAGAATGCAAAGAATAAAGCTTTCGCTATGAGGTCTTATTAATCGCACTACCGAATTCATGTTCCTTTTTGTAGTTAGAAAAGCTACACTGTCAGGTATCTATAACTTGATATCATAAGTTAATATCGCGCCAAATAAAATGTTTTAGTGGCTGTCAGAAAGTGTAAAAGAAAACAAACTAAACAAAGGCTCGATGAGCCTAAAAAGGCTAATTTAGCTCTTGGCGACCGTCTACATTTTTCCTCTCACAAAATTATTAAAAGAAGCCAATGTTTAGTATTCAGGATATGGCGCATAACATCCTCTTCTTTTTCTTCTCTTCCAGAAAGGACCCAATGAAAAGGGCCCTGATCCAGGTTCAGTTAATACTGCGGGCTCGGATGTACAACCTATACAGGTAAAAAATCTGACGTATTACATCTTAAAAAGTTGATTTCAGTCTTGTCTTGGCTGCGGGACGTGAACATTTTATTATCATCTTCTTTTTCCCTAAAGCCTTTATCTCAGCGATGATGTTTCATGTGGCAAATATTTATCCTGCAGTTCATATATATCCAATTTTATATCCATTCAAAGAGAAAAGACGGCAATTTATTGTTGCTAGAAATTTCTGTAAGTCGTAACTGTTCATCAGTAGGATGGCTCTATTAAATCCATATATGCTCACTTTCATGTCTTCATCTTTTACAGGTATATTACGACCTCAAAAAGTTCACAAAAATTCACTTTCTCTCACTTAACCCCATTTAATTTTTTCAGTTTAAAAAATCAAAACGCATACTCGAGAGAAACTGTTTGGTATGTTAATTATACGAAAATACGTTTATTCATTTACCTCCGAATTCACTGTAATACCCTCTCCGAACTCTGCAGCTAAACTAAAAAAGACCACTCAGTGGTATTGAAGTTCATTATCGAATTTGTCCTCTTTCTGTTCCATGTTATTTAGGGTCCTCCTGGAGAACCTGGTCCACCAGGACCACCCGGATTTCGAGTAAGTTTTACGCGAACCTCTTTTCAAGACGTTGTTAATTGCAGTTTTTTTGCCTTAAGATACTTGCAGCATTTTTCGCAACGTTTTCCGGAAAAATTTTTTATCCGTTTTCGATCATACTTTTTTTTATATTTTATCAGGGACTTCCTGGTGTTCGTGGAAATAGAGGTCCAGTCGGAGCGAGAGGGGAGATGGTAAGTAGCAAAATGTAACCTGCTAATAACCAATCACGAGTGAGGTTCATAATGCACTAACCGGTAGCAATCACAGTGCTTCTCATAGGCACACTGCATTGCGAATGATTTCTTGAGAAATTAGATTCCGTTGGTCTTGAATATTATCTGTTAGGTGATTTGAATTTTAACCTGGCTTCTTTACAATATAATTTAAATACTCGTCGCATATGTGAAATTTCTGATTTATGTGGGTTTTAGGGCGGGGAACAAAAACAGGAGAGGTCTCGTTTTCTCCCTTTCCCCCACCCCCAGAGTCCCCCAGACAGCTTGCTCGCAGGCTATCTTTCCTTTTCCGTTAATATATGGCCCGTGCACATCGCGCTTGGACCACAAATCAACTGGAAAGAACGCGGTCCGTAACTAAAAGTATAGATCTCGAACTCGGTTAGCGCTAAACAGGTATTATTAATATCTTTTGCAGGGCAATGTTGGCTATCCAGGCCTTCCTGGATTAGAGGGAAAGCAAGGTATAGAGGTAAGTCTGAAGAAAGAAATTAAGGCATTTTAGAATTATTCAAGTAAATTATTCGTTGTATGTTATACGTTTTATTCTCGTTTGACAGTTTGAACAAGTCGCATTTCTCATTTGCTTTGTCTAATCATTTAGAAATTCAGAAGAAATCACGATATATATTTTTAAAAATTTAGCGTACATCAGTTAAATATTTTTATTGTACTTAAATATTGCCTGTTCTCTTGGGAACAAACTGCGCACTAAAATACGACAAGAAGGCTGGCCCTTCCATTACCCTTTTCTTGGCCGATTTCAGGTTTCCATTTCTTTGTCCTTCGGCCGACCTTGAAACATCGCGCCGCGCGAAAGAAAAAACCTCTGGTACCCCGTGTACTTTTCCACTATATTTTACAGTACGATAGAGCGCGATACAATTCAGTGCGTTGTTATAATTAACGCCAAACGATAATGTGAATATCCTGAATATCTAACCAGCAAATTGCTCAAGGAAAGGGAAAAAAAAGATCTGTCGCGATAAAAGTTAATAGGGCCTTATTCCCTAGGAACGGCTTTATGTTTTCTGGAGGGCGGAAAACTGATCATCTTTCCGTTGCGCTTCAAATCATACCTTCATCTGACCATTTGATTAAAAAACCCCTGTTTTCTCACAGGGTTGGCCAGGAAAACGAGGCAATCCCGGTAGACCTGGCGATGCTGGTCCCAAGGTGAGTTTATACTCTAGAGGACATTTTCCAGATTCGTAAATTTTTTTGATTAATTACATTTGGGATATTCGGATTCATTCACAAGCCTATACACACATCAGTTAATCGGTGATCTAAAGTATTTACCTTTAGATTCCGTATTCAATTCCGTATATCTTCGCACGTGCGACCAAAGTGGGACGTTCTAATTTCGGATACGCGCATCTTAGAGCAAGGGACTGCTTATATGATACCGGAATGACTTCGGGAATTAGTGTCGTTCCAGAGTGAAGCTCGTACTGTATTGAGATGATAAAATGGAACGGGTTAGGCTAGGGCGTTCTCGCTCAGCAGATCAGATAAGCATGCGCCACTCACCCCAGACTACATGATTTGCGATTCTCAATCCGGAACGAAGTTCGTTTCCAGTTTACTTGACATCAGAATGAAATTTCGTACCAGAACGAGAATTTTTGAACTTACTCTGGACTGACTTGTACAGGAACGAAATATCGTTTCGGTATAATGTCAACAAACACAGAATATAATATGGAGGTGGAATGAACTCGTCCCAGAATAAAAGTCATTCCGGTATAATGTGAATAGCCCCTAAACGGCAAATATCCCCGTTGGTGGTTTACACGGGCAAATTTTGTGCAACAATTTTTATTTGCAGTTCATACTTAAAAATTCTGTAGGTGACAGTTTCAGAAAAACCTGAGAGCCACTGTTTATGTGGCAAATAGTCATACGTTCAGAGTTTCCACTTACATGAAGGGCTCTATTTTGGCACGTAACATTTCCACCCAAGATTTCCTCTAATGTGCAGGATTTGAAAACAATGATATAACGTCATGTTAATTCTTATTGTACTTTTTACGTAAGCTAACTCGTTTTATTGAATTCGTTTAATCACGATTTATACTTGTTTTTTTAGCCAAGTTTGCTGCGAAATCTTGAGCAAGACCGATACATTCCGTTTTTGGTGATCTATGGCTGGTTCTGATCATTTTGTTTGCAATATAGGTTTTGCACTGAAAAAAGTGAAAAACTAGTTCTTTAATTAAAACGATCAGTTCGATGGAGGAATGGAGGAGGAACCCGTATTCGTATGTGCATGTAATCAAATGGTGACGAGTGAAATTAGGGAATAATTTCACGCGCGTTTTGTCCAAATCCTAATAATTTCCCGAGCCTTCAGGCGACGGAAATTATTAGGATTTGGACAAAACGCAAGTGAAATTGTTCCCTAATTTCACGAGTATACCATTTGATTACCTATTATTATCATGGGTGACGAATTACGTTAGCAATCTTGGATTTTTGACATGTTTATCCTGGATCGTATCGATCGAGAACTCCATTCTCTCAAATGTTTAGACCTTAAATTTGGCTTATAAAGTTCAGATTTTTCAGACTTTTTCGGCAAAATACCTGTTAGAATCCTTCTTGATGTTCTCTTGTGTGTTCAGGTTTTCTAAAACGTCTTTTTGTGCCCTGACATCTTCATTCACGGGATTTTAAAACTTCGTCGCCATCTTGACACTGAGACGTACGGAAGGGTTGCCATGGCAATTTTGTAATTTCACATGTGAAATTACAAATTAACGCTGAAATTTCGCGCCAAAATTAAGGAGTAATTCGTCACCTATGATATTAATTAAGAAATCATGGCCCATATAGCTGTGGCTGTCGCAGCTTGGTAGCGTGGCGGCGACTGGGCCGTTCAACGGGCAAGCCATCTAAAATTAAGATTCAAAGGAAAATAAACAAACTATACGAAACCACTCAGATATTCACGGACAGCCCACGGCTTCTGCAACAGAAACAAATACACTAGAACCTTGATGTAGCGTAACCCTTTACAACATACACCTCAGTATGATGGAAATAATCAGGCCAGCTGTGGTATAATTTTGTGAACAAGGACACTGATACAACGCCGTACCTCCGTTATAACATCCACGTTTTCCGGTTCTATGGCTGCTTGTTTTTTTCAAGGCTTAAACTACGAGTTTCCAGTTTTTATTCGTTATTTGTGTGTTTTTGTAGGGACCAATTGGTGACGCGGGACAACAGGGACATCCGGGACAACCAGGTCATCCTGGTGAGGAAGGTACGACCGGGCCGAGAGGAGAAAGGGGAGAGGAAGGAGTAACGGTGGGTTGAAAATGATTTCTTTACCTTGTTCCCACGATTAAGTACTTAATTTTAGTGTAAGGAAGAAGAAATTGCCTGCGGTAATTTATTGTGGTCATCTTGCGCCCGGAGCCCTCTTGGCAGGAAAATCTGAAACAGTCGATGCGAAAATATTTGATTAGTCATATGACCCTCTGCCCACCCCTACAGGTAAGCTAATGTAAAATGTGTCGTTTAGAATACGAGAATAGGAGAGGGGCGCGTAACGGTCTTTAAAGAAAATTAGGAGCTTTTCCATAACGAAATTTAAAACAAAAAGAGGTTTTGAATTGTAAACTATACATTGAAATTCTGTGGTTCTAATCGTTAGATTTCTCCGTTCTCAAGGGCGCACAGGGATTACAGGGAAATCCAGGAAAGAATGGCAAACTGGTAGGAAGAGTTTAAATTTGTTATACTATTTTGGTACACCTAACCTACTTGGCTTTGTTAAATGTAAATCAGCGCTGTGATACGTTCCTTGTTTCTTGTTTTGTTATCGTTTTTGGAGGATCAGAAGACTTCCCTGACAATTAACTGGCACCTGTTGCTGGTCTACCTTGCCCTAAGACTCTCTTTATATTGAAGAAGACGCCATTCGCTTGTTCACTTGAGGATTTGTTCGTACTTTTTCAGGGTAAAGCTGGTCCTACTGGTCCTCTTGGAAGTTCTGGAACGATTGGTGCCCCTGTAAGTGAACTATTTCCTTTCGCAATCGAATTCACATTCCCATGTCAAAGTGAAGACACTTCCAACTTCCGACGATAATTTGTTTTTAAAATTTCAGGAATTTTTTTCTTCAAGCCAATGTCTATTTTCTTGTGGCTTTTATACTTTTGTCACATTATTAATAGTTTTGGTATGGTATCCTTGTCGTTTTAAAGCGGTCGTCGTAAAAGATACGCTCCATAGCACTCGGATTTGTCCCATTTTGTTTTCCTATAATCTGCTAGCCAGTCAAATTGTCTCATTTCGTGAAGAGCTCAAGTCAAGGTAATACTTTATGTAATCTGATTTGTTTTATTGCCCTAGGGTACACCCGGTGCTAAAGGAGTTGAAGGTTCTGAAGGTAACCAGGTTGGTAAACAGCTTGAAACTTTCAGATTTGATCTTAGCTCTAAGGTGAAATATTTTCCAACATTGTTTCGTTGAAGCCATTTATTGCCTGAATTTCCTGTCCTCCGTTAATTTCTGATTAGCTCTTGTGAATTCATGGAGCTGTAGAAAAATTTTATGAATAGAGCTACTTAAGCCCTGCATCTACTATTTATTTTAGTTAGACTACTTCTTTATAAGGGACGTATAAGCGCTGACATTGCGTGTAAATATAAAACCTTTGAATTGATACAAAAATGCAAAGTCATATGTTTAAAAATTTAGTGCCATATTAACTGATACGAATTTTGTTCGTAGGGCACTCAAGGTCCTCCCGGCACTCCGGGTCCTCCCGGATTAGCCGGTCAAAAAGGAGAAAACGGAAAACCCGGCCTTGTGGGATACGCTGGTTACCAAGGTGACACTGGGGAAATGGGCCCCATGGGTCCAAAAGGATCAGCGGGCACTGATGGAGAGACTGGAACACCAGGACCGACCGGAGAAAAGGGTTCGCTCGTGAGTAAGATCATAGTTCTCCATTCCTTTTCTCCTTTTGCTGTTTTTTTTTTTTTTCATGTATTGTATTCTACTTGTTAATTTCTTTAGAACTAGTTACAGGTATGCGACATAAGCGCAAGGTGATGTGCAGTGATAAGCAAAAACTTAATGTACGTCAGTTGCACGACAGATTGTAAATGTGTTGTTTTGATTGGCTTGTGTTGTAAATGTGTTGTTTTGATTGGACGGCGGCATTACAACAAAAAACATAAGGATATCCTCAAGAAAAAAGTACTTACTTTTGCTTTCCTTGGAATGGTTCTCTTTATGTCGGTTTAATTCTTATGATTGTGCTTTTACACTTAAGCCAGGTCAAGCGTACCCCCGAAGATTCCATTTATGAATTCATTATTCGGAAGTTGAATCCGTTGGTAGTTGTAGATTTCAGATTCATCTCCGTATTCTTGCATGCCTAGTGAGCAGTGAATTCACATGCAAAGTAATTATGAAATTTGTGCAAGCTCAGTTTTCTAGAATTTGATGTTAAAGTCTTCGAAGCAATTTTGTCCATTCAAAGATATTTCAATCTGACCGAATACATTGAAGATATGGTAAAAAAATATCAGCTCATTACGCATTCGGGAATGCAGATTTGAATTTGATAATGATTAAGGCAACGACTTCCAGATCCAACATTCGAATAATAAATTCATTGATGGACTCTTGGGGGGAACGCTTGACCTGGCTTGACCGTAAATGATTTTACCAGCGTAAGCAAGCCATTTGGCTTTGCTGGTGACACGTTTACTGCCATCTTTTCAATTTTAAGGGTGATACTGGTCCGGTCGGAGAAATGGGCGCACGTGGAAAAGATGGTAACCCGGTAGGACTTCAACTGATGTTGTTATATTTTGAATAAACTGGAGCAAGGAATCAGTATGTCAATGAAGTATGGTCACTGACAGAAATTATCATTGATTTTCTATCAATTTTTTTGGTCGTTATTGCCAAGTGGTCAAGGGAATTAATTTTCTGTGGCTGAACTGTAATTTAAATTTTGAATTAACAGGGAAAAATTAATATTGAAAGACTTTAGTATCAATACAGTTGATACTGGAAATAAGCATAGTAAAGAAGTTCAGAGTACGGGGCATGGGGGCAGGAGGAGGGGGAGGGGGAGGGTTGGTAACGGAAGTGCTTTTCGAATAAACTAACGTGACAACATCCCTGTTCCTTAACGTCCATTTTTATTTTCTTTTATCTAGGGTGGTAATGGTGTGATAGGCGCGCGTGGATTCCAAGGATCCAGGGTATGACTTGATTTTACTGCCTATGAAATGTAATCAGCTATTCAAAGAACACCTTTTTCACCCATTTAGATAGACACTTTGAAGCTTTAAACTGTTCGTGTTCAGACATTTTTACTGATCGAAGTTGTTTTCCATTGTGCCAAAATTCCCGAAAACGGTGTAAGTAGATGATGACGACTGAAATTAGGAAATAATTATTTGCAAATTTCGCAGTTATACCTTAGCAAATGTCGCCAATTTTGGTGATTTCACATCTGAATTTGTAAATTAACTTTAAAATCTCGCGCCAAAATTAAGTAGTAATTTGTCACCCACGGTGCTACGTTCGAAACATATTGAGATGCGTGCCGAGGTAATCCTTTTTGACCGGATCATTTCTAGTCCCTTTTCATTGAGAAGTAATTCAAATTTCTGTGGAAATGTAAATAGAAATGTAAATATTGCGGTTGAAATGAAAATAGAACGCCGGCTTCGATTCAACAATACCGGTCCATGCATGGCTTCTATTCTCTGACCTATCGGCCTGATATAATGGAAAGTACCTCTTGTGTCTGATTCTATATTGCTTTACACTTTTCTTTCTTGGACCAACATTACAGGCCTTTTATCTTTATGCGACCGTCACCTCAACTCCACTAACGGTCAGAGCGAGACTTATATGACCCTCGACCACCAAACTGCCAGTCCAGAGTTCGGACCACTAACGAGGAGATCACTAACATTCTAACTGTTAGGTTAACAATTCACCATACGCATTATCCGTCTGGACGGATAATGCGTCCTCTAGTATAAAAACGGCCATTGTTAGTGTATTTTAATTGTTCTTTTAGGGGAGCCCTGGAGAATCCGGGACGAAAGGAGGACTAGGAGACAAAGGAAAACCAGTAAAGAATCAGATTTTTAAGTTTTTCTTGAAATTAAAAAATATTTTCCTCTTTGATGTTAACTAATGATCATTGTTAACGTTTCAGGGCGCAACTGGGATGCCAGGTCGGCCAGGTATTCCTGGACGAAGAGGAAAAAGGGTAAGGATTAGAATTACCACTTGTGAAGGTAGTTCCTGTAATCAATCGGGCGATCTGATGGTTCTCCTTCTGTATGTTCATCAGCTCATGCTGATCATCATCATAATCGTCATTTATTTACCTTGTCTCGATCACAGTGCAAGTTTACAGCTACGTTAGCTTTGGCGTGGAGACCTCCAAGAAATCACCAGGCTTATAAGAGTAGTTGATTTATATAATGGGAACAGGGTCTATTTAGAACTCGCGTAGATATCCAAGCCGTTTTCAGGCGTCAAGGATTGCTAAATTTCTGCACTATTTTCAAACTACAGTAGAATTCAAAATCGACGAGGTTTTCTTAGTTATCCGTAGCTATTAAATGAAAGGAAATTCCTACAAAAGTGAATGAAAATGCAAAGATATGAAAAATTTTGCTTAAAGGGCTAAAAGAAATGGGCAAAATCCCATCCCCTCTGATGTTTCTGCCATTCTACTTTATAAAAGAAAATTGTGATCGGCGTTTCATCTAGTTTTTCTTACTAAATCAATGTAAAGAAAAAGATTGAATAAAGTTAACTGAATATCGTGCGCGTCAATGGATGTTATGTAACTCTTGTTTTTGACCTGATCGCAATAAACAGAAGCAAGACGAAAGACATGTGAGAAAGACTTTCAAGTTGTAATTGACTACCTCAATGAAGATTTCACAATAAAACTTGTCCTTTAGAAGCATTTACTCCTGTATCATGAAAAACCATGTCTCTCAAACTTATTTATTTCAGGGACCGTTCGGCGATACTGGAGCAACAGGGGGTGCAGGCATTGTGGGTCCTCGGGTCAGTAAAAGCGCGCGGCGTGTTACTTCTACGCTGCAGTTAGCATGTCATTTCCATTCATGCGTTTGTTTAATTTGAATTCAGCCTTACATGAACCTTTCAATAATGGTTTCTAAGAGGCATTTTACGGGATTACTTTTTTGTTACATTCATTTATCCTTAATGTGCGGGGACACTGCCATGCCCATTAAAAATCTTCCTGTAGTTATTTACACAAACGTTTCATTTATAAATTACTGTGTAGAAGTGACCGTGAAGTTTAACGGTACGATTCCTTTATAGGCATCTCCAGGGCCGCGAGGATACATGGGACCACCAGGAGAGCGAGGAACAAAGGTCGGTTTTCTTTTGGAAGGGTGATCGTCTTGAGATCATTTATATGCATACTTTTTGTTGTTGTTGTTGCGTTTTATGTATATTTTCTTTGTTTAGGGAGAGTCTGGGGTACCAGGACCGCAAGGAAACTCGGGACGGCAAGGTGATAGGGTACGCTCCCTTTGTGACTATGTGCGATATTAGGGTCCTTAAGCAACGATGACGACGATGGCAACGAGAATGGCAGGAAAGTAATAGGTTTAGATTGGCAAAACCACAAGCCTGCATGAGCACGACGCTTTTTTGTACATTTCTTTGCCGTCGTTGTACGACTACGACGCTTCCTAGTTTCACTTCTTGTGGAGGACGTGAACGCAAGGCAACGATTTCTTTTTCTTTTTCTTAACTGAAATAAAGTCCTTTAGAATCAACTCCAGAAGAATCCCCCAACATTAAGCAAATTCTATAACATGGAACAAGAATAATAAAGTTTGAAGCAACGCGAGCTCGCTTTCCAAGTGACGTTTTCGCTCCCGTTGCCGTCGTGGTTGCTTGAGCTCCCTATTGGTTTAAGACAGGAATTGCAAATATACCCAGTGTTCTTACAGGTACACACGTTGAGTTTTCTTCGTTATGCTTTTGGAAATGGAAAAAACACACGATGTTCTCGGTTTCTAATTTATTGCGCGTTGGTTACACGACATAAAAATCTCTCACTAAAGTAAAATTTGTTCTCTAAAGATATATAATACCGCACATACATTTTTTCACTTATCTATCAGAAAACCTGTTAATACGCACTATACCGGAATGTTTCAATTACGTCACTAGATTCTCGCGTTAACTACAACTTGCGTGTCTCACTAATAGAGCTCTTGACAGATTTAATAGCACTAATTGAAAATGCGATAATAATCAAATATTACTGACAACAGTTTCCGGCAATGCACTCCTATCCTATTGTTTATTCTTTTTTTGTGAGCAAATTGATACTCAGAAAGACTAATACTGCCTTATATAATCTTAGGGAGATGATGGTGATTATGGTCCCTATGGAGATCCGGGTAAACAGGTATTGTAATTATTTTCATATGATAACGGACGTAGAGAAGTTTGCTAGCCCATATTTGTTGTATTAGAAGTTTACTTTGCTGCCCACAAATTCTGTACAATCCCTTTTTCTTTACTTAAGTTACCTTAGAGCTCACGTCTCACCTGGGAATCCTAAATACTTGAGTATATTTGGAAGAAAGATTGTCAGTGACGTATAAAAATTTTTATACATTCGAAATATTTCTGCCCTAATAGCTACGAGTCATAGATGCTGCGTTCGGACGAATAAAGTAGCCCTACATGGAAACGATCCTTAGTCGTTTTCACCTAACTGTTATATTCTTCTTTTCAGGGTTTACGTGGCATAACAGGGCCAGCTGGCCGACCTGGATCACCTGGCTTACACGTAAGAGTAATAAAATTAACAAATCCACCGCAGTTTTCTATTGTCTCCGCTCTTATAGGACACACGAATGACGCCAAAATGTTTAAAACTTAAGTAGAAAGTTGAAGACATTTTGACGACAGTACTTATAAGTCTGTAAGAGTCCAGATAATGGTAAGGTTTGGTTGATTTGTTTCTTACAATAACATTGAAAATGTCCATTTCCAGCGAAAAAACTGGACGAGTGAGACAGAGAAAAACAGATTGCGCTATAATTACCTCATTTCGTCAGTCGATACTCTCGCAAACAACGCTATCGACCAATGAGAAATCGCTTGGTTATTAAAACTACTGAATATGATACCAAAGCGCTCATAAAGGTGGAAACAGTATTCATTTGGTAAATTTTTATTTTTGCAGTTTTATCAACTTTTTGCTTGAGCAGCTCGTTCAGGTTACTCTGTTAGCAAGACGTTTGTCTGCCGTTAATTCCTTTCCTTTTTTTGACAGGGTGAACAAGGGGATTCTGGTACACTTGGTGAGGATGGTCCACCGGTAAATACTGACGTCTTCTAACAACCAATACGAAATCAATCTTGTGGGTTTTTTTGTCCACCTTGCAACTACTTGAATCCTTTGAAAGATACTAAATACTGCCAATGAAGCAACAGTAAGAAATTCACTATATAACTTTTAGATGGACCCCTGTTAATGAAATTCCTTTAAGAGAAATTCCGTGATGTTCATTCTTTTTCAACCAATCCTTTGGATGTTAGGCCTCTCGTTATGGAGTGCGTGAAACATTTGCGAGAGAAATATTTTACTCTTCCGCTTTCCGTTTCAGTAATTTTCTTTCTGAAAATAGGGCGCCCCTGGTAACCCAGGAATTGCTGGTCCTACTGGAGTGAAAGGGGAACAGGTATGTATCGACATCTGACAAATGGTCTGCCTTTTAAGAAACTACTAACGTGCGCAATTTGAAACATTACTACATTTCTTTTTCAGGGAAGATCTGGTGAGCCAGGACAGCAGGGAGAGGAAGGACCTGAAGGACCAAAGGTAAGCCAAGCAAGTCACCTGTTCTTCGTTTGAAGTCAAATAGCTGTAGTTAATGCTCTTCCTTACTTTGTAGGGAGATCTTGGACCGACTGGATCAATAGGAGCACCTGGTCATGCTGGCCAACAGGTAAAAGAAACCTTTCTGAACCAGTCCTTGATTAGGGAGCCCTACACGTCTCTTCGCAACGGGCCACGAATGATGCCATAGAAAGACAGCACCGCTATAATTGCTGGTGTGACCTTTTACACTAAACATCTTCGGCAGCACTACGGAACGTTTTTGTCTTGTTTTAATGTTGTATGAACTGAAATTTGCGCTGTTGTCATTGTGAACGATATAAACACATCTTTCATTTAACTTGAACTAAAACGGAGGTTTTTTTGTGTAATGATGCTCTATTCTTGCCCCTGCAGGGATCTGGTGGAGAGCTGGGTGAAGCGGGTGCCATTGGGCCACCTGGCGACTTGGTGAGCGTTGATGTTAATTAATGCTGGTTGGTTTTTCTTTGGAAAGATAGTAACCATGTAATCATTTAAACAGTTCCAAAAACAATTCTATCTTGTGTCATTTTTGTCTTTTCGCTAAGGGAATGCCAGGATCCCATGGCGCAAAAGGACAAGCCGGTAGTCCCGGAGTGAAAGGTCCAATTGGCGATGACGGACTAAATGGTGTTCCGGGAAACAGGGTACATCTATTTTCTCTTTTTAAATTGCCTGCTACGCTTTTATTGTTAAATACTTTACTGAACGTCCCTTAAAGACGAATCATACTTTGTGAGGCTAGCCTTGAAATTATGCCTTGTATCCCCCGACACTTTTTCTGAGTGTTTCTTTTTCTAAATATGCTTTAGGGTTCCGTCGGAAAAGGTGGCAACAAAGGTGTGGGTGGAATAAAGGTATGTCGTACTTTATCATGGTTTGGTTTTATTTTGACTCTTGAACATCAAAGCTGTTAACCTTTGAGACTTAAATAAAACTTTCGCTATCTTTTAAGGGTGCTCCTGGGGTATCTGGTGAACGTGGGGACCAAGGAAAACCTGGAAGAACAGTAAGTCTATGAAGCTCTGATGGCGAAAGGTTTACAGGTAGCACTCAAATGTTACCGGGTGCTTTGCATCTTGCCAAACAGAAGGAACGTCAGCTTCGGTCTGGAAGAGAATTTTCGGGAAGAAATGGTAACGAGCTTAAGCAACGACGACGGCGACGGCAACGAGAACGGCAAAAAAGCAATACGTTTAGATCGGCAGAACAGCAGCTTTGTACATGTATCACGCTTTTTTGTACATTTCTTTGCAGTCGTTGCACGACTGCAACGTGAAAATGCGTAAATGCACGTTTTGTCGAGGACGGGAACACAAGACAGCCACTTTCTTTTTCTTTTCCTGAACTTTGATACAGTGCTACAGAATTCAACTCTAAAAAAATTGCCAACGTTTGACGAATCAAACGGGATGGAATAAGCGCGATAAAGTTTGAAGCAGCGTGAATTAACTCTTAAGGTGACGCTTTCGTTTTCGTTTTCGCCGTCGTTGTTGCTTAAGCTCCCTGGTTTCTCTCCCGAGGTGGTGGTCAGTGATCGGTCAGACCGAAACATGCCGTGCCTTTTTTAAAACTTCTAATTTCCAAATTTTTTTCTCTGGGAAGCGACAAAAATTTCGGTGGATGTATAAAAAGGAAGGTTTTGGTGTTTTTTATTTATTGATTTTTTTTTTCTGGAAAAATTCGGCAGGTCCTTTCAAATGCATAATCGCACTCCATTTTTCCTTGGTTAGTTCCATTCGTCTCTGATCGGTCGCTTTGGCAAAATCGTACCTAGCAATAAGCAGTTGTCTAATATCAATTCATGTCAAATTTCTTTTTCATTTCATAGGGATTTCTCGGGCCTGTCGGCGAGCCTGGGACACTGGGCATTGCTGGACGTGGAGTAAGTCATTGATTGGTTCACAAAATACTAAGTGAAGCGAAAATATGAGCCTAAAGAGGGAATTTGTTTACGACACAACACAGCTGCCTTGACACGGCTAAGTGAATTCTTGACGAATTGAGGAATTGCTTAACTCACGTGCCCCTTCACAGGCAGTTAACAGCTAGGCATCCAATTCAAAGTTTCTTTCAGTGTGACTTCTCTTTAATGTTATTTTAAATTTTATTTTCATCAGGGTTTAATAGGTGGCTTTGGTCCGTCAGGTAACCCTGGCTCAAAGGGTGAAACAGTAAGTAAACACTCAGCTAATAGGCCTCTTTCAAATTATAAAAATTCATACTTGGCTCAGAGGCCCATGGGTATAAACCTAAAGAAATCGCGTTGAGATTCATGGATGAATAATTCATTTCTTTTCTTTTGCTCCCCTCAGCTTCGGAGCCAAGTGTGAATTTTTGTAACTCGAAACTGGTCTTTTCATACCTAATTACATTGCTAATTATTCCTACCAGGAGCTCATTACACGGAGTGAGCAACTCCAATACGACTAGGCTTATGTCACGGCTTTTTTACCGACCGGTTATTTTTAGGCACTTTTTAGGGCACTTTTTCTTTTTCTTATTTAGCCTAGAACTATGATTAGTACGACTATCTCATATATTTATTTTAAGATTTACTGTAGCTCTGTCATTGATTTTCCCATGTGTAATTATGATAATATTTTGTTCTAATTATCTCACTGAGGGAGCCCATTCCTTATAAGCCCGGTGGCTTCTCTTGGGCTTCCTCGCCATGAGAGTTTAAATAATTAGATCTTATTTGATTTGTACAATTTATAGCAAACAAAACAATAAAAAATATAAAAATAAAAAATATAAGGTTTTGCTGACTGGGGCTTAGAAGATCTTCTAAATCTGCCCCAAAATCGATATAAAAGTAAACTGGTCGGTGTAAACACCGTAACATGAGTACTTGGAAAGTTTCCCCCTACGGTTATGGGCTCCTGTTCCTAGTTGGTTTATTTTTTTTTGTTTGTTTGATTTTTTCAACTCCATTTTTGTGTCTCACAAATAATACTAATAATAAAAAGACAACAGGCAAGTAAGTTCAAACTGAAAAAAGGCATTTTTTTAGTGTGATTGAAGAATATGTTTAAAAGAATTCATTCAAATTTTCTCATCATTCAATTTTTTTGTTTTAGGGCTTCCAGGGAGCCAAGGGTGGCCGTGGCAAGCAAGGTTCCAACGGACAACATGTAGGTAACTTGCAAATAAACTCAGTAGTGTAGGCAAATTTACTTCTTTGCATACTCTTATGGAACTTTCATCGTTAAAGCTTTTGCTGTTAATGAGGATAAACCAAGTCAGAGAAACATTTTCTAATCCGTTGGAATGGCAAAATTTCCTTTACTATTTAGATATTGCAAAAACGGGGAACGGGGACAAGCACGGGGAAAAGGGAAAATGAAAAAAGAAAAAAGAAAAAAAAGGTGGGACAAAACCTAACCTAAACCCTAACCCTATCAGTAGCTTCATTTCCAGTTTTCTGGTTTGTTCCCATTTTTCATTTTCCCGTTCCCCGAGCTCGTTCCTCGCTCCACCGTCCCCGTTTATTAACATCGTTTCCTTTTCGACTAATTCACTTAAATTTATTACCTATATTCTTTTGTTCAGGGTACAGATGGTCAACGAGGTTCGCGTGGATCCCGTGGAAACAGAGGCGAGAAAGTAAGAAAATATTTAACTAATGATTTTATAGTGCTAAGCCATGACGAAAGTAGTGCAACAGATACACAGAACCGTGGAGAGGGCGATACGATTTTAGCGGTGGGAGCAGGCGCCCTCTGTCACAGGACACTTTGCTCATACACGAGGATACCGCCAGTGAAGAGAGAAAAGTTTTCGCGCGCACGATTTTCCCTCCCCTTATACTTTAGTACTCTTTCCTTGTAAGCTGAGTAGAGCAAAACAACAAATTTTATATCCGCAAAAATGGTGTTCTTTTTGCAGGGCCTTTCTGGGGATGATGGTATTCCAGGGAGGCCAGGACGCGTTGGTGATAGGGTATGTGAAAAAAAAAATGTTTATGGTGGCTCGATGGGGTTTTTAGGGTCAATTCCTCCCAAGTTTGAGTACGTCGACATTATCAAAGATTTGGAATAATTACCATCACAGCTGTATTAGATAAAGATGAAGATTTGTTATGATCAGGTTGCATTGACATCGGAGTTGTCATAGCAATGAAATGACGCCATTACCTGGGAACTCTTTAATCCAAAATCTGACCTCGAAAAACCCCATCGACCCACGTTAAACTTCAGGTGGTTTAAGTGCGATTAAAAACCTTCAACAAAGGCACGATTGGTAATAGTGCAGCTTCTGATTGGTTTAAAGGTTGCGTGTTATCTTTTAGGCGATCACGCAGCGCAGAGAAAAGGTGGTAACGTCTGATACTTAACTAACAACCAGTCGAACTTTTGAATTTGCCTTTTTTGCATTAAGTCTTCAAATGATAACCGCAGACTAATTATACTGTCCTATGAATTCGTCTATTGTTTTAGATGCAAAACACTTATTTCCTTTCAGTCCTCCTCCAATTTACTTATTTACTAAGGTTCACCAGTTCTTGTCAAGGATACGGCAACAGCGCCTGGCGCCAATTACTGCGGGTCCGCTGCGCGATCGCCTGAAAGATAACACGTAACCTTTAACAGGGCATGTCCAGCCCTGACCATAAAATCCAGAGTTTCTCTATCAGTTCTTTACCTAGTTACTTCTCAGAGGTGTGAAAGTATGCAAAAGTCTGACAAAGACAGGATATTGTCACGCTTTTCCCCTAGTCACGAACCCTGTGACAATATCCTGACTTTGTCAGATTTTTTCACTCTTCTACACCTCTGGGAAGTTTAGAACTATATATAGAATGACAAATGGTTCGATTCGTGACTACGGGAAAAGTGTAACATTATCCTGACTTTGTCGGACTATTCCACACTTCTACGCCTTTCACAACTGTAGAACTTGAGCTATGAGAAAGGAAAGTAGGGTTCTTTCACACTTCCACACCTCGGAGAAGTGTAGAATTAAGGATGGAAAAGGAAAGTAGGGATCTTGTGGCCAGCGCTGGACATTTGTGAGCGCCTGATGAAGCGGTAGGAGACCGGTGCTTACCCACTTAAAAACAGATTAACGCTCGGTGGTTAATGTTGTACTCAGTTTCACTCACCCTAGAGCTCTATTTCTGTTGTACTGTTAATGACAACATTAGGTGACAGACCTTTACGCTGTACCGAATAACACATTTATCTGCACTCTTGTGAAAATTTTTTTGTCGAACTCTTCAGGGTCTTCGCGGAGATCAAGGCGGCCAAGGGAATCCTGGATTTGAGGGTCCAGAGGTTAGTCTGACCTTACATGAGAGACCGTTCATTTTTATCAGGTGGCGGGGAATGGTGGGATTTGAGGGGAAGGGGGGGCACGAAAAAAATACGGCTTTTAGGGAGGGTTCAAGTTTTGCAGTGACGGCATCTGTAATAATGCAAACAGCCAACATGCAAAAAAGGGCAGCGTTTTTGACGTGCAGATTTTCGCTGGGAAGCATGCCCCTGACCCCCTACTTTATTAAGCACCAAAAAGAAATTCTACCGCCACCAAAATTCAATAAACATAACAAATCGAACGTTTCATTCATCAAAAAAAAAATCTCCATTTTCCACAATAAAAAATGGAATGTCTCTTGCATTGCCGTCGATGGAACTTTTTGCTATCGCCACAACTACTTCAACTGCTGCAGCAGTTTTATTTGGTTACTTCTGGTAGCTTTTGCTTAGTGTTTAGTGTTACCTATTATATAGCCTAGCAACGATGTTGTAGTAGTGTAGTGGGTGTCGTCGTACAAGTGTGTTGGTAAATTCAGGTAGCGTTTGCTTAGTAGTGAGTTTTGTTTCTTCAATCTACCGGCAGGCGGAGACAGATTTAAAGTCGCGCCATCATATTAACAAACCAAATAAAAACAACATGGTCGTCCTCATTTGGTATACCTTCTGATACAGTAAATATTTTGCATTAAAATAACTAAGTTTGCTACTTTTTGAAGCTTGCAAAGTTTCTCTCGCAGTTCTCATTTTCAAAAGCAGACTTCTTTGCAACGTCAAAACGTCTATTTTGATTTACGTTCATTTTTTTTTGTACTCGGTGGTACCACCCAAAAATTACTAAAGAAGAGGGGCGTCATCATATACTACTGGAACTACCCATCAAGTCCCGCCAGCCCCCCTCCCCTCCTCCATAAAAAATGTAAGGTCCTTTATGGACTTTTGTTTTTAGAGTCATAACCCATTACTCTTACTAATCGTGTAACTTCAACACAATTGACACCAGCTATTGCAAACACCATTACGATTTTGTCAGTCATTCATATAAGTGCGCATTGGCCCCTCTTTGTTGTCAAAAGGACGTGTTGTTAAAGTTAGGTGTCCTCGATGCAACAGGAAGCTTCAATTGCTTATGTGGTCACCACCAGCAACTGAAAATAATAATTTCAAGAGGTCTTGTCCGCTGGCTAAGAAACATCTGAACGAGATTAAGGATATCTCGTCTTTTATAATCTTTCTTTCATTTATAACTCTTTGCAAACGGATATTACTCAGAGCTTTCCTACAGGCGTAGTTACGAATGTTATGATTGTTTTATTCAGGGTAGCGTGGGTCCTGTAGGGAGTCGAGGGCTACCAGGCAAACGTGGAATTAAGGTTTGTAGGTAACTTTTCACCCAGGGTAGCTTGCATACTAAGTTTTCGCTCTCTTGAACACTAGTATTTTCCTTATGCACTTGCTGCAGTCACATTCCCAGAAGCCGTGTTACCACTGACCAGCAGGAGGCGCAGCCTGCTGGCCTGTCTACCGCGGTCAGCAAATGTTTATTTTAATTCGTGCAGTTTCATGCCCCACGAAAGAGGAAACACAAGTCTACGGATGACAGCCAGTCAGAGTGTAAAATATATTTTATTGCCTCCCTTCTACGCGATTTTCTTTATTTTTCGAAAATAATGCTTTGCATCCTCAAAATATTTCTTTTAAAAATAGCAGCTATGTTTTCTGTCTCCTTGGAGGGAAACAGTCAAGCTCCAGGGATGGTCTTAAAACTTGTGAAAACTTAACTTCTCAGACTGGATTGTAAGCCATACTTTAAAACACATAATAGATGTATAACAGTATATTACACTGTGCTGTTTTTCATGAATGCATCGTCCTATGTTGTCATAGGGACCATCTGGAGAGCAGGGCCTAGCTGGACTGGCGGGTGAACAAGGACTTGAAGTAAGACAATAAAATATTTAAGTAGTATTAAAAATATTGTTGTTGGTTTTGTACCGTTATCTGAAAGAAAAACTTTGCTTCTCCTGGAGGGTACGTCCCATTACTTCCTCATTTTGTTGGTTTCAGGGCTCTCCAGGCCATTTTGGGATAAAAGGCGTTCAAGGCGATCGCGGACCAATGGTAGGTGAAGTTACAAACTAGATCCCTTGGGCTTGGAAATAATAGTAATGCAGTAAATGGTCGTCGTGACGAGTACTGTTAACGCTGTTCGCCAGTCATCAAACGTATTTGTAATTTCTTTCCAGGGTGGCATTGGAACACCAGGAGGTACTGGACTTGAAGGACCTCTGGGACCATCGGTTAGTTACTGGCTGTAGTTGCGAGTTGTTGATAATACCACACGTTACTTTGTTTTCTCTTTTTTGTGAGTCATTGCTCGGGAAGATACCTACTGAGCACGCTATGGCCGCCTGCATTTACTAGTGAACAACAAAGAATAGAACAACTGGCGAGTTAAGAGGACTAAACAGTCATAATCTAACAAAGAAAAGAAAGAAAGGAAAATGACAGCAAAAACCAGTAAATAACACGAGCACACTGAATATCGTCTGGTCGCGTCTTAATGTGGGAGGGGATTTCTTCGAGCAGCTCCAGACTGTATTAAAAACTATGGAATTAAGGTAAACACGAAACCTGGAAATGAAAATCATCTAATGTAAACAAAATATTTTGAACATTAAATCTTAACAGGGAGAACAGGGTCAACATGGAAATCGCGGTATGGATGGTAGTCCTGGGCAACGGGTTAGTATATACATGTGTTAATAATCCTTTCACGATGTAAAAAATTTCAATGAACAAACAGCAACCACCACTGCACTACTACTGCGCCACCCTCTCGGTCATCCGGGCCACAATCAAGACTATCCGTTGCAGGGCAAAGGCAGTACCTTATCCCTTTGTTGTTTTAAAACCCTGCGTATTGTTCCGGTCTCGTGGATCAAACTAGTAACGTCCCGCTCTGCAGACCTGCAGCGCTTTACCTAATGCGATAACCCTGCCTTCTTTTCTTTCAGGGATCACGTGGAGATCTTGGAATGCCGGGCAACAGTGGAAAAGAAGGCATGGTGGTACGATCAATTTGGCGTCTAAGAATGACTGTTTTTATTCTCGTGCATATTTGTTAACTGCTCCTTTTCTTTGTCACGTAATAGGGTCGTAATGGAGCTGACGATGTCTCCGGGACAACAGGAGAAACTGGTTTACAGGTAATATGTAGGATATTACTAACCCCTTAATTTTCTTTGGAATAGTAGAGAGATCGAAGTGAAATTTGCCACTCGCGAGGAAGGTCTCTTCTCCCCGCGTGTCACCTAACTCGCGCGTGGTGATTTTCAAGCGCGCTCGCGTGTTTCGCTTTCTTTACTATCCCTGAAGAAAATGAGCCACTTCTTGTAGTCTACGTTAGAGAAGACCCAAACAACAAGTGCATGCATGCTCATCACTAGAGTTCTTAGTAGCTCAGTGGTTAGAGCATCCGACTAGTGTCTGGAAGGTCGTGGGTTCAATTCTCAGAATTTTTTTTCTGAGTTCTGCTCTCCACACAGACCATTCTATTTTCTATTAGTTACGTAATCGTGAAACCGTTTGACAGGTTAAACCTGTCAGTTAGGTGTATTTCAACTCCGTGAAAGTGTTGTGAATAGTCAGTTATTTGCTACCATATAACTAAGTTGCGCTGATTTCTCAAAATTCACTGTAGGCTCTCAGCCAATGAGAAGTCAGATAGCGAGTACAATGTATAATAATGACTAAACAATGTAAACAAAAAAGCGATTTTCGCTTCCACTGCTCCAACTCCCGAGCCAAGCGAATATAGTGAGAAAAGAGCTTGCTCGCGGGCTATTATAATTAACACGTTCACTGAGACCATAATGCACCTTGTTTATCCCCTCCTTTCCCTCCCAAAAAGAAATTGCATAACCATTGTTTCCAATTTCTCCTGAATACTTCAGTCGTCCCAAGAGAAATCGAAGGTAATGGTTATGCAATGGTTACTTTGGTGTAAACAAGGTGCATTATGGTCTACGTAAAAAAAGTGAATTCTCTTCTTTTCACTCAGGGTCCTCTTGGGGCAATTGGACCACCAGGACCCCCAGGGGAGAGCGGACAGATGGTAAGTACATACACACTGTACTACATGTCCTTTTTGATTTAGTTACTACATGTACATGTTACTGAACTGGCGTGGAACGTTTTTTCCGTCTTTTTCGAGTTCGTAAAAATGGGGCCAGGGGCCTGTTTCTCGAACGTTTCGGTAACTTTTCGGGCCCGGAAAGTTATTTTGTGTTCACCGTGTTTACATTCAAGATCAAAGTTTCAATAATTTTGAAAATGATACAACGAAACTATCAGTTAACGAAGCAAAATTGACTGATTTGTGAGCTACGCTGGAACTGTGCTACTATCTTTTCTGCCCGAAAGCAGCTCTAGAAGAATCGCTTCTAAACAAAACACTTTGAATACTAGCAAGTTACCGGTACATTACGCTCTCATTATTAACAAAAAGTGTGTGTTGATAGTCCTTCCACCATGGAACAACGCAACGACTCTCTGGCAATTTTAACCAAAATAAACGGAGTAAGCTAATGAGGCTCATCATTTATACTTGGTTGTTCGTCAGGGTATCCCTGGAATTATGGGCCGCAGAGGAACTGGCGGAGAACTAGGCTCCAAGGTAAGAAAATACTATGCAACTCTTCCTTAGATGATGATAATAATAAGTATCTCCCTAGCAAAGCCTTAAGTTTATAGTTCAATAACAACTTCTAACAAATCAAAGCAGTTGTAAGCTTGTTGCCACATAACGCTTTTTGTTGTGACGTATTACGTATTTTACCTGTAAGTTCCTAAGCAGCACTGATAAATAGTCCATTTTCGAGTTCGCTATGACCGCTGAATGAAAGAAGCGAAGCCGCATTTTTTACAGCCTTATCCTCAATCTGAAGTAATACATTCACAAATTCCAACGAGAAAAAGACATGTTTATCACTCTGTCTATTGTGTATATTCAAATTTCAAACACTTACTTGCCAGAATTTCTGAATATTTTATTTTATTTTTTTAGTAAAATCCAACTAGTGGTCTATTATCAATGCTGCGTTCTGATTGGTTGAGCTACTACTAGGCTATATGTTATAGCCTACTACTAGTAGCGAAAAGCGCGCGCAAAAAAGGATTAAAGTCTCGCTTTAACTAGCTAAAATTGTTTTATTTTCGATATTTTTGACCAATTAGTTGGATTTTACTAAAACAATTATTCCTCTCGCCCTCATGGCCTCTGAGTCAATAGCCCATTCGGCCTTCGGCCTCAAGGGCTATTGACGCAGAGCCCATTCGGGCTCGAGGAATAATTGTTAAATATTCAGCGGTAACTTTTAATTCGAAACTGGACTATTGCGTAAAAAATTTTGGTATAACAAAAACATACCTTAAATGATCCATGTGAGGATCGAACTCACGACCTTGGCGTTATCAGCACCACGCTCTGCCGACTGAGCTAACGGACCAGCTATTTTTAAAGTGGCAGAATTTTTGGTTTTAATAATCGAATTTTCTCGCGGTTTTGGAGTTTCATTTCATCACCCCGGGGACATCATCCCTGTGTCCTTGGGTTGAGGGATGTGGACTAAGTGGTTCTGATTTAAGTAAATACCAGCCATGACCGTAAACAAGAAAAAAATTAATAAAACGGATTTGTCTGCGCTGATAGGATTGCGTAAAGAAAAGGTTAAGTAAAAGAAAAAGATTCTTTCAGTGGTCCGTGTGAGGGTTGAACTCACGACCTTGGCGTTATCAGCACCACGCTCTGCCGACTGAGCTAACGGACCAGCTATGTTTAAAGTGGCAGAATTTTTGGTTTTAATAATCGAATTTTCTCGCGGTTTCGGAGTTTCATTTCATCACCCCGGGGACATCATCCCTGTCTCCTTGGGATGAGGGATGTGGACTGAGTTGTTCTGATTTGAGTAAATACCAACCATGACCTTAAAAAAAGAACAAAAAATAACAGATTTGTCTGCGCTGATAAGATTGCGTGAAGAAAAGGTTAAGTAAAAGAAAAACATTATTTCAGTGGTCCGTGTGAGGGTTGAACTCACGACCTTGGCGTTATCAGCACCACGCTCTGCCGACTGAGCTAACGGACCAACTATGTTTAAAAGTGGTAGAATTTTTGGTTTTAATAATCGAATTTTCTCGCGGTTTTGGAGTTTCATTTCATCACCCCGGGGACATCATCCCTGTCTCCTTGGGATGACCTGACCTTAAAAAAGAAAAAAAAACGGATTTGTCTGCGCTGAGAAGATTGCGTAAAGAAAAGGTGAAGTAAAAGAAAAATATATTCTTTTAGTGGTCCGTGTGAGGGTTGAACTCACGACCTTGGCGTTATCAGCACCACGCTCTGCCGACTGAGCTAACGGACCAGCAGTTGTAGAGGTGGCAGAATCATTTTAATTTTATTAAAGATAAGATATTTTTCCTTCATAGTTCAGCGGTGATTTGATCAGGATAGACGCGTCTTTTTGAGCCCGCTCGCTTTCTTATGTCTAGTTAATGTCTTAGGCATTCTTTCTTTTAATTCATTTTCTTCTCTTTCCCTTTGAGCTTTTTTATGATTGTCTTGTTGTTTCCCTCTTAGAAAAGCCCCGCTTATTGTGGACTATGTAATTGTAAATGATTGTTTATATTGAATAAATTGTTCTACAGTGATAATGCGTGCTTCAGTTTTCGTGTGTTTTTTTGTTTTTAAGACTCAACAATTTATGTTTCTCTTACTTTTTCTCATTTTCTTTTGCCTACTCCTTATGCCTTTCTTTTTGAAGACAATTTAACTTTATTTAATTTTCTGCTAACCCCCACCTGTCTCTCAAACAACCAAACTTGCTATCCCAGAATACCGGTACCCCGTACAACCTGTAGGTAGTCATTTCAAATCAAGCTTACAGCCACTTTGTCCATATGAAATGCAGGCTCAGATTCCGCAAGAGAATGGTAAATCGTCCTCAGACTAGCTTGACAAGTTATTGTGCTTTTGTCGTTTCTTTTCGTCCTTCAAGCTGCCCTGTATCTTCTGTGCTCTCTTTTCATCCCTGTCTAATTAAATAATGTGAGACTTAACATACATTTATTTTTAAGTTTTAGTTATTAAATACCGTTTACGTTTTGAATTTTTAGGGAGAAATAGGAGAGTCTGGAGCTAGTGGACAGGATGGGGAAGTGGGAAAACGGGTTTGTCTATAAACATATATGCTTACTTTCAATAAATGACTGAATTCCACTTCTTAAGGGCTGTTTAAGAAGGCGGAACAACTTTTCTTTGGGTTTCCATTCACCAAAATGTTTACCAAAATTTTGCATAACCATTGTTTTCAATTTCTCCTTGGTATTACAGTTGTCTTAAGTGAAATTTAAAACAATGCTAATGCAATTTTTTTGGAGGGGGAGGGGTGGGGGAGGGTAAACGAGGTGTCTTTGGGCAATGTGAAAATGGTGAATGATGCAGAAATTTGGTCGGTGTGGTTTCCAGGCAGAGATGGAATTAAAATGGAGGGCGACAATAACAAGGTTGCAATTTAAGCCGTTCTTCCCTATTTACTAGCGTAAATAACTACCTTTCAGCAGCAGCTGGCAAAATTATCACAATCATCAGCTTGTGGTAACGCCCAACGAAATTGTCGGTCTTTATTGCCGTGATTACCTACCGAACGACCCGCCACAATTTTGTCTGGTTTGTGCCCAGTATAAGGATCCTCCTAGCGAAAGCAGTTTACTTGGTGCTAGGGTCTTCCTTGTGAAGGGATGTTCCTACCTCTCCGCTTGGGAGATCCTAGCGCTAAGCACAAGTACAACCCCTTGCATGTAAATTGATTACATAAAACATATGGCGCTAGGATGATGCGCCTCCTAGGATCTTTCTAATGCTAGGATCTTCCTCCCTCCACGTAAACAGCCCTTTACACTAGCAGTAATCACTCGAAAATAAAAAAAACATTAAAAAGTATAAGTTTCCCAGAAGAAAATATAGCATTTGAAAAAGTAATCCATTCACTCCTTGGCTCAGTGGAGATTAGGTTAAGTTAAAATCAGCAACGTTCTTTTTCTCACAAACTCGATCTTCTTGTAAGATTCAGAAATCAGAATGGCTTTGGTTATCTGTCTTTCAGTAAGCAGGTCAGTTTTAAAAGTCTTCCTTACAAAGAGAAGTTTTCTATGTTATTAATTTTGTTGGTTGTGTTTTAGGGCGACGGTGGTCTTCCAGGAAAAATGGGCTCACGAGGTGACACAGGAAATGACGTAAGTGTACAAAAAACTGTTCTTTCCATGTTTAAGGTGCAGTTGAATATTCAATCGTTTTTGTCAGGGCTCACCTGGATCTGCGGGAGTTGTTGGAGAACCTGGAGAGGCTGGGTTTAAGGTGAGCTTAGAAACCTTATTCTTGTTAATACAATCAGCCTTTGACTCCATTTACGCCAAATTGTTGTTTAACAACTGAATCAATTCAGCAGATAGTATAAGGCTTGCGCATATCATCTTATCCCTATCCGTGATTGGTATTTAGGAATAAACTGATCCTCCTAGATAGTCCTGGGCCCAGTTGTTAGAAGGTCGATTTGCGCTTAACCTGCGGTTAAATTTAACCCGGGTTTCTCCTTCTTGTGTTCAAAATCATTTCCTCGGATAATTTTCTTTGTTATATTTAGAGCTTTCAATCATCAAATTGAAGACAAAAAGAATTAAAACTGAAATGCTTTTTAAGCTTTCAATCTGAATTCAAATCTCGCACTAACCCTGGGTTATCTTAACCCAGCCTTGAACAACTCGGCCCTGACTAATAGTGATTGGAATTTTCTTGAAGACTGGACTGGTCTAGCCAGCCAGTTCTAACAAATGTTAAGCGCCAGCAAGACTTTGAAAAGCATTCTGGCTGTTCCCATTAAACGTTTGCGACTGTTATCATCATCAATTTTGTTATGATTTCAATTATGATTGTTATTTGTTATTCAGTGCCCGGAATAAAGGTAAAAGGTTTACGTCAAGCGTAGCTTTAATTACAGTGGTACTTACTCATTGAACAATCTTCCCAAGGATGTACTCACTGCAAAGTCTCTTGATGACTTTAGGACAAAATTCACTCTTGGTTTTTTGATCAGTACTCCCATATGCAAAACAGCTTATAGATAATATATTTATTTTCTAAATATTTATAATTTGATATTTTAACCGTGTGTAAATAAAGCCATCATCATCATCATTCTTATAGGGTGAGACAGGAGAAGCTGGACTACAAGGTCGCGCAGGACTACCCGGCGCAGCTGGCATCGTTGGTGGCCCTGGAGTGAGGGGACCTGATGGACCAAGTGGTCCTAATGTAAGTAAATATCGATCATGACGGAAAGAAAGAAAAAAGAAACAGATTTGTCTCCGCTTATGAGATTGTGTGAAGAGTAAGTATAGCAAAAAGAAACATTTGATTAATGGTCCGTGTGAGGCTTGAACTCATGACCTTGGCGTTATCAGCACCACGCTCTGCCGACTGAGCTAACGGACCAGCTATGGTGAAACTAGCAAAATTTGTGGTCTAAATAGTCGAATTATCTCGCAGTCTTGGAGCTTCATTTCTTCTCCCCTGGGACTTTGTTACTGTGTCCGTGGGGTGAGGGATGTGAAACAAGTGGCTCTGATGTAAGTAAATACCAACCATGACGTTAAAATCGAAAAAGAAATTTTAAAAAAAGATTTATCTGCGCTCAAAAAAGTATGTCTAATAAAAGGAAAAACGCTCTTTGATTGGTCCGTGTGAGGGTTGAACTCACGACCTTGGCGTTATCAGCACCACGCTCTGCCGACTGAGCTAACGGACCAGCTATGTTTTAGATAGTAGAATTTTTGGTCTAAATAATCGAATTATCTCACAGTCTTGGAGCTTCGTGTTGTCGCTGGGACACCATGCGGTGTGCCTGGAGTGAGGGATGTGAAACAATTGGCTCTGATGTAAGTAAATACCATCCATGACTTTAAAGTCAAAAAAGAAATTTAAAAAAGATTTATCTGCGAATGAGTGGTGAACACGGTAGAATATCCGTAGATATGTGTAGAATGTTCTGAATAGATTGTGGAGGGCAACCAAGCGCGGTAAATTCTCGCGTTCTGCATGGGAATTTGATGTTGTGCTAAACTCTAGACAATAGGAAATCCCAAAGCAAAGAATTATCCAAATCTATCCCATCGCTTCAATATTTACTCAATTTTGCGCCTACGTTAGGCAACTTAAAATGTTACAATGGACATGAAAATCGGGCATTTTATAGTACACTGAATCACTGCAATTTTTAAAGAAAATCTATCGTCGAATTTCGGTTTAATCGCTGTTTTCGTGAAAGTAGCCTTAGAAATTACAAAAAGAGCTCAGCATTGCGTTTTACCCAGATTCACACTTTTTCATCTTTTTCGAATTCGCGCAAGTCTACTTGCGTTTAGCTGATTGTAGAGTGTAAAAGGGTCATTTGCAAAACGAGTGAGTGATAAAACCTTTCCGTAATCATCCCAAAAGTAGCAAATCCCAGTCTTTCGTTCATGCATAATTTCAACCCTTTTTGTAAAAATTCGAAGATATCGCCAAATTGTTCGTATTGGTTTCTGTGAATTCCGCGTAACGAAGACAAGCACCGAAAGTATAAGCCGGGTAAGGTATTGGTTTCTGTGAAATTCCACGTAACGAAGACAAGCACCGAAAGTATAAGCAGGGTAAAGCATTTCCAAAGTTCAGGTCGATGAGGGCTTGAAAAGGCCATTTGCACTATGGCGTCATTTTACTACTACGACCAGAATCCTTTTTGGTAATCCCAGCGAGATTTAAATGGCAAAAGCCGTAATTTGCACAAGAAGGGAAAACCCTGAGGGTTTCTGGTTGTAGTAGTAAATGTTTGAAGCAAAAACTGTTGTGACGTCATTGTCACGTGATATTTATTCCGATCACCCAAAAAATAATTTAACAATTAATGAATGAGGCTGAGTATCTTATGAAGAATTAAGGAGATAGAGGAGGGTGATGGCCGAGGCGGATAACACCCTCCGAGATCTCCATAATTCTTCATATGATACGAAAGCCGAATTCAATAATTGTTTTATTATTCATTCAAAATAATTCCTAGTTTAAAAACATGGCTAAAACATGCTTACCTCCATCGATCCATCGATGTTAAGTTCATCTTCGATAGTGCACGTTTAGGGTTGTTCAGCTCCGCAAATATTCTCTAAATAGCAGATGTCGCCCTTCGAGTTGTCTTCTTGCTGTTCTTGCCATGTTTTTAGCTATTTTTTCGCCCAGTTCTTACTCTTGAAACGAGTGAAATGTCCGCCATTTTTTGTTTTCACAACCAAAACAACTCAACCTCGTCCCCACGTCTTCTCGGTTAATAGGTGCATTAACCCGTAGAAGGCTGCATTTTTGACGTCATTTCCTCGTTAAACACAAAATTCTTCCAAATTTGGTCATCAGTAACTGGTTATGGTGAATTAAACGTGTGCTTTTAGCCAGTCAGAATCGGGAATTATTTTGAATGAGTAATAAATCACATTTAAGTTTAGTCTATCTGTAACAGGTGTGTTTTAAGGGTTTTACCACAAAGATCAATTTGTTTAAGTATAAAAGATTCAAAGATGGTAAGTGTCGCTACAAAAGTATTGTATCGAGCCACCTTAAATCCCTTCTTATCCTATAGCGCTCGTTACTGAAACAATCGGGTTTTTTTCATACGAATCTTTGTATTTTGAAGGTTGCGAAACAGTGCCGACGCTCATATTTATAGACTAAGTGGTTCTTATGTATGTAAACACCGACCATTACGTTAAAGAATGGGTTGCGCAAAAAATATGTACAGAAAAAAATAAAAAATGCCTTGGTCCGTGTGAGGGTCGAACTCACGACCTTGGCGTTATCAGCACCACGCTCTGCCGACTGAGCTAACGGACCAGCTATGTTTAAGGTGGTTGAATTTTTGGTTTTAATAATCGAATTTTCTTGCAGTCTTAGATTAATTTAATCTTCCCTGGGACACCATGTCTGTGTCCCTGGGGTGAGGGATGTGAAATAAGTGGCTTTGATGTAAGTAAGTACCAACCATTACTTTAGAATGGGAAAAGAAGAAAAAATAGATTTATCTGCGCTGTTTAGATTGCGTGAAAAAAGTAATTTTGATAAAAGGAAGGACAGGATTGGTCCGTGTGAGGCTTGAACTCACGACCTTGGCGTTATCAGCACCACGCTCTGCCGACTGAGCTAACGGACCAGATATGACGGAAGAGCAGAATGTCCGAAATATGATAATGTTGTAGAATGTTGTGAATAGATTACGAAGGGCAACCAAGCGTGGTAAATTCTCGCGTTCTGCGTGGGCATTTGATGTTGTGCTAAACTCTAGACAAAAAAAATCCCAAAGCAACGAATTATCCAAATCTATCACATCGTTTCAATATTTACTCAATTTTTTGCCTACGTTAGGCAACTTAAAAATGTTACAATGAACATGAAAATCGGGCATTTTATAGTACACTGAATCACTGAAATTTTTAACGAAAATCTATCGTCGAATTTTGGTTTAATTGCTGTTTTCGTGAAAGTGGCCTTAAAAATTACAAAAAGAGCTCAGCATTGCATTTTACCCAGATTCACACGTTTTCGTCTTTTTTGAATTTGCGCAAGTCTACTTGCGTTTAGCTGATTGTAGAATGTAAAAGGGTCCTTTGCATAATGAGTGAGTGATAAAACCTTTCCTTAATCATCCAAAAATTAGCAAATTCCAGTCTTCAGTTCGTGCATAATTTCAACCCATTTTGTAAAAATTCGAAGATATCGCGAAATTGCTCGCATAGGTTTCTGTAAAACTGCGCATAAAGAATGACAAGCACCCAAAGTATACGCAGCGTAAAGCATTTCCAGAGTTCAGGTCGATGAGGGCTGAAATTCGATTTAAAGCTAAAACTATTGTGATGTCATTGTCACGTGATATTTATTCCGATCACCCAAAAAATATATCATAATTAAGTTTAGTGTATGTGTAATAAATGTGTTATAAAGGTTTTACCACAAAGATCAATTTGTTTTTAAAGGTATAAGAGATTCAAAGATGGAAAGTGTCGCTACAAAGTATTGTATCGAGCCACCTTAAATCCCTTCTTATCCTATAGCGCTCGTTACAGAAACAATCTTTTTTTTTTCTGAAATGATAATCATCTTTATTGAGGAAACCTTTTTCATAAAAGATATGGTTTTCAAAAAGGACCTCTCATACAAATCTTTGTATTTTGAAGGTTACGAAACAGTGCCGACGCTCATGTTTATAGACTAAGTGGTTCTTTATGTATATAAATACCGACCATGACGTCAAAGAATGGGATTGCGCAAAAAAAATTTAAGTAAAAGATAGACTTTTCCTTGGTCCGTGTGAGGGTCGAACTCACGACCTTGGCGTTATCAGCACCACGCTCTGCCGACTGAGCTAACGGACCAGCTATGGTGGAGTGGCTGAATTTTTGGTTTAAATAATCGATTATCTCGCAGTCTTGGAGCTTCGTTTTATCTTCCCTGGGACACCATTGCTGTGTCCGTAGGGTGAGGGATGTGGAATAAGTGGCTCTGATGTAAGTAAATACCAACCATGATGTCAAAATCGAAAAAGAAAGCTTTATCTGCGCTGCTAAGATTGCGTTAAAAAAGTATGTTTATTAAAAGAAATAAAAATTTTTTGATTGGTCCGTGTGAGGGTTGAACTCACGACCTTGGCGTTATCAGCACCACGCTCTGCCAACTGAGCTAACGGACCAGATATGGTGAAAGCAGCAGAATATCCGAAATATGATAATGTTGTAGAATGTTGTGAATAGATTACGGAGGGCAACCAAACGCGGTAAATTCTCGCGTTCTGCATGGGAATTTGATGTTGAGCTAAACTCGAAAATAGGAAATCCCAAAGCAAAGAATTATCCAAATTTATCCCATCGCTTCAATATTTGTATTAAATTTTGCTCCTACGTTAGGCAACTTAAAATGTTACAATGGACACCCAAATCCGGCATTTTAATTTTTATAGTACACTTAATCACTGAAATTTTTAAAGAAAATCTATCGACGAATTTTGGTTTTCTGTTTTCGTGAAAGTAGCCTTTGCGTTTTACCCGTATCCACACGTTTCCATCCTTCTTTGATTTCGCGCAAGTCTACTTGCGTTTAGCTGATTGTAGAGTGTAAAAGGGTCATTTGCAAAACGAGTGAGTGATAAAACCTTTCCGAAATCATCCCAAAAGTAGCAAATTCCAGTCTTTAGTTCATGCTTTGTTTAAACCCTTTTTGTAAAAATTCGAAGATATCGCGAAATTGCTCGCATAGGTTTCTGTAAAACTCCGCATAACGGATGACAAGCATCCAAAGTATACGCAGCGTAACGCATTTCCAAAGTTCAGGTCGATGGGGGCTTGAATTCGATTTAAAGCTAAAAATATTGTGACGTCATTATCACGTGATATCTATTCCGATCACCCAAAAAGTATCATAATTAAGTTTAATCTATGTGTAATAAATGCTCATAAACAAGACCAATGTACAGTGCTTCACGTAAAAAAGAATTAAAACGAAATTTGTACCTTAACATCTGTTAGAAAGAAAAGTCCTCTTTCGATGTCAAAGTCCATCTCTTTAAGTTGAGATTTACTCTCCTTATTGAACGCAATCCCCTTAAGCACAGGAGGGATGTTCTCAGAAAGGCCAATGAGATTCTGGTTCTTATCCAAGACGTCGTAGTCGAGTAGTCCTCGCGTTTCATGGCTGACAGGGGTTCCGCTAGTCGCTTGTGATAGACTTGACATTCGGGTGCCATGCCACCTCTAGTGGTGAACACCAGCGGCGTGAACGTGGCTTGTTCCACCGCCATAACTCGGCTTGCGTACATACGTTTCTTCTCGTTTTGATATACTGGCGATATATTAGCTGAGGGGTGAAGCCCTTGTAAGATTCCGCATTTGAGTGGCACAATAATAATAAAATGTGTTATAATGGTTTTACTACAAAGATCAATTTGTTTAAGTATAAGAGATTCAAAGATGGAAAGTGTCGCTACAAAAGTATTGTATCGAGCCACCTTAAATCCCTTCTTATCCTATAGCGCTCGTTACAGAAACAATCGCTTTTTTTTTCATACAAATCTTTGAATTTTGAAGGTTGCGAAACAGTGCCAACGCTCATATTTATAGACTAAGTGGTTCTTATGTGTGTAAATACCGACCATGACGTCAGAGAATGGAATTGCGCAAAAAAATATGTACAGTAAAAGAAAAAATTTCCTTGGTCCGTGTGAGGGTCGAACTCACGACCTTGGCGTTATCAGCACCACGCTCTGCCGACTGAGCTAACGGACCAGCTATGGTGAAGGTAGGAGAATTTTTGGTCTAAATAATCGATTATCTCGCAGCCTTGGAGCTTCATTTCATCTCCCCTGGGGCACCATTGCTGTGTCCGTGGGGGAGGGATGTGAAACAAGTGGCTCTAATGTAACTAAATACCAACCATAAGCTTTAAAATCGAAAAAGAAAAAAATAGATTTATCTGCGCTGTTAAGATTGCGTGAAAAAAGTAATTTTGATAAAAGGAAGGCACTCATTGATTGGTCCGTGTGAGGCTTGAACTCACGACCTTGGCGTTATCAGCACCACGCTCTGCCGACTGAGCTAACGGACCAGATATGACGAAGGCAGCAGAATATCCGAAATATGATAATGTTGTAGGATGTTGTGAATAGATTACGAAGGGCAACCAAGCGTGGTAAATTTTCGCGTTCTGCGTGGGAATTTGATGTTGTGCTAAACTCTAGACAAAAAAAATCCCAAAGCAACGAATTATCCAAATCTATCACATCGTTTCAATATTTACTCAATTTTTTGCCTACGTTAGGCAACTTAAAAATGTTAAAATGAACATGAAAAACGGGCATTTTATAGTACACTGAATCACTGAAATTTTTAACGAAATCTATCGTCGAATTTTGGTTTAATCGCTGTTTTCGTGAAAGTGGCCTTAAAAATTACAAAAAGAGCTCAGCATTGCATTTTACCCAGATTCACACGTTTTCATCTTTTTTGAATTTGCGCAAGTCTACTTGCGTTTAGCTGATTGTAGAATGTAAAAGGGTCATTTGCATAATGAGTGAGTGATAAAACCTTTCCTTAATCATCCAAAAATTAGCAAATTCCAGTCTTCAGTTCGTGCATAATTTCAACCCATTTTGTAAAAATTCGAAGATATCGCGAAATTGCTCGCATAGGTTTCTGTAAAACTGCGCATAACGGATGACAAGCACCCAAAGTATACGCAGCGTAAAGCATTTCCAAGGTTCAGGTCGATGAGGGCTGAAATTCGATTTAGAGCTAAAACTATTGTGATGTCATTGTCACGTGATATTTATTCCGATCACCCAAAAAATAATATCATAATTAAGTTTAGTCTATGTGTAATAAATGTGTTATAATGGTTTTACCACAAAGATCAATTTGTTTTTAAAAGTATAAGAGATTCAAAGATGGAAAGTGTCGCTACAAAGCATTGTATCGAGCCACCTTAAATCCCTTCTTATCCTATAGCGCTCGTTACAGAAATAATCTTTTTTTTTCTGAAATGATAATCATCTTTATTGAGGAAACTTTTTCATGAAAGATATGGTTTTCAAAAAGGACCTCTCATACAAATCGTTGTATTTTGAAGGTTAGGAAACAGTCCCGACGCTCATGTTTATAGACTAAGTGGTTCTTTATGTATATAAATACCGACCATGACGTCAAAGAATGTGATTGCGCAAAAAAAAATTTAAGTAAAAGAAAAACTTTTCCTTGGTCCGTGTGAGGGTCGAACTCACGACCTTGGCGTTATCAGGACCACGCTCTGCCAACTGAGCTAACGGACCAGATATGGTGAAAGCAGCAGAATATCCGAAATATGATAATGTTGTAGAATGTTGCGAATAGATTACGGAGGGCAACCAAACGCGGTAAATTTTCGCGTTCTGCATGGGAATTTGATGTTGAGCTAAACTCGAGAAAATAGGAAATCCCAAAGCAAAGAATTATCCAAATCTATCTTATCGCTTCACTATTTGTATTAAATTTTGCGCCTACGTTAGGCAACTTAAAATGTTACAATGGACACGAAAATCCGGCATTTTATAGTACACTGAATCACTGAAATTTTTAAAGAAAATCTATCGACGAATTTTGGTTTTCTGTTTTCGTGAAAGTAGCCTTAGAAATTACAAAAAGAGCTCAGCATTGCGTTTTACCCGTATCCACACGTTTCCATCCTTCTTTGATTTCGCGCAAGTCTACTTGCGTTTAGCTGATTGTAGAGTGTAAAAGGGTCATTTGCAAAACGAGTGAGTGATAAAACCTTTCCGTAATCATCCCAAAAGTAGAAAATTCCAGTTTTTAGTTCATGCATTGTTTAAACCCTTTTTGTAAAAATTCCAAGATATCGCGAAATTGCTCGCATAGGTTTCTGTAAAACTCCGCATAACGGATGACAAGCATCCAAAGTATACGCAGCGTAACGCATTTCCAAAGTTCAGGTCGATGAGGGCTTGAATTCGATTTAAAGCTAAAAATATTGTGACGTCATTGTCACGTGATATCTATTCCGATCACCCAAAAAGTATCATAATTAAGTTTAGTCTATGTGTAATAAATGCTCATAAACAAGACCAATGTACAGTGCTTCACTTAAAAAAGAATTAAAACGAAATTTGTACCTTAACATCTGTTAGAAAGAAAAGTCCTCTTTCAATGTCAAAGTCCATCTCTTTAAGTTGAGATTTACTCTCCTTATTGAACGCGATCCTCTTAAGCATAGGAAGGATGTTCTCAGAAAGGCCAATGAGATTCTGGTTCTTATCCAAGACATCGTAGTCGAGTAGTCCTCGCGTTTCATGGCTGACAGGGGTTCCGCTAGTCGCTTGTGATAGACTTGACATTCGGGTGCCATGCCACCTCTAGTGGTGAACACCAGCGGCGTGAACGTGGCTTGTTCCACCTCCATAACTCGGCTTGCGTACATACGTTTCTTCTCGTTTTGATATGCTGGCGATATATTTGCTGAGGGGTGAGGTCCTTGTAAGATTCCGCATTTGAGTGGCACAATAATAATAAAATGTGTAATAACGGTTTTACTACAAAGATCAATTTGTTTAAGTATAAGAGATTCAAAGATGGAAAGTGTCGCTACAAAAGTATTGTATCGAGCCACCTTAAATCCCTTCTTATCCTATAGCGCTCGTTACAGAAACAATCGCTTTTTTTTTCATACAAATCTTTGAATTTTGAAGGTTGCGAAACAGTGCCAACGCTCATATTTATAGACTAAGTGGTTCTTATGTGTGTAAATACCGACCATGACGTCAGAGAATGGAATTGCGCAAAAAAATATGTACAGTAAAAGAAAAAATTTCCTTGGTCCGTGTGAGGGTCGAACTCACGACCTTGGCGTTATCAGCACCACGCTCTGCCGACTGAGCTAACGGACCAGCTATGGTGAAGGTCGGAGAATTTTTGGTCTAAATAATCGATTATCTCGCAGCCTTGGAGCTTCATTTCATCTCCCCTGGGGCACCATTGCTGTGTCCGTGGGGTGAAGGATGTGAAACAAGTGGCTATGATGTAACTAAATACCAACCATAAGCTTTAAAATCGAAAAGGAAAAAAATAGATTTATCTGCGCTGTTAAGATGGCGGGAAAAAAGTAAAATTAATAAAAGGAAGACACTCATCGATTGGTCCGTGTGAGGCTTGAACTCACGACCTTGGCGTTATCAGCACCACGCTCTGCCGACTGAGCTAACGGACCAGATATGGTGAAATCGTCAGAATTTTGGTCTTAATAAACGAATTTTCTCGCCGTTTTAAAGCTATATTCACGTCACGCTGGAGACAAACCGATTCAATAAAACCTATAAGATGGTCAGAAAACGGCTCTGTGACCACAGTAGGCTCGATTTCCGCCGCTCTCTCGGCTTTCCCCTGTTCGGGGAGAGGAACGCAGCTTTATTTCCCGACCAGCGGCTGGTAATCGAGCCTTGGACCACACAGGAAAGACAAAAAACAACAACAATGTAGCTGAGGTTAGCTGATTCTTTTTAGCCTTCTCCTTAATCCGAGTGCTCCCAAATGCCTCAAAAATAGATTTCAACTCCTCTCTGTTTCACGTGGACCTCTGGGCCGTCTTACGAGAGCCTCTCTCTATGACCTTAAGTTTCCATACCCACATAGCAACTCTGGGAAACGCGCATTGGCCTACAGTGCTTCTAAACTTTTCAATGATTTCAATTCTGACGTTAAAGAGTACTTTACTACTTCTTCTCTGCGGACATCCAGTATCCTCTCCTCCAGTAAGTGTGTGCATTACGTAATCTGTTTCTTTATTATTATTTGCCAATACAGGAACCCCTCAAAAAGAGGATCTGTCATGCTTAAATTGCCGCTATTCTATTTACTGTAATTGGTTTTTCATATTGCCAACCACTCCTCCATATTTGAACGATTTACATATTCATACTACACGCATTGTCCTTATCTATTTTCGTTATTAGAACGCGTAGAAGCTCGTAGACTATTATATAGCTATTGCATTTTTATATAGTATATGTTATTTCAATATTTTTGCTTGTTGTACATATTTTTGTATATTTTTCCTCCAACTTATTTTTTAGAGGGCCGTATTGTATTGTATTGATGTTTATTTAAATCCCTTCTTATCTGTATAGCGCTCTTAACAGAGCAATCGTTTTTCCCAATTTTGAAGGTTACGAAACAGTACCGACGCTCATATTTATGGACTAAGTGGTTCTTATGCATGTAAATACCGACCGTGTCGTTAAAAAAAAAGGAAAAAGAAGATTTGTCTGCGCTGATGGGATTGCGCAAATGATATGTATAGCAAAACTTTTCCTTGGTCCGTGTGAGGGTCGAACTCACGACCTTGGCGTTATCAGCACCACGCTCTGCCGACTGAGCTAACGGACCAGCTGTTGAATGCAAGGCAAAATTTCTGGCCTTAAGAAAAAAATTTTTGTCGGTTTTAAAGCCACATTTACACCTCACTTTGGGGAAACCATCGCTAGTGTGCAAGGTTTATGACAGTTAGAGTCCGCACAATTCCGCATTAGATTTTAACTCGGCATAGATAAAAAAAGCAATCAGCTTTAATTTATTGAAACGGAAGTGAACTGTTATCACCTTAGTTGATCTCGATACACGCCACTGCATCATTCTACGTTCTCAGAGCAGTAACTCTGTTAATTTTTCAGGGAAGACCTGGTAGGACAGGTGATCCAGGACTTCAGGGAGGAAAAGGTGATACGGTATGTATGTTTATTGACAAAATATTAGCAGTTTGATTATCTTTCAGTTCTTGTTTCCTCAGGTCTAAAACCAATTGGTTGCCGCTCGTGTTTTCAAACTGATAAGACAAGTCTGCTCGTTTGCAAACATTCTCACTGTTTGTCGTTTTTGTTTGTAGGGAGACGTGGGTGAGCGTGGTGATTTAGGATCAAAAGGACCACAAGGAGCCAAGGTATGATCAGCCACGATCTGTAGTGTTAATGTTTCAGTTCACGTCTTTACTTCGTTTCGACACCCACAACCGCGCGTTCCCGACTTTCAAGGAGAGGTAATCTACATGCAAGCACCCAAAGAGGTGTACTACACCTAATTTTGAGGTAAAGGATTGTGGCCAAGAGAGGCTGCTCTCCTGACGTAGCCCGCCGCGCCTGTCGTTTGTTTTAGTGGATGATGTAGAGAATTACTTGCATACAGCATATACCTATTATTAAAATTGAGTCGCGCATAGCTCACTTCGGAAAAGGGTGATAGCCTGGGACCAAAAACGAGGCGCGAACGCATTTATGGGATTATTTGGGGGGACACGAACGTATTAAACAAACATGGCGGAAAGTGAAGTGCAATGTTTCAGTGGGGTTAAAACAGCTAAAACAGTTCCGAAGCAAACGTACATATATATTCTCGCTGGATACGTCTTGCCTTTAGTATTCTATAAAATGCCAGACCAGGGGAGTTCCTGAAGTTATTTGTGCACAAAGGCACACAACATCTTGCATGTCTCGTCATAATTCAAGGTGGCTGCTCGATTTCTCCCCCCAAACAATCCCATAAATGCCGCGCGCTCATAGTTTGGGTCCCAAGCTATCACTCTTTTCCGAAGTGAGCTATTCTCGAATTGCGCTCACCTCACAACTCCTGACGCGCTCTTTTACGAGTAAGGGCCTCACTCTCTTCCTCCAACCTGCTGTCTTAAAAAGTGGGTCTGGTTTCAGCTATGAGATTTTTTAAGAGGATGGAACATTACCCATCGCCTCACTCCTACCCTGTAGGGCTAGGGCGCTTTGGGACTGTTTTTGGGCGCGAACTACAATTTGATTCAAACCGACCCAGTCTCAGGTTTAATCCCAGACTATCAGACTATCTATAAATTGAATGTAAATAGTCGAATATCACAAAACTTAGGGCGCTTTCCATTTTTTAGAACTGGCGTGCCAGATCTGCACTATTATCCAACCAGATTAGTTTAGTTTGTAAATGGTATGGCCGGTAGAGGGAGTTCAAGGGAAAATTTCGGGTAAAAACTAAAATTTTCTTTTCAAAAATGACCTGTCCGGCCGGCCAGTTCTGACTTCTGGAAGGCACCCTTAAACTCCTTAGAGAACGTGCAAAATGACGTATCCTCAGCATTTACCAATTTACTTTGCTTTAGCTGACTGGGCGGCACCCATTTTAACATGTTTTAAGTCAGTGCCTTGCCTCCCTCCTTTTTCCTAGCCTGCGAGCAAGCTCTCCGGGCCGATCTGGCGGTGGGGCGGGAAACGAAAGGAGAGCTTGCAACTACGTCAAAAAGTCGATGCGAAATGCTGATTGGCAGAGATGATCGTTTTCTCTTCGCGCTGATTGGCAGAAATCTGACAGCTCATTCAGCGGGGAGCCATAGAGGAAGTGGAGTTGGAATTCAAATTCCAGAGACCTAATTGCAAGCTCTCCTTCCTTTTCCCGCCCCGCCGCCAGAGTACCCCGGAGAGCTTGCTCGCAGGCTACCTATTTCTCTGGTTTGGGTTCTTTTTGCCGCAGTATGCTTTTACAGAATGAGGGAAGCGTCAAATTTGAGGTGCAAACTCCCTACAAAATAAAAACGACAGATGCAATCAATTTTGAATCTGTAACATGTTATTTAGGGAGACCGCGGTGACCTAGGTTTGCAGGGGCCAGCAGGAGGTCCAGGATTAAAGGTAAAAAAAGATTCAACATAGTAAGGGATTTTTTATTTGAGTTTATAAAAATAAGTTAACCAGATAATGCTTAAATTAATAATTGTAGTTCAATACACCGTATTCACAAATGGCGGACACGCGGGAAAAAACTGGTGCCTAGTCATGAAAGCGAGGCGTTGGAGGGTAAACAAAAATTGCAAATGAAGACTTTCAGTGAACTTGCAGAGTGTTTAGCACGGATTCCACCTAAAATAACTTTGTACGGACCTCTTTTTAAATACAATTACGTGGAATGTCTTCTGCTATTAATGTTTAGTATTGATTTGCTGTTTGCAATCAAAAGCGACGCGTATATCTTCAAGGAAACAGGATGATTTTGTAGGTTTCCGAAGCATCAGAAGATCGACAAGTGGGCGATAGCTGGAGAAAAGCGGCAAACATGTTGGCCCAGACTTCACATTGAAACCGAGTTCGAAAGCCAGCTCACTGCAATTCGGTAAAACAGAAATATAAACAATGCAAATCTTGGTGGCAAGAAAAAAAGAAATACGCGATGGATATATGGCCTACTTGTTCACGCAAGAGACGTGCGCCATTGAACAAAACAGTTCAAATCGAGATGGAAAAAAGGAAGACAGGAAAGAAGCGGTGACTGAGGTTTCGATGAAGTTATGTTTGGTGTTTATTTGCCAGGACGTTATTCTCTGGTCTTTATCGGTGAAGGACATCAATTAGAACTATCTTTTGGTGTAAATGCAGGAGCGATCGAGTGGAGTACGCTCAAAATTTCAACTTGTTACTCGGCGGACTCGGTAAGCCGGCCACATTTCATTTCAGCGAGTAATTTTCCTATTTCTTATCTTTGGCTGTTAAGAGTTTTAACTTCATGGTCCATAATATTTTAAAAGTGAAGAATACATAAATAAATAAAATGAAGGTCTTCTTAAACGGATCCAGACTCGCACTTAATGATTCGAAACAGAAGCTTGCCGTGTTCAGTCCTGACAAAAACATTGCCTTAAAAGTTTAACCTAGTAAAATGTGAGCTTTATACCACTTTTTTACCAAGAGCTCTCCGAGATAATGCCGTAAAGGAGACCAGGCAAATAGCAAGCCATAAGATTCACACACTAGGGCTTCTAGTTTTGATAAAATTATTTTATTTCGCAATGACAAAGAAATCAAAAGATTTTAAATTTGCACTGAATTTGCTAAGCTCTGCCAACGTACCTCTAACAATTCACTCCAAAGCGACGGAATTAATATCATCCAAAGGAAGTTGTAAATACAGACATACATAGATATGTGTAAAATGATACTGACATGAATGAATGAGTCTCGTAAATGAATCTTTCACCCGCTCTCGACTTGACCTGTTTTGAGTAATGGCGGAGGTCTCTTCCGTTGACAAGTAGGCCATATATCCGTCGCTTATTTCTTTTTTTCTTGCCACCAATATCTGTTTTTACTTCTGTTTTACAGAGTTGCAGTGAGCTGGCTTTCGCATTCGGTTTCAGCATGAAGTTTGGGCCAACATGTTTGCCGCTTTTTCTCTAGCCATCACCCACTTGTCGAGCTTCTGAGGCTTCGGCAACCTACAAAATCATCCTGTTTCCTTTGAAGATATACGCGTCCCTTTTGATTGCAAACAGCAAATCAGTACTAAACATTAAAAGCAGAAGACGTCCCACGTCATTGTATTTAAAAAGACGTCCATACAAAGTTATTTTAGGTGGAATCCGTGCTAAACACTCTGCAAGTTCACTGAAAGTCTTCATTTGCAATTTTTGTTTACCCTCCAACGCCTCGCTTTCATGACTAGGCACCAGTTTTTTCCCGCGTGTCCGCCATTTGTGAATACGGTGTATAAAATTGATAAGCCGAATCGTGCTCATCAGTATTACTGGTCTTGAACTAAAACATGCATTTCTCTCTTCTAAGTGTCGATGAAGTGATTTTTTTAAAAGATTTGTTCTTTTTTGTTTTGCTTGCTGTGATCGCTGTAATGTAATTGACTTACTTTTTCCAGCAAATTCTTTGGATAATTTTTTCCCCATAACAACGCAACATTTTTGCTGCACTCTCTCGTTTTTTTTATTCACAGAGCTGGTGGTTCTATCTCTGTAGATAGTTGTCTATGACTGACGCCAGATCAAGATTGTGTTTTTGTAGCTTAAATATTCTCTAGTGATCTCTTAGCTGATAGCTCATGTTTTCTTTGTTCCAAGGGACCAGAAGGCTTGACTGGGCAGCGAGGTGACATTGGTCTTCCTGGAGAAAGGGTTCGATAGTACTAAGTTACATTAATGTTATTAAGGATACCAGTCGACGAAAAGGGTGAAATTCTGTAAACTTTGTGTTATAAGCGAATTATTTAAATTTACGATCTCTTTAAACTAGTTCCTAGTAGCTTAGTTTGATTCGTGAGGAGCACCAAAGAGCCGTTTCTTCATGGGTGACCAATTATTTATCTCCGAGCCAATTGCGCTTGACTGTCTTACTTATTAAAATATTTTGATGCGATTCCAGAAGAAAAAAATAAGGTTCCCATATATGGCCCTGCAGGGTGCTTCCCAGCCATGAAATCAAATATCTTCGTAGCATAACAGTACAGCAAACCATTTGCGAAAGTTTTTATAGGGTCTTGTAGTTTTGTTTGACTACTTGGAACTCTTTCATGAATATAGTTGTTTACCTCTTTGACCCGAAATTACCTACCACTGTTGAAATTAAATCCAACAAATTCTTTATTGAGTGGTGTAAGGCCAAAGCCAGAAAAGTGACACTGGCCAATCATATCATTTTGGGTGATTGGATGAACCAATCAGAATTCGAAGCATTCTACGCGGGAAATGCGTGCGAGCAGGTGACACTAGCCTCGGCGTTCATTGCTATTTGGTCGAAAAAACAGTGCGCATTTTTTTCTTTCTTTTTGTTTGTTTGTTTGTTTGTTTGTTTCAGCGTAGTGTTGGAATTGCGCATTCGATTTTTATTACATTTCAGGATGAATTTTTGATTTATAGGGCTCAAGGGGACTGCAAGGGTCACATGGTCTGGAAGGAGACCTGGGCCATGAGGTAAGTAGGCGTTTTTTTGTTTGTTTGTTTGTCTTTGTTGTTGTTGTTGTTGTGTTTTGTTTTCCCTTTTTCAAATTTTTACTTACTCGATACTTTGTGTCGGATCGGTGACAAAAAAACTGACTAGAGAAATCCATGGCACAAAGCTTGCCCTGAGCAATAATTTTATTAACGACCGGTCAATGATCGTTTAATCATAGTACGCGTTCGTTTTGTTTATTCTAGGGAACTGAGGGCCCTCCTGGTTTTTCCGGGCAAATGGTATGATATTTATTCATCATATCTTAACGATTGAATTGTGCTTCAGGTTTCCATAGGTTGTTTTAAACCCTTCCTCCCTACCCCTCAACCTTAATAGGTGGGTAGGTTACAATTGTCCATTGTTGTGGCACGTAGCATTGGACACATGATGGAACAGAGAATACAGTAACTATGGATTGAAAATTCGGTATCCGGTCAAGTCGCCCGAAAATCGTGTCGCCCGAAACCAGAGTTAAGTCGCCCAAAATGCTGAGTCATGTCACCTGAATTTTTTCAGGTGAGGTGCGCAGAGAAACAAAATTAATTTTTGTTAACATATCTCGTTCTTTAAACCATTATGAGACGAAACAAGAGGAATGAATGTGTAACATACCTCGTTCTTAAAGCGATGATGAAACGAAACAAGCGGTATAAGTTCATGTGTAATATCTTTCGCTCTTTAACCCTTCATGAATAAAGAAACAAGTGCGATGAATTAAATCAGTAATATATCTCGTTTTTTAATCTTCGATGAGACGAAAAAAGCGCGATAAATGTGCAGTAGGAATGCTAGGGTGTTGTTGAGCGTGATAAAATGGTGAAGGAGATAACGGGCGCGCGCGAGGGAGACACGCGTGTTCCCTCGCGTGTCTCCTTCTCGCGCGCCCGTTTTTTCTTGTGCCCACTACTTCCAAGCGCCTGCTACAGGCTATAAAATTTCGAGCCACATGACTCAGCATTTCGGGCGACTTGACTAAAAATTTCGGGTGACACAACTCTGATTTCGGGAGACATAACTTCGGGCGAGATTACTTTCGGGCGACTTGACCGTAAACAGAAAACTCAAGTGATCCGATAAACACCATTGAGTGTTAGTCCTAGTAAAGTGGGGACCACAAAAGGCAAAGATAAAATCTTTTGACCTCGTAAGAATTCAAAACCACTGCCTTCGGAATAGATCTACTGTTGCAGTATTGTCTAGGCTTGTACAGTTACTTGTACATGCGATTTACGACTGTGCTGCATTGTATAACGCGAGTTAAAGATTAATCTAAGAAGTTCATTATCACAAGTCAAGCAATCATTGTGGCCCGAAGGGGTTCATAATACTGATTCTGTTGATGGTAAGTGGGAGTGTAAAGAAGGCATGAATTTGCGCCTATACTGGTCTTTGCGCGAGTAGTAAGTTAAAATAAATTAACTTGATGTTCGAGTTAAATTCTTTGCCAGTAGCTTAGATGTGACTTTGATTTCCTATTGAATATAATGAAAAATCCAGTCAGACTTTTGAGTGCAGTAAATATCATTTAACAGGCACGTTCAAACTAATGCTCGTCTCCTTTGCTTTAACTTCAGGGTGATCCTGGAAATAAGGTGAGAAATGTTACTTGCGTAGTGACGAGACTCCCTATGCTACCGATGGAGCAAGCCCTCAATTAGGCCGCGTTTATCCTAAGAAGCCGCGTGTTCTCTCACGGCTCGTTTCGCTTGCAACTCGAAATGGAGAGCTAGCTCGCAGACTAACCAAGACGAGATAAGTTTATTATATAATGACTGATGGAATGTTTGATTCTCTTTTTTAGGGCCACAAAAGGAGAGCCGGTATGATGATTAGAGTTATGTTTCGTTTGTTTGCTGAAAATTGACATGGGAAGTATCAGAATCACATTAGAAAAGCTGAGTCACAGACAATAGTTTGTTTTTCTTTCTCTCTTCTTGGTTTTTCAATACCCTCTCTACAAAATTTGCAAAGTAAGGAAAATTCCCCAGTGCTCATGTTCTCATATTGTTGGCGTTAAGCGTTGAGCTCAAAGACGTCAAGGTCAGAATTTTCGCTTTGCTGTTCCGTTCTTTCGCTTATGTTTGAGTACTTGATTGACGCGTGACGTTTTTATAACCTTTAGTAGCGCTCGTCCATGTGGCACAGAACGAATTTTCAACCGGTACTATATTATTATTTGTGTTGCGTTCACACGGAACCACCACCTTTACCGACGTCCAGCCGTTCAAAGTTCCGTGTGAACAGAGCGAAAATATTGAACGGTCACGTGTCAACGAAGTGTCCGGTCAAATTTTTCAGCCGGTCGAAAATTTCGTCCGGTGCCGTGGGTGTGAACATAGCCTGAGTGACTACTAGCAAAGCCTCACTTCTCACCCTTATTCCCACAGGGACGCCCAGGCTCCCCAGGTCCTCCCGGACCCCTGGTGAGTTATTTTTGTTAATATTGCTCCTTAATTTTGGCGCGAAATTTTAGCGTTAATTTGTAATGTCACATGTGAAATTACAAAATTGCCCATGCCAACCTTCCGTACGTCTCAGTTTCATGATGGCGACGAAGTTTTGCGGAAATATCAAGTGAAGATGTCAGGTATTAAAAGACGCTTTAGAAAACCTACACGCACGAAAGAGCACATCGAGAAGGATTTTAACAGATATTTTGTCAAAAAATGCTGAAAATTTTAAACTTCGGCTAAATTTAAGCTCTATTCTTTTGAGAGAGTGGATTTCTTGATCGATACGATCTAGGATAACGATTGCGAATGTAGTTCGTCACCCATGATATTAATAGGTAATCAATGGTAATGCTCGTGAAGTTATTCCCTTATTTCACTAGTCACCATTTGATTACACATACTTATCCGGTAGGAGTATCCAGTGGGTTATTACAACTACTATATTCACTTGCACTAACAAAAGATGCTACAACACAAGAGAAAATTATTTAAAGGCAAAAAAGATGAAGTCTCGTACGAAATTTTCGTAACGATCTTTCATTTAATGGTGACAGTTATGACTGTAAGTTTCGTAAGATTCAATTCCTCAGGAACACCATTCAGAGCAACCTCCTTATTACTTATTCATGCAGCTTGGGAAAATGCCAATACGGTCAAGTATTACGACGGGAATAGCTTTCCTCAAAGTCTTTCGCTTCATAATTTGGATACTTTTGATAGGTCTACAGGTTTTGCAAGGAGTTTAAGTTACAAGATCTTTCTACCCTAGCCACAGAGGGAGCTATACTTCTGGTTAAGTCCGTCTGCAAAACAGCGCCGAAATGTTTGTTCTGGTCCCCCAGCTGTGTACCATGATTCGAGTACGCGTCATAATCGGCCTGTTAAAAAGCCACTGCGGTCAATTTGCCTATCACTTTGAAGTGACATTCGAAACGCAGTACCTTACTAATCGGAATTAGATTACGTTTGCAACGCAGGCAAGATCTTTCCTGATTTTATGGAAAAATTGATTAAGGGTGGCTACAGGAAATGAGATTTATATAATTATTATTTGTCCTTTGAACAAAATATCCTCTTGCAAAACAGGTGCGTATTACTTAATTCACACTCACCGAATATTTTTCTGTTCCATTAGACAGACCTTGGAGCGCTTTCTGGTTTTGCTCAGGTAACAGCCCCTTAGCTATAATACGGTTTGATTCTTTTTGCTTGGGTTTGAAAATGATTTAAAAGCTCTCAGTGTAGGCGACATCTTTTTCTGAAGATGGAAGAGGAAATGGTCTTAGTTTATAGGATTTGAATTCCTTATTATTCTCACCTTTTCACTTAGTTATTTCATTTCTTTTGTTCTTCACATTTTAATGTATCGTTCCTCACCTTCGACTTTTTATATATATCGTTTATAGTTTCTGTTCATTTCCATTTGATAATGGTGACATTGGCCGCCGAAACGTCATGTTTTTACGGCGCTGCGTTTTGTGCCTTTATGTGCTACGCGGGAGAGATATTTGTATCCCAAATTCTTTTCTCGTGTTTCGACCACTAGGCGTCTGCTCAAACCAAGAAACAAAATGTGTGTTCACTGCAAATAGAACATAACAGCTGGCGTGTACGCGCCTATCACGTGTTTATTTTGAAACAATCCTCAGCCAGCAATCAGAACGGGGATGATTTAGGGAGCTGGGGAAGGGAGCGGGGCCAGAGAGGGCTAGGGGGCTTTAGCCAACCGTCCTAACTTTCCCCCCAAAAATAGAACCGTACAGTGGAAAGAGCCTCTTTAGCCGCTGCACTTCAGTACTTCAACAACAACAATGCAAGCCACTAGTCACTCCCGCCCCCTCCCCACTACCTTCACCTTGGAAAATGCTTCGCAGCTTCCTTGAATTCGCAAGAATTGCTGATACAAAGTCGGGCGCCCTATCGACCGGATGTTGCTGCCTCGTTATGTGGCTTTTTCGGTTTGTGGCGAGCATAGCCGATGTTAATAAAAAGTAACATGACTTGATTATTTCTCCAGGTATGTTCTCCTTGTTGTATAATTATTTTTTATTTATTTTTTTGTTTGTTTGTTATTATTTTCAGCAGTGGAACTCTGGAGTCTCTGGATCTTATCGTGTTCGCAACGAGAAGGCAAATCTTTATCGAAGTTCCAAGGTAGCATGAAACAGTTGTTCTCTATGTCGCATTCAATAACCTTGAATAAAACTTAATGGCAGATCAGAAATGTAACGTCTATTTACATTTGTCTTCAGGCTGAAAAAACCACGTTCATAGATCCGGTAAGTAACCTTTTTTAACTGTTCACTTATGTAAGTCTTGAGATGTGAACCAGCGTCATTCCTTGTGCTATTCACTGAGTCTAAAAATGTAAAGCCTTGCATTGGAACGCGGTTGCTAAACTAGTTACTTCAGTCGGCCAATTATATCACAGTAGACACTTACAGCCCAAGGAGCCAATCACTGCTCGGGGAACGGAAATGAATTTAGCCAACTCTAAGTGAACAAAACGTGACCTGCGTGCATTCATGTAATGGGTCTCGTCTTTATTTCGTTAGTTTTCCTCATGGAAAAAAAGGCCAATTAACTGTTGTACGTCGAGCGACATAGCCTTTGAGTCGAAGCAAGTCTGGCGGTGACCTTGTTTTGATAGACACATCAATGCCATTTATATACACAAGAACAGGAGTTACATTTGAAAGCAGCAAGGTTCAAATCAAAACAAGGTCACCTCTCGCCTCGTTTGCACTCAAGGCCAGGATTCTCAATACACAACTCAAAAAAGGACTATTCACAGATGACGTTTTTAAATTAGTTCGAGTTTAGTAACTAGAAAAAAAAACATGGAAAATGCTTGTTGCACATTTTTTCCGTGTAGATTTTTTAAGACTATTTAATTATCAAGAAATCTCGAAAATCCTCGGACGTAACCATTAGACCATACAAAGTTATTATTTAGATTCACATTACGACTCTGAGATTGGCAAACAAAATAGACAGTACTAAAAGCTCAGAGTCGTGTTTTAGAGGCAGACTTATATTTGTTGCACAGAATTGATTGTAGTTTGGTTTTCTGTAAACACATTTTCTATTTTTGTGTAGGTCCAAATCAACTTAGCTTTACTCAGTTACCAACTTGAACTCTACAAAAAACCAAACGGCTCTAAAGAATACCCAGCTAAGACTTGTAAGGATCTTATCCTGTGCTATCCAAATCTGAAAAGTGGTAAGTTAAACTGCAAAAGATATGCTTCCTTTTTGAACTTTGATATATAGACGCAAATGGAAACTGAAAAGACTGGCTCTGATTTAAAGGGATTTCAGCACTGGGCTGGTTAGGGCCTCCAGTCTCAACAAAATACTTCAGTTTTTTCATGAGACAAACTTTCAGCCAATAAGAACGGAGTGTTTTTTCTTAAGCTAAGACAAAGATAGTTTAACTGGTCGAAGAACCTCGAAAGTGAGGCTAAACGGACCTTTATCTTGAGGATCAACTAACATATTGGATGGTACCGACGTTGGAGAAACTGGATGTAATATACATCAGTACGGACTCTTTCCCAGTTGTCTCTCATTGAAACTCTCCTTCCCATATTAAGGAGTGAGGACTAGAATTTAGGGAAGCGAGGGAGAGAGAGCAGGATATCCCAGTCGTCCTTCTCTCTTGTCCCTTTTCATCAGCCCTTGATTCGCCGTGCGCGTCACGAAGACGAGTGCAGACGAGTCAGGTATTAAGTATTAGTAAAATCCAACTAGTGGTCTATGATCAATGCTGCGTTCTGATTGGTTGAGCTACTACTAGGCTATATGTTATAGCCTACTAGTAGCGAAAAGCGCGCGCTTTTTGTCGGCAAAAAAGGATTAAAGTCTAGCTTTAACTAGCTAAAAGTTTTTTATTCTCGATATTTTTGACCAACTAGTTGGATTTTACTAAAACAATTATTCCTCTTGCCCTCGTGGCCTCTGAGTCAATAGCCCATGAGGCCGCTATTCACTGAGAGCCCATTCGGGCTCGAAGGATAATTGTTAAGTAACCAATAGATACGCCGTGCGATGTCTTTCGATGTTTTCACCAATTTTGAAAACAAATCTTTACGTAGGTGAATATTGGATTGATCCAAATGAAGGCGTTCCTGAAGACGCGATCAAGGTTTACTGCAATTTTTCGTTCAATGCCACGTGCTTGTATTCAAGCAAAGGGAAAAAGGTAATGGTTAACCTGACTGTAAGAATTTGTTTAGTTCAAAAACGCGCTTAGCCAATCAATGAGAACAATCTCCATCGCTATTTTTGCTTGTCTGTGTTCACGTTGCCTTAATTACCGTGTCCTATTTCAGCATTTTTAGCTAGGATTAAAACAGTTGGACAATTGACGACGGTTTGTTTCACCTATTTTTGTTTACGATTGGAGTTCTTCCCCCAAAAAAATCCATCAAAAACTGATCTATTGGTCTAGTGCTCAGAGAGGTCAAGAGACACATCATTTATACTGAGTACAAGTCCTTTAAACGATCGGGTTAACGTGCTTGCTTTCCTTTTAAAAATGGCTGAGAATTTTTTAACTAGAAGTTTTTTAAAATAATAAAGAAGCTGCTGCCTTTGGAGCTAGAGAATGTTACTGGTAATTCTTGAATAATTAACTGAAGCGGTGTAGGGAGGATGAAACGTTTACGGAAATAAGATCTCAATAATATTGTAAAGTAAAGAACAAAGAAAGGCCTTTACTGTCTCAATAACCCTCTTTAATTGTTGGTTATAGAAGGTTACTATAGACCTTGCTAAATTATTCCTTTCTTTGTTGTATTGGAATAGCCATTTTTATCCCAGAGGAAGAAATGGTATTCTGGTGTGGACGAGTACAAATGGTTGAGCGAGGATCTGGGAGCTTTTAAGAAGGTAAAAATTGAAATGCGAGCCTACTGAACAGGCCTCTTCTTATAACATTAATTTGATTTGACTCTTGTGGCACGCAGGGAGTTTACGTAGCAGCGTGTTTGAGCGACGCACGTGAGCGAGGCGTTTTTCTCTTTTTTAAACTATATCTTAACGCTACCAAATTTGTATTGCTAAGTGTCTTTACTCTTAAAGGGACGTTTTGCCCAAGAATTTATTCAAAATCACGGCGTGAAGAGTAGGCTGAAAAGTCCACTTCCGGTTGACGTGCGTCGCTCAAAACGTGATTGCTTAAACTCCCTATGTGAGAGTGGCCACCCGTAGAGTATGGGTTATGGGACTGGCAAGGATCACGTGAGGTTTTAACAGCACGGACGTTTACGATTTCATACAGGATTGATACCATTATCTTCTCTAAATTAAATAAGCCCCCCTCTCTACTGTTCGCCCTCCCTCAAACGTGCTTGAGATAAAAAAAAAAAGCCCCTGGGGTGCATAATAGAGGATTCATGGTGTGTCCCACTCGAAAAACGTAGGAAAAGGCGGAAGTAAGGCAAGTAGTTTAAAGCCGGTGTCAGGTTCTCAGAAAATAGGGATGTCGCGAAAACAAGGTCAAGGGAAAATAGTTTTCACGATGTCTGTACGTAACTATCTTGGAGCCTGGAGCAGGAATTGAAGGAATTACTCACTATGACACCCGACTACATGTTTTCTCCACATTAATAAGGCGATGGTGCCATGCGGTACCTTTTACGAAGCCAAATCCTAAATGTGAAATCACGACTGAAAAAATAATCATCTTTCTGTGAAATTTTTCTTTGGATTTTTCATCTTCCCAGTAATTGATCGGTGACTAAACATAGACATGAATGTCTCCAACTCCCCCGGGGGGAGGGGAGCACTCTCATATTCCGCAGAACAGGGTATGGCTTTCAAGGTCTTGAGTCTTTAACAGTGTATACAATTTTAGAGAAGAAGACTTGCGATGAGCGGTCTACATTTGAAATACCAATAATTGTTTTCCTCAATATCTATTTCCACGATTTTAGTGTGAAAAATTACTTAATTCTGTATGCAAAACACAAAAAATCAGGATCAGAAAGTAGTGTCTCCTGTCTTAAACAGGCTAGCGAAATGAGCAATTTTTGTCTTAAACAGGGTCGGAGTTTGAAGGCCTCGGAGGCACAGCTCTACCCAGACTTTCCTTGAGTGCCCCCCCCCCCGGGGGGTCCAACTAGCGTAGCTTGTTCTCGCCCCATGAAAGGGATTCGTATTCCGGAAACGGCGGGAAATTTTTGCTTGTGGCATCCGGAATCGTGGGCTTTGGAATCCGGAAGACAGCTTAAGGAATTCGGAATCCCGCTTACGACTGGAATCCGGAATCCAAATTTCACTGACAAAGAATCCAGAATCCAGTGCATGAAATCCAGAATCCACGGTATGGAATCCAGAATCTAAGACTGTCTTGGTTTATCTTACATGAGGCGATTGTTTCCTACATAAAAAGAAACTTTTCTTTACGTTTCAGATCAAGTATGTCAAATTTTCAAGCCAGCTGTTATTCCTACGTCTGTTGAGTGACCGCGCACGTCAGACCATCACTTACCACTGCAAAAACTCCATCGCTTGGTACGATGAACAGCTTAAAGACGTCTCTAAGTCCATCAAAATTAAGACGGCCAATGGAGTCATAATTCACTCAAGCTCTTCCAATAAGTTCAAGCCAAGGATAATTACGGACGATTGTCGAGTGAGTAAAAAAATGTGAATTCGTATGGTACTTCAAACTCGTAATTTCATTTTCTTCAACATTTAAACGGTTTGACTGGAAAATAAACGTAAACAAAGAATTTACACATAATAGCACAGCAAACGAGACTTCAACACAATGGATTGCATAAAGTGAAGTTATGTAAACTTAAAGATAATTTCCCCGTTAATCGAAACGCAGTATGAAAACACAAATAGCTTAAATCAGATCGATGACTAACCCTGTTTAACTGTCGCTGTTTTACTAAAACTGTTAGATGTCCTAGACAGTTAACGGAAAATATAGCAAGTTAAAGTTTTACTGAAACTGTCATAGTGTCCGCGTTACATCTCAATAAAGGTTTTACAGTGTGTATGAGTGAATACTCTAGACTTCAACCAGTCCCTTTTCGGTTTATTGTGGAGTCTTGGATGAAACTTAAGGCCCAAGTTCCCCCTGGGCTAGCAATTTTTATTTTCGTTCACTTCGCTCGATTTGCTGGCTCGCGTGACTGTCCTGAATCTAAACAATCGCGTTCCTCTCCGACTCGAACTTTTTACTCGAAACTTCATAATGTTTTTCACCCGTAAAGTGCTTAACCACAACAATGCTTTAATTTGGTCCGTGGTGAAGCGGACGGATTCCCGTAGACGGTACAAAACCATTGATTATTCTTTCCTTTTTCATCGCAGATCAAGAATGGCACGTGGCTTCACACAGCCATCCAAATAGACACGCCCAAAACCAACCGTCTTCCCATTGTGGATGTAGCAGCTTACGACATAGCCGATCAAAACGAGGAATTTGGACTCGAAATAGGACCTGTCTGTTTCTATTAACTTCTATTTTACTCTACATTCAGCCTACCTGTATACTCTTTCTTTGGAATGGAAAAATTCTTGGATGTGTAATATAAGTATTAACTTATTTTCTGATGTGACGTTAATTAATTACGATTTGCTCAACGACTGATATCTTTTGTGCGCTTTCCCATTCATTACGTACTCCTCAAAGTTGAAAGTTAATAGCTATTATCAGTGAACGGCCACATCTGTAATTTCTATTATTATATGGCAATGTCTCAAATTAAAGGACTGGAAACAAACAAATTCAAGAATCTGATTGGCTAAAATCGATCTTGACCACGGTCTAGATTTTCCCATCTAGACCGATCTTGTTGTAACAGTTGTCCTCAAAAAGTTACAAACAAAGAATATGAAAAAAATTGGCTTTTTTGTACAAAGTTTGTACAACAGGCTGGACTTAGAACAGTTATTTTTGTCCCGTTTGTACTGGAGACCAGTGAGAGAAGAAAGCCAACTAAATGCTTGAGCCCGCGCAGGGAAGCAAATAAAATTATTTTTGTTTTTGTTCCTTTGCTTTCTTGTTTGGCCATATAATAAACATCTTATTAACCGAGCTTGGTCGGTCTGTATGGGAGAATCTTGACGTCGGTCGCCGGGACAGACCTCACTGCGTTCGGTCTGTACTGGCGACCTCGGTCAAGATTCTCCCATACAGACCTCCCGCTCGGTTAATAAGAGCTAAATACAGTCAAACCCAGTTAATACGGACGCTGAAGGGACTATAGAAGGTATCGGTATTAAGCAGCTCATGTCATTCAAGTCAAAAAAACTCCTTTTATTAGAACAAAATACCAAAGAAATAGTAGAGGACATCAGCATCGTCAAATTAAACATCTCTAAATTTCTCAAAGCCTTCATTCCGCCGCTTAAATCCACGGAAACACTAAAAAATTGCTCACATATATTATTTAATCAAAACCGTTCTCTGCACAACTCGTTTGATACCAAAACTTGACGTCTACAAATCATCTTATCCGGCGTACTGTTACGCTCAGTGAAGCGCTGGGAACTTCAACATGCTGTCAAATAAGGGTTTCCTTGCCTCCAAAAAGGAAAGGTCTGTTACAGCACACAGTTGATAATGAAGTGTCCACATTAGCGAGGTTGGCTTTCTATGAGAATCCGTTGATTGGGGAAGAAATAAGTGTCTGTTGTCCGTATCAACGGGTGTCCGTATTAAACGGGTTAAATTTTGAGAAAATGTAAGGACTTTCCCAAGGGACAAAGATAACGGTCGGTAATAACGAGGTGTCCGAATTAAACGGGTGTGCTTGAACGGGTTTCGACTGTATTCTCAATTTTTCTACCAACAGCGCAACCTCGTTCCCAGGGTTCTCTCCTACCCGCCCTACAGGTAGGAGAGAACCCTGGGAACGAGGTTGCCAACAGCGTGGAATCTTGGATTGTTGCCGTTTTCCCTTTCGGCGGTTTTAGCTTAGAGCCATCTGGGTTTGCCAAATTTTTTATGAGTAATTTGCGATACTGAGGGGTATTCCCTTGCATTATCCACTTTTCTCTTCCTTTTGTTTTCAATATTAACCACCTTGGCCTGCAAATTTAAAAGGAATGGATTGAGGAACCGATATTATCCCTCAAACGCAGGCCTCACATCCTCAGTAGCTCTCCGGTCGCCGCAAGTGCCACCTGAAACAACGACAGGACAATTGGCTGAGATCGTTTATTTAGCAGATCCCCTCAACATGCAACTAGCCGGTCGATCATCGGTCCAATACGGTCCAATGAAATTGTTACTCTTTTTCCTGTTTCATTTTAAGTTGTGACTATGTGAGTTGGGGTGCCTTTTTTTACAATAATATTGTTTTTCCTGCCCAGGCTGAATATCATGTGTTTCTACCGATTTTAGGCTAGAAACATCCTTCTGAAAACTCTTACATTATAGCGTACGACATTTCCCCTTTAGAATATATTAGGTATTATTTACAGTGAGATCGGTATCAAACTGACTGGATGTCGAACATTTGGCTAGTGCAGCTGTTTATCGTTTTATAGTTTAGAGAAAGGAAGAATTTAATACGGTTTAGTTAAAAACATATAATTATAGAGTACAAAGGTAGTTTCAACACACAAAATTACATTTTTTTTAATTCTTTTCAAAATCCCAGCCTCGCTCGGATTTATTCCTAAAATATATTCCTAAAATTTCGCCAGTTTCAGCGTCGCTGTTCCATTTGCATGTAAAATAAATTCTTTATATGTAAAGAAATAGTGTAAATTTCTAATTGACCGAAAGCGTTAAAATTGCAGCAAATTTTGGAGACATTCGCCCAAATATAATCCGTGGACATAATAATGATAATAATACGTATTTTCACAGTTAAAAGTTAAAATAAGGTACGGTGTATACATTTAAATTGTTGCGTGTAGCTAAGAGTAAATGTAACTACTAAAAGCGAGTCAAAGAAAAATTAGTACGTAAGAGTTACACGCAACCACATACAGCTCCAAAAAGCCGAACGCTTTCGAGATGTATCTTGCTCTATTCTCTTATTTTGAAGCTGTAACTCGTTATAATTTTCACACGCTGCCTGTGTTTTTCTTGCCGTGCAGTTCGTAATATTTGTCTGAGAATTATTGTGGATACAGTGTTCGTGCAGATCGCCTCAGCTCTAACAATTGCTAGGACAAATGAAATCTTTGTTTCCTTTGTCACTGTTTTGCAAAGTTCCTGTTAACATGTGATAATCACCATGCAGGGGAATCGAGAAGCGCCGACCAAAAAAGAAGAAAGTTGACGAATGAATAACAGCATTTGCAGTGCCTGCATAGACGAGTGAAGCATTCCTTCTGATAAAAAAGCGGCTACTCCACATTCAGATAAATTGTAAAATAGCTCAACGCAGTTTCTATCTGAAGTATTCCATCTGTTTTTAAGTCTTCTTTTCACATATGTCTACGTAAGTCTTCATTGTTAGAGTTCCTTTCAGTGTTCTCCATCCTAAAAAGAATAGAAGAAAAACTCTTGCCTATTATAAAGAAGGGTGTTGCTACATGCAACGATGTTCCCATAGGCCGGAAACTTTCAGTTTAAACGTCTTATACATTGAACAATTAAATGACTTGTATCGTCCAAAAGTTGTTTCTTTTTATCCAATCACAAATGGCTTTTTTGTATTTACAATAAAAGTACGCTGTCGTTGTTACGTAATGTGAAAAACGAAAACAGTTTAAAAAATATCAACTTTCTTTTGTAACTTTCTAGAAATGTATTTGGAGGTGGTGAACGCTCCACGAATGTTGAAACAAATCTCGAAAACGATAAATAGACCATTATGGGTAATGATGATATATGGGTCTGAGTAGTTCTACTAAATTCAATTTCCTTTTGAAAATGATTGGCTATAAGCTGTGGATGGAAAAGAAATCGTGATTCAATAACGAAAAAACGTTTTCGAAGTTGTCTTCTCCTTAACGGTAATTGTTCTAAGAATTAAACAGATATTTGAAGTAGCACTTTTGCAAAGGAAAAAGAATGTTTTTTGGGACGTTTTGGGTACAATTAACTTGGTCACGGAAAGGTTAGATTGAAAACACAAAAGAAAAAGGGATTTGTCTTCACTTTTGTGGGAGAGAGAACGTATCAGAAGAGAGAAAAGCTCTATTATATATTGGGCACTAATTTAGGGAGAAAGGTAAATTGACTAAGCCAGAAAAACCTGACTTCGCACGAATGGGAAACTTGTACCGTTCATCGTTCTTTCTCAGAAGTCAAGAAATCGAAGGAGGCTTAAATCACCGATGGTAAACAAGTTAATTTTATTAGTATATTTTAACATAATTCTCTATAATATCCCAAAATTATGACACTCCTTGGTGTTGCTGAATTAACCTCAAATGGAACGCAGTCCGTGTTTTATTGCCCAAGCAGACCAATGTTGACATGGGTTTTAAGTGACACGACCACATTTTACATTGCATCGATCACTACGTCTGTTGCTTCTCCTCTTACCATTTTCTTAAACATAGTAGTGGTTATAGCTGTATGGAAAACACGAGAGTTACAAACAAACTCCAACATTTTGTTGGCCAGCATGGCGGCAGCAGATTTTTTAGTCGGAGCTGTATCGATGCCTTTATGCATTAGCTTGGACGTTTTACTCCTTCGTAAAGAAGTGAGCCAAGCGATCTGTAAAATTACTTTTGCAAATCAGCTGGTACTGTACGGTGCAGTTTGTTCGACTTTATATCATCTGACAGTGATCGCATGGGAAAGGTACCTAGCTGTTGCAAAGTGGAATCAGTACCATGTATTTATCAGAAGAGCTCGTATCAAGAAATTGATTGCAATCGCATGGATCCTGGCAGTATTGACTACGGCGCCTGTGCGTATTCTTAAAGCTGCTGGTGTACATAACATCTTAGTAGAGGTCTTTTACGGTGTTTTTGTTTACCGGCGTTGGTGTGCATGTCCCTTATAGGGTATTTTTACATCAGAGTTTATCAAGAAGTGAGAAAGCTGGAACGAAGGGAAGACTCAATTCGCCGCGCGCGAGTTAGAATGAGGCACGAGGATGGCATTGCCAAAAGGACATTAGCCATAACAGTTGTCTCTTTCGTCTATTTTATCCCATCGGTTATCGTTCTTCTCTTCGGAAAAGTTGTGCCCTTTCTTCGTACAAGCTCCTATTTCCGATGGTCAGAGCTGGTTATTCAACTCAACTCTCTTATAAACCCTATTTTGTACTGCTTCGTCCTAAACAAAAATTTCAGGAACGTGGTTTTACGAATGATGAAGATTAAGAAGCCCGTCGCTGTGGATGCTACCACCGAGCGACTCAGTCCAAGACCAGCCGGTCGTCTATCCCTGCAGTTGCTGAGTGTGCAAAATTTCAACGAGGAGCAACGACGAATTGGTCTCATCTCGAAGACTGAGAGGCAGGATTTTTCTGCGGTTGTTTCCGCTAATGTTGTCAACCAAACTGCTGAAAGCCGTTTTATCTACAACAATCAGCCAGTGGCTGAAAACAATCCCGTTGCTTCACCGTCTGAAGTAATTGTCGAGGTACATAAACCTTCCGCCACTCTCTCTGGTGTCCCCCGAGAAGAGACTGTTCAGGGAAAGAGCGCGGGCTCATTTCCCGAACAGCGGCTGGTAATCAAGCCTAGAACCCAGCCGCCTAACCGCCAAGAAAGAAAACACAGGCGAATCAAACCAGGTGGTCTCCAGACTTTTCCAACCGACGGCGACTCCAATATATCAACGGGAAAACAAGTACAATGTGCACCTTCCACGCCATGTTAAGTAGACTAAGTGTAAAACCATCTCAGTATATACACAGAGCAATCCAATTTAAATAGCAATCAAGTGCGGGAGAAAAAAGCAATTTTATTCACGAGCCTCTAAAACAGGGTCGCAGTAAGCCAGAATGTCAGGGGCACCCAACGTCAATTTTCGGAAAATTCTGTTCGGAAGACGATTTGAGATCTAGAATTTTCGGAACATTTGATGTAAAATTTCTTGCTTTCTTGCCTCTCCTAGGATTTTCGAACATAATTGCCCATTTTTAAGGGATTTTTACCCTGAAAAGGTCACCTAGAATTTTTGGGAGCCCTTTTTTTGGCTGAAATTTTCGAAAAGGTAAGTTTTAATCCCTATAATTTTCCGATCACTAGACTTTCAGCCAGGAAATCCGAACAGATGAAAAATTTTTAGGGGATAAAAATATGCCTATATCTACCGTTTAAATACTAAAATACGTTGAATAATGCTATTTTTAAGTGGTTTTGAACTGTATTAATTATCGTTGGGTGCCCCTCGAATGTTACAGAGCAGATTATTCATACATTTTTTAGAGGGTTATGTGTGGAGAGAAGAACTCAGAAAAATTTCTGTTTTCCAGATGGAACTGGACCCATAACCCTGTAGACACCAGTAGGATTCTCTAACCACTGGGCATGATAGAATTAGTGATGAACAGGTCATTTATCAGAGGCACCCAACAACTGTCTGTTTAATTTTTGTAAAATATCTGCTCGGAGAAGCAAATATTGCCTAGAATTTTCTGTATTTCTGAGGACGGCTACAAATGTCCTGATGACTTTTCCGTTCATGTACAGTTTTTGAAGCTTATCTCATAAATTCCCTACGATTCTCTGAAGTTAAATTTTTCACATTTCACTACCAATGTAAGGCTATTTTTTGTAGAAAAGAGGAAACCTACAATTTTCGGATTAAAAAATGTGATGGAGAGAGGAATCAGAAAAATTTTCACTGTCGTAATACGTTAGATTGCATCTACAGTTTTCAGGAAAATAATGCTGAAGCGCTTGTAATTTCGGAAAGACTCAAGTTCCCCTAGCATGACCGAACAGATACAAATTTTATAGTGCCGCTTATAAGAATGCATTTCTAGAGATCTAAAAGTACTCTAGGTAGCCTAAAAAGTGTTTTCAACGTATTTAGGAGAAAACCGTCGTTGGGTGTCCCTGATTTGTGGGCTGCCATAACACGATTTGGCAACAAAACTTTACTTTTTACCAAGCTCTATAGAACAGCTGGGCCTTTCGCTCTCATCTTAATAACAATTAATTATTTGCGACAAAATGCTGTGAATGTAAAAGGTATCATTTGAAATGTACTGAAAATGTTTTATAGCAAGGTCCCTATGCTTTGGGGAGCTCTTCATATAATCTAGCGAAAAACGTTTCGTTGAGCACATACTCTTTAGCCTTTTCAGGTCGGTAGAGAATGTAAACTTTATAGTATTTTCCGCGATGCATCTGAAGGTGTGTGATATCAATATTGCTGTTAGCTCCAACAATATCGCATATTTTTGGGGCTAAATGAATATGAACTGGCCATGGAAGCCCAAACAGAGTTCGTAACAGCAATTAATTTACTCCTAGTGCTTGACATTGCCATTAAAAATCTACCGTAATTTTTTGATAGGAAGGTGCAGTGGCCTCTCCATATAAGCTAGAACCAACTCGTTTGATTGGATTCACACTCTTAGGCCCGCTTCAGGAGAACAAGCGAACTATTCACGATACATACATCTTAAAGTCTGCAATAATAAATTGCTGCCAGCTAAGCTAATATAGCATACTTTATGATTTGAGTATCTTCGACACAGGCTAGTCGCGTTCGTCAGAACGCATCCTAATCTGGTGTTCGTGTGGCACAAAGGCAGAATTAATTTCATCCGGGGCATCTCGGCCGCAGGAAACTGGACTCCTTTGGACTCGCTTTTATTTCCTTTAGTCTGGTTTTCGAGCAAATGTCATGCTCGTAGAATATGACGAACGCGGATCCATAATCAATGATTATTACTTGTATATAGGGAATATATATATATATATGCAAAACGGGGACTCAGGGGCACCTAATGTCAATTTTCGGAAAATATCTGTTTAGTAGACGATTTGAGATCTAGAATTTTCGGAACATTTGTTGTAAAATTCGAAAAATTTCTTGCTTGCCTGCCTCTCCTAGGATTTTCGAACGCCTAAAAAATGGTATAATTGCCCATTTTTAACGGATTTTTACCCTAAAAAATTACCTAGAATTTTCGGGAGCCTTTTTTCTGGCTGAAATTTTCGAAAAGGTAAGTTTTGATCGCTATAATTTTCGGATCACTAGACGTTCAGGTAGGAAATCCGAACAGATGAAAAATTTTTTGGGGATAAAAATATGCCTATATCTACCGTTTTAACACTAAAATATGTTTAACAATGCTATGTTTAAGTGGTTTTGAACTATATTCTCGTTGGGTGCCCCTGGGGACTGGCTTTAACAACTTTGTCATAGAAATAGTCTGTAAAAATATTGTAGTTTAATCCTTGATAACAGTAAAAATATGGTGACTAATTAATAAATACACTGAATCTTACTTAGAACGTAACAATTGTATGAGGTCCTATTCGCATCCAGTTCACGGATACTGGCTTTGACAACTTTATCCTAGAAACGTTCTGTAAAAATATTGTAGTTTAATCCTTGATATCAGTAAATATATGGTGACTAGTAATGGTAACAGGACTGAGTGGAGTCCAATTCGGTCTGTAATCATACGAGTGATTAACAAAATCGGACGACCGCGTAGCGGGAGTCCGATTTGTTTAATCACGAGTATGATTACAGACCGAATTGGACGACATGAAGTTCTGTTACCAATTAATCATAACTTTAACAAAATTTGTGATACAATAGGCTATTTTTTAAATCAAAACACAAGAAATTCGAAATGTTGTTTTGCTAGCAGTGAAAAAAAAAGCCATTTCAGCGCGCGCGTGATGGCGCGTACTGTCCAATTACTTAGGCATGACGCGTAATGTCCTATTAAACTGTCCAATTAAGGCTGAAATCAGGGCAGTTGATAGCCAATCAGATTTGACAATTTTGTTATAGTTATGATTAATAAATACATTGTATGTTATTTATCTTGTTTACACTGGTCTCATACCAACGAAATGCCGTAGTCTTTCAAAGACAAAGAACGTGACAATTGTATGAGGTCCTATTCGCATCCAGTTCGGTATAAATCCTTTATAAAGTCCCAAAACACCCTCATGCTTTACAATTTGTATTATACAATGAATAGAATTCTTGTACGCTAGTGGAACTCCACTTGTAGCTTTCTTCTGATTCATCATACGAGTCTTGACCACATCAAAGGGTGACGTACTACAAGCAGTTACAAATCCAGCAATGACAGATGAGACTCCATGAAGGGCGGGCCCTTCCTCCATCAACTGAGCGTTTAAAAGTGTATGCTTAGTATGATCGTATGAAGGAATCTGTGCTGCTGTTAGAATGGCCGCACGTTGAACTGTCGGACCCACACCGGTCCACAGTCCTTTGATGCCTTCCATTCGCGCGATTGTCCAAAATGCGTGGAAAGTGTTCCGACACGCGGATCTCTTTCCAGGCCCCACAGCTTGAAAGCGCACCTTGACAAGGTCTGTAGGCGTGGCTATTGCGCTACCGATCGTCCCTGAGATAGCCCCTGCTGTAATCTTCTTCCACAGGGGGGTATGGGCGACATCTGTAGCTCCTAACTGCAGTTTTAATGGCTCATAAGCACCAAGCCGAATTGTACTGTAAGAACCTTCTCTCATCAAAGATGGCGCAAGCCTGCAAAAAAGTCATCAGCCATTAACTACTTAGTTCGCCTGCGAGCAAGCTCTCCTATTTGGGCGGGCGATGCAAGCCGCGAGAACGCGCGAGCGAGCAGCGAAGCCGCGAGGGGCCGCGCCTCCTCTCCCGCGTCCACTTTTCACGATCCCCCAAATGGAGAGCTTGCTCGCAGGCTACTAGTTAGTTAAATACTGTACTGTCAGGGCTTTTGTAAATGAGATCAGTTGTAGCGATTTATAATTGTACAAGGTGCCAGGATATCTAGGGGGATAAACCTTTTCATGGTTTTTTTTTTTTCAACTTTTGACATGTACAAGTTAGGGAAAATCCGTCGACACCACTGGAAAGAGCGCCTTAAAATTAGTATAATTGCCAAGTTTGAAAGTGATTTGTTGAAAACTAATGAAGATACACTCCTCAAAGTGGCGAAATTTTACAGACGTTTGTATGCTGGGGGGCACAAACTTGCCCAAAACAAAATAAGCAAACCTGTTTATGTTGCTAAAAAAGCATGAATGCAGTGTTGTGTTCAAGCTAGCCTGCGTAGCAGGCACTTGGAAGTAGTGGGCACAAGAAAGAACAGGTGGCCAAGTGTCTCCCTCTTGCGCGCCCATCCTTTCTTGCGTCCACTACATCCAAGCGCCTGCTAAGCAGGCTATGTTCAAGCAGCCCTTTGGTGCTGCTGCAATATTACAAATTTCCTTTATCACCCGACTGGTTTTAAGGAGAAGTAGTGAATGGCCTTTTTTTTTTCTCAGGAAAAATTACTTATTTCAGAAAAACAAGTGATTGAAAATATGAAGATTAAGGGAAAATATTCAAGGTAAAATAAAATAGCAGCTAAAATTCAACATTTCAAGGCTGTCACTAAGAAAGAAGGGCCAGGGATTCCCCTGGCTACTAAGAACAGGAACACCAGTTACTTGCACAGGAAGGCAAAAGGAAAATGGGAGCAAAAAAAGGTACTTCACTTACCCTTTATATAGACCTCTAAGTCCTTCTTCAGAATAAATTCTTAGTCCACCTCTTATAAATCCATTGTAATAACGGTCCTTGAAAATATTCCTACTGCTGTGTTTTGAGCCCAGTTCATTCTCAAGCTGCATGCGAATTTTTATGACATCTATAGGATTTGTGACTGCAAGATAAAAATAGAATGGCTATTCAAAATGACTGAAATGTTACTGTCTTAATTTGAAAGAAGCACACCTTTTAATTTAACAATAAAGTGGAGGGGGCTCTGTCCTCCGCAGAGGCCTCCTTGTCTCGTATGGAAGCTGGGGAGGGGAAGAAAAAAGCCCCCTCAGCGCTCTTGCTATTTTTCGATTATTGTCATTTTTATTGGGATACCCAGCGGGAGCTAGACTGCAAACTGTCTCTTGTTTTTCTTTTGAGTCACAGTTTGAAAGCATGTGTGAGGGGCAGGACATGTCCTCGGGGGGGCGACCCCACATATGAAAGGGATGAAGATGCTCGTCAGAAATTTTGAATTAAAACCCTAAAGGAGACCAATCTGGGCATGGCCAAGGCTTTTTTTGACCCCTAAAAGAGGCCACGTTAAAACACAGACAAATGAGAAAACTTGGCTTATATGAATGGAGTAATTAAAATGCATTAAAAACATACACCTCAAATATATATTATTGTATTTTTCGTGTGCAACCCTAAACGAGACCTTCACGGCTAAACATTATGGCGTTTTGACCAGAACACCCTAAGTGAGACCAAAAGTCCTAAATTTACACCCCTAAGAGTCCCACCCCTCACCCTCCACCCGCCGTGGACATGTCCCTAGTCTAAATTTCAAATAAGATCTTTTTGGGTTTTGAACCCATCTTCATTTTGTTTGTCACCATTTCCTCTCGTCTTGAGTCCCCCCATTTCAAAGCCATGTTCAAATCCTTGTAAATTTCAAAATTTTCAAACTGTTGTGAAATATTTCCTCAAGCATTAAAGGGCTCAAACCTCCTTTTAATTCATGACAGGCACATTGAGCTCTTGAGTGCATAAGGGAAAGATTTAACAACAATTTAAAAGATTCATAATTTACAAGGAGTTGTACGGAAAACCACTCAAGCATGTTGGGTGGCAAGAGTTGTTTTTCTCATACAAATCCTTCTAATTTTCGGTGGCCATTGCAATCACCACTTTTGAGATATACAGCTGAAAATTTACAGGTTACCTAATTTTAATATGCTGTTTCAGCTTGTGCTAACAAAATAGTAGTTCAAAAGCAAACTGCTTTTGTGTTTACCGAAAGTTGATCACAAAAGGCCTATTTACAATACAACATAAAAAAACTGAGAAATTACACATTTTAAAGCCTCTAAGATTGCCATGACTTCCATTCCATTGAGGAAATTACAACAGTCTCCTTCCGCTCTTCTTAAGGAAGACATCCTTAAACGCTTTTTTGCTTATCTGTGATTACCACACAGTTGGTTATTATTTCTAGTTGTGACACATGACAGTTTTTATCACTTGCTCTCTCACACCAGACTTCCCCACATACCAGTCAATGACCTGCCAACATTATATTGACCAATCGGCTATTTCTGGGCTGATGGAGGATTTGTTTACAACAAAAGAGTCTACAGTCCATCTTTTCGTGTTGTGTCCTAATCCCCTGTTGTAATGTTGTTAAGGGATAAGAACTGGACAGGGTATGTTTGTTCCTAGGAAACAATGCCCATAGGCTTATTGACTTTATCCCCCTAAGGGACGGACCATTAGAAAACTTATAGGGGGTGGTGGCAAGTGAAGTACAAAAAAATATTCGCACAACGGAAAATTAGATGAAAAAAAATTCATGCACGCCAATTAACCCTAAAAATCTTCATGCTACGGCCTAAAAAAAAAATTCATACTAGGAATTTGATAACGAAAAAAAATCCCTGCGCCTCAAAAATTCCCCAGCCCCCCAATAAATTTCCTAATGGTCTCTAATGCCCGTTCCTCATATCTGAGCATTGGGGTCGATAATTGTAGGTCCCCCATGGGAATGGTTCTAAGTTATACGGCCAAGTTATACAGCTCTCAGAGAACAGGTCGCCATATGCTACAGATAAATAAACAGGACCAATAGTGTCTTCATCCCATTATCTGATTATCCACAATTTTTTTTTCAGATGGAGCTGTTATGCTTTTATAAGTTACCTCAACACAACGATGAACAGTTTTCAGGTGGTTTTACCTGCACTCGCGGATAAGGGTACAAATGTGGGATGCATGAGACACGCCAAAGAAAGTAGAAAAAGCTTCCCACCGTACCCAAAACATAACCGAGTCACTGGCCAACAACAGTGACTTTCGATCTGTTTTGAGTAAGCTTAAGTTTATTCGCAAGTTCTGTTGGCAAGTAAAACATTCACGTAAGCTTACATCAAAGTTAAAACTCTCACCTGCTCCACCGCACATGTTAGATAATCCACTGAGCAGAAATCTAGTTGAATTTTCTGATGACCGAGTCACCATTTTGAGCCTTTCGGATATGTAGGACCCTCGACCGGTGAAGCAGAAGTTATTTGCAATTCAAATCGAATTCAAAGTGTTGTGGCGAATTGTTGTTGTTGCGGGGTGGATTGGGTTGTTTTTGTGACACACAATAAATTATCGTGCATTTCATTACCCTGGTCACGACTTGCAAGTCAAGTAAAATTCCAAAAGGTATAAACGATACGCTAAAACGAAACAGCTTAGTTTGTTTTGCGAAACGAAACAGACAACGAACTTGGGTACACAGATCGAACGTTATTTTTATCCTACACCCCACCAGTTGTCAATCACCCCTGTTCTGTCCAATGAGAACTTTTTCACGCGGGTAGGGTGGACACATATTAACTGAAGCCGAGCCAATCAGAAGCCGGCATCTTAGTTTTCTGGGTAGTCCACAGCCCTGCTTGCTTCGAGTTTTTCGCCGCCATCAACGCCGTTTCCACGCTTTGTAGGGTGGGGAAAGTAGCGCAAAATGGCAACGCCAGGACAGAAGGAGAGAGAGGCAGAACTTCACTCTGTGCTCAAAGCAGCGAACCTGCTAGACTACTACCAGAGTTTCCTCGAACAAGGAGGCGATGACATACAGCAGTTTTGCGATGCAAGCGAAGATGAATTCAAAGAAATTATCGCCTTGGTTGGCATGTCCACGAAGCCCTTGCACACAAAACGACTACAGAAAGCTTTGGTGGAATGGAAAAGCAAGCGAGGTCATTCTCCTTCTGGACGAGTTTCTGCCGGATCTTGGATGGACAAGTGGTCTCCTTCACCTCAAGCCAAACAACCAGTTTCTACTCCGTCGCCAGCGGGAACGAAAGGGAGAAAGAGGCTAAGTAGCTCTGGCACTCAAGGCGGCCCTGAAAAGCGAGTTGTTGAGCTGAAACTGCCTCCGATGGAAGTTATCATAGACTGGGAGAAGCTGGACCCCGAAAGACAACAGCTGATTAGAGATCATTCACGCATCTATGGTCGAGACTTGAAGAAACGCAAGACAGATGCACTAAATTCGCATGAGCAAATGATCAATGAAGCAGCCGCTCAACTTTGCCTGCGCGATCCGACGCTGCTCGTCCGACGCGATGAGTTGTTTACAATGGCAAGGCGAGTTGTCCGGGACAGTGGATTCACGTTTGTCCATGGGCATTCGAGATCAAAATTTTCCTCCACTTCTTCTGAAGAAATGGAAGGTGAGTTAAATGATTTTCGGGTGCTTTATCTGTTTATTGTGAGCATAATATCTTGCATAAAGCCTTCTTCTCTGCAGGCGTGATCCTTCATTCTTTTTTGAAATTTGAGAAGTCCTCTTTGTTTTCGAATGGTTTCGAAGGTTTTTGGTTCGAATTTCGAAACCGTGTGAATTTTGTGTAGTCACTGGTATTTTGGTTTGTTTTGGAAATGCAAGTGTTAAAACTTGAGCTTGGAAGCCCCAAGATTTTGTTGGAACTCTCAGCTTTCTATACACCGATTCTTATGTCTTATTGGGGAAGAGATACAATGTACTTGTCAATCAATCAATCACATAACATCACAGCCACAGCTGAAACTCGAACTCATAAAATTAATGCCCAATTAAACACCTACTGGTTGTGTTTCCACTAGGACAATTTATTATAGCGACTATAGATATACTTGAAAAGCCCTAACCTGTGTACAAAGTGTTTCTGCACAAGGTGAGAAAATGACATGAGAGCCAAAAAAAAAGAGGAATTAAGGGGGAGGGGAGAGAAGGAAACGCTTGTCCGCAGACCCAATGATTTTGAAAAACTGCGTTTGCCCAAGAGAGCAGCTTCTGATTAGTGCGGTGCTGATAGTGTTGATCAACTAATGATCAATACATCAAACCAGGTATGTTTTGTTCTTGTGTGTGTAAGATCTGGTCTGATCTGATCTCTGGTCACTGATTAAAAATGCTTTGGACCAATATTTATTTCAATAATGTTTGTGTGAGATCAGATCTGAGCTTAAAGGAGGCCTTGCTAGCATTGCTGTCACCAACCATCATTACAGTTTTTGAAAAAAGATTCGCAGCGGCTGTTCAAGATCATATTTCGATCTTTTAACCCAACGCATGTGACACATGTAAATAAGTACCTTCACATGTTATGCACCAAAAATAATTTTAATTTTGTCTCTAAAGTTTAATAATTTATAATTTTGCAGTTAAAGTTTACGTGGTCGAGGTAATTCGTTCAGTACAATTTCAACCTTGAACTTGAAGGTGCCCTAAAAGAAAGTTAAAACAACTATGTTCACCATGTTTGGGAAAAACAGGCTCCATATAAACCAAAAATTTGACGAGTATGATTTAAATCCTTGACTTGTTTGTAAACAAATTTTTCAGCTTTGCTTTTCTGATAAGGAGGCCGATCATTATTTCCCAATAGTAGCTTTGGCTTTCATATCAAGAATGACTGTACAATGATGCATGCAATGTAGCACAATAAGTTGCATGCTTGAGTTACCTTGCATTCTACACTGTAGCTCTTGTTACTGAAGGTTAACATGCTTTCTGTGTTTGCCTGCTCATTCTTCATTGTTCTATGATGCCTGCTTCATTGTTTTTAGTGTGATGTGAGACAAAGGGTGCTCTAGCATGCTTTGTTAGCATGTTACAGTCAATTTTTTTATGTTTTTAAGTGGAAGCGTGTTGTGAGCACATTATCGTGTTTGTCCCGGAAATCATATGGAGGGTCACAAATGCAAAATGCTATTGGAAGTAAAAACAAGAGCTTTTCTTGCCTTTGTGAACAAAACTTCATGCAAAGTTATACTACAGGGCTGTCATTAAGGGGCGGAGGCTGGGGATTTCCCCCGGCTACCATGAACGTGGCTCCTGGTTACTTTCAAAGGAAAATAGAAGAAAAATAGAAGCAAAAAAAAACCCTAGCTGCTTAATTTCGACCTACTTGTTATATTTACCTGGCACCACGAAATGTTAGTGACTACCCTGTATATTACCTCGTAAGATGGTATAAACTTGTCCTCATAATGTACCATAGCCAATCATGTTGCGGGTATAGGCCCGGTTAGGGTAAACCTCCAACAAATGGCATTGCCTTGAAATGGTAACATAAGTCTAGATGAAGTGGCAACAAAAGACATGACAATGGGTTAAGTACCGACAGGGACATGGCCTAACTTGAAACAACGATAAAACAATCTGGAATTGAGACTAGGGATATATGTACCCCTCCCCACCCCTTCCTTAGAGGGCCTCGGTAGTGACAGACACCTGCCAAATAACAGTGTTCTCCTTATCAGGCGGTAACCGGTAAAATTTACCGTCTGAAGCAACACTTCTTACTGCCTGCAACCGCTTGAATTAGGTTTACTAAAATTAAATAAGTTGTTTTAAAAAATATGTAAGTTGTGATCTGATCCAGTCAAGGTAATGAACGAATATATGGAAGTGTACTAAAGTATACACAGCTTTTCTAGAGCATTGTGTAATATTATTGGAATCAAATTTTTTAGTGTTGTCTAAAAATAACAACAGCTGATTTACGTAAGGTAGGTCTTAAATGAGGGAATGACATTTCAGAGAACTTAGGTCCTAAATTTCACAGCAAGGTCAAAGCCACGTCCCCCACTCCACTACCTCCCTCCCCCAGGAAAGTGCGCTTCTGCCACTCTTTTTTTTTTTTTTGCCTTACTGCCTATGAACGGTCCCTCACCTGCTGAACAAAAATTTATGGAGAAAACTGAAATAATCTAACAAAATTATTTACCAGACACTCCCCATTGCAAAATTGTTTTTTGTAATTTGAAAAATTGTTGTTTCTGAAAGGAGCTAAGAAGAATCAGGCATCACAAGCAAACAAACTTAAGCGAGAGGAAAGACTGGGTGAGATTGATGACCTTTTACAAAACAACAAGATATTGCAGGAGCAGATAATGCAAAAGCTAGAAGAAGCACGGGCACTAAATGCCACAAATGAGGTAAGGCAAATGTTACCAACCCAATCTTTTTATATGTAATGTTACATGTACGTCTTTTAATAAAAATGTGAATTATCTAAGTGGACCAAAATATTTTGTATGTAACACATTGCAAAGTACAACTGGAACAGTTCTCTGAAGTTTTCTTACAAAATAAACTTAAATACTTGATGCACATGCATTGTGATTAAACTGGAGACAAGATCAAAATGGAAAAGCTGACAACCTGTACTTCTATCTTGCATTTGCCAAGTGTCTAAGACCTCTTTCTGCATGCTTATGGCTGGAAGATGTATGCAGAGTTGAGAACCTGCAGATATGTAGTTTTTTGTTAAATAGTAGTTATTTAGAGCTGTGTCAAGAAAGTGAACATTATTTAAAATGCATGATCATTTCTCATCCTCAAGGTAAATGCACTGCAAGCTGATCTGAACAAACTGCAGGGTCAGCAAGTCTCTCTGCAGTTAGAGCACAAGGAACTCAAGAAGAAGCAGCGTCGCTCAGAAAGATATTACACTAACAAACAAACAAAGGATGGTGGCTCACAGAATGACAGTGTGCAAGGTGATGATGTAGAAATGGTTGGAGATGTGTCACTGCAAGATGATCTTACTCAAGAAGATGATCGATCAGAGGAAGGTTGGTTTACGGAGATCTCAGAAATTTTTAATTTTAAAGTTCCTTATATAAATTATGCTTGCAGGATTTTATGAATGCCATCTTTACAAGATGTTGATTAGTGTACAAAAAGTTTAGTTCACAGGATTTTGATTACAGCCTTCAGGCCAAATTTCAAACTTTTCGTGAGACGAACTAAACTTTAACATGGGTCGACCTAAATTAAGTTTAGATTGTCTGTTGAGTCAGACATTGAGCTTAGGACGATGCTGTCAAACCAATCAACTGAATCAGGCCAAAGAGCAATTTTAGCCAGCTAGTTGTTAATTTTCTCCTAAACGAGACTAAATATACGCTATCACACAAATTTTTAATTTGTTAGTTTAGTTTGTCACATATAAAGATCGATGTATGTCCCGTACACAGTCTCTAGACATTCTCTCTGTGAAGCAGACGGATTGAACATGTTGGACGATCCAAACTCATTCCGACGAACTTAACTGAGCCAGACGTCGATCTTTTCATGTACATTACTCACTAAGTTTGGCTCGTCTCATGAAAAGTTTGACATTTGGCCTAGGCCCCAGTGATTTTTTTATGCAGTTTCATTCAAGGTACATGCATCTGTTTTAGTGTTGCTTACGTCTGAGCCTTACTTTAAATTCAAAATATTTTTTATGAAACAAATAGGACTTGGTGAGGATAATGATGATGATGTACAGGAGACCAATGGAGATCAATCAAGGACAATTTCAGTTCCAGAGGCTGTTGTTACACAGATACTGCCCCCTGCTACAGGTAAATACACCTACAGCACGTTGAACAACAGGAATCTGATGACCATTCATGTTTTTCAAACTTTCTCTGCAGTCTGTTGTACCACTGTAGATGGCTCAGCTGTAGTGGCTCCCCTGCCCAGGGCTGTCATAAGGGGCCAGGAATTTCCTCCGGCTGCTATAAGCATGACATGCAGCCAATTTCATTAAGCAATAGACCACACTTTGTAATGGGTTTACCGGGTAAACCCATAGAAAGTGTGGTCTATTGCTTTTTATAAAATAACTTTAAGTTTTCTATGAGTTTACCAGCACAATAAACCATAGGTTTTTAACCAATCAGAAGGCACTTACTATCTGAGTTATTTTATAAAATGGAATATTGCACATACCAGACAGTTAACACACATGTAATATTCTTCTTATGAGTTTAAACCACTGTTGATGATCCTTTTGACCTTGGAGTTGTAAATGATTATATTGTTTTCATACATGTAACTCCAGTCTTACCTATGTAAGTATCGTAATTTTAAAGTACTGAATTTCTGGAGTGCAATTTACAGCCTTCATCATTGTCATCACTATGATGACACTGAATATAATTTATTGCTCAAGACTCATGTTTAACTTAAGCAGGCTAGTGGCCAGTGAAAGACATTTTTCAAATGAATTTTGTTGTGATGATGGTACATTTACCTCCTCTGTAAACTTTAGCTCCTAGAACACACTATGGTTAGTGTATTTGTCACTTAAACTGTTAAATTTGTGCGTGAAACCCCGTGGCATTGTCATTCAAATAAACCTTCACTAGTAAAACTCTTGAACCTGTCCACAATGGCCGCCGTGGGGACAGAAGAATGTGGCCGTTGTAGAGAGGTTTAGAATAAAAGTCAATGTATAGATTATCAAGAGAAGTGGCCATTGTGGAGAGGTGGCCATAAGTGAAAGTTCAACTGTACTTCACTGTATTCTGTGGAATTTATCTGAGTTTTTGAGTGAATTTTTTGCTTTGGCCACTACACAGTATTACATTGTAATAGTGAAAGGGTTACATCTAGGTTTTCTGAGAAGAGAATGCAGAACTAAAATTGAATTTTCGTCTGCTGTAACACTGTAAGATATGTATACCTGTAGTTACCCTTCAATAATCAATGTTTGCTTTTTCGTCGTTGCACTGTAGGTATTCCAACAACATCATCTAACACAGTTAATCTACCTCAGCGCCAGGAGCCTCTGAACTCAGAAGAGGATTCATCAGTTAGAGCATTATACACTGCGTTTATGCCCCAACACCTACAGGTAAAAATTTGTCAGTGATAATAGTAACGAGTTTAATAACTACATTTATTTAAATAATGATACTTAATGCATCATTATATTGGAAGTGTAAATTTTCAGTGCTAAAGGCTCATGTTACTGTCAAACTGAGAAAACCGTGAACACTGAGAAAATTTCAGGAATGTTGATTGTGCACTGGTCAATCACAATAAAGTTCAGGACACGCAAGCAAACTTCAAACCACAAACTAATCACCGTCGTTGTTTGCAGTTTTGTTTTGCCTTATTGGCGTATTTCTCGCAACACAATAACATTCCATAAATATTTCTGGTGTTCACGGTTTTGTGAGTTTCACAGTAAAAACCCCTCACAATCATACATTTATATATTTTTTCTTGTCACATGTTCTTTGAAGCATAGCCTTCATTACCCAGTTACTGTACATGTACCCTGGTCCCAGAGGTTTTTCTTGAAAGTTTTCTTCGCAAAAGAGAGAGCGAGCTGTGAAGCGTTGACAGTGAGTTGCAAAGTGGAGAGAGAGAAAGACCTCGTTACCTTGGCCTTGAATCTCACTTTCAAGCAGACAACAGCAATACTGACTTACTGCAAAGTCTGAAGCTCAGTTTCAATTACTGCAAGAACAGTGCACATAGACGTCAATTGTTAATAGGAAGTCTGGTTGAAAGGGAGAGGGACGGGATGTAAAAATGTACTTTCTGTTTTGGAAGAGAGTATAATGACTGTCTGATGAGAAGCGTTATACCACTTTTCATGTATTCCATTGAGAAGGGTTACTTCTGTGATAGGGGCTTGCTGAAAATACCTTTTGCTTTTGAGCCATACATACAATCTGGTGTTCTAAAACAAGACAAGTTACCCTAGTTATCATTCACATGTTGTAATGCTACCCTACATTTCACTAGTCATCATATAGAACAGTTAGGTTCATTGCAACAAAAGCAAGAAAAAACATCATTAAAAAAAATTGAAGTAGGCCCAGTGCTCTGAACTTGTACAATGTAAAAGCAAGGGTGCTCAGCGTAGGATTTTTATCGAAAAAAAAAGATTTCCTGATCACCCAAGATCAAAAGTAAGGCACCTGAGGCCACCAGGTGCTGCTAGAACTCAGCCTTGGTATTTGGTTCACAGTTCCAAGCCAAGTGTCCACATTACCAAAGCAAAAGTTGTCCATGTCATAGAGGCAGGGAATGTATAAAATTTGGTGCCTTTGCAAACAAGAAAATTTCCTGTTCTGGGGAGGTGTCCCTCTAATTCCCAAGAGTGACTTAAGTCAATTTTCTCCCAACAAAATCAATACATAATCAAGGGAAAATGTTGTGACAATAAATAAAATAATCACCTAATCAGGGCTTCTGATATTTCGCGGAAAAAAACGCAAAATTTCGCGGGATTTTCAGGGGCAAATTCGCGGAAAAATCGGCCGATTTCGCGGGATTTTCGCGGGAAAAAAAGGCAAAATTCGCTCAAAAATCGGCCGATTTCGTGGGAGAAAAGTCAAAATTTGCAGAAAAATCGGCCAATTTCGCGGGATTTTAGCGGAAAAAAGTCAAATTTTGAAGGATTTTCGGGGCAAATTCTTAGAAAAATCGGCCGATTTCACGGGAAATTTTGGGGGAAAACTTCTCCAAGAAACAATCAGTAAAAAACAGCCGATTTCGCTGGATTTTTTTGGCAAATTTCGTTAAAATCGATCAATTTTGCGTTGATATGACCAGCACTGTTTAACGTCTTTTTAACAGGGATAATCATTTGCTCTTTCAACAACAGTTCACTCGAGAAATGAGCGAATGCTAAAGTTGTTAACATTATGGTTAGTACCCAGTTGTTCGCAACGTTCATCTAAGAACGCCTGGTAGTTTTGAGACGTTGTTTACTCGTTGCAGTAACGAAGTTTCAAGATAAATTTGGACATTTGGGGTGAATAGAACAGGTCTAATAGCCAAGATAAGTATTAAATATGTTTTGCCGACATGTATTTGGAAATATTTCTGGCGGATTTAGCGGTATTTCGTGTTTTTTTGGGAATTTCGCGGGATTTCACGGAAATACCTGAATTTCGCGGGTCCGCGACCGCGCGAAATATCAGAAGCCCTGCCTAATGGGAAAAGCTTAGATATAAAGACAAATTCTCTTAACAAATTCTTCAAGGAAATGTATGGAGATCAGTGTGGAGAATTTATATTTGGATATTAGGGCTTAAAGGGTTAAGGAGAGTTTTGAATGTAGTTTAATAAGTTGTGCTATTTTCTTGTGTGGCAGACGGAGGTAGTACAGCAAGTCCAACAGCAACCAGAAGGTGGTCACAGTCACGTCATGCAAACTGGTTATTCGCCAGCACTGGTAAATGCTGCTGTGTCTTCTGATCCCACTATTAATGCCTTGTTAAGTCTGGGCGCAAAAGACAAGGTTTTGTTGCCTGGAATGCTGCCACCTGGTGTCTCTGTGGCAGCTGTTCCAGTCACCTCCGGAGTAGCTGTTACAACTCAAGGGATTACAGTGGTAATGCCTGGTCAATCATTGCAAGGGAATGTGAATGTACCGTGGCAGTGATGTGGTACTCTGTACAGTCTAGTTGTATCATGAAGTTCTTTGTCAGTTGCTACATAAGGGCTTTGACACACAGCTTTAAACAAAGGGGCTATGTCACGGCTTTATAATGCCAGTTATGCGGCATTCAAAATAATTCCTAGTTTAAAAACAAGCTAAAACACGCTTTAATCCCTCCATCGATGTTAAGTTCATGTTTGATAGTGCATGTTTATTGGCAAATTTAGCAGGTCGAATTCGGGTCTGCAAATATTCTCCAAATAGCAGATGTCATCCATCAAGTTGTCTTCTTGCTGTTCTTGCCATGTTTTTAGCCAATAGTTCACCTAATTCTTCCTTGTGAAACTAGTGAAATGTTCTGCCATTTTATGGTCACTACCAGAGCAACTCAACCTTGTCCCCAGGTCTTCTCGGTTAACGGTTCAATAATCTGACAATTTTGCTGTACAAGTGACATCTTTTTTCACATATCACAAAATTCTTCCAAATTTGGTTGACAGTGGCTGGTTGTGATGAATTTTGCATGGTTTTTAGCCAATCAGAAATGGAGAAATATTTTGAATGAATAATAATGCCAGTTATGCATCTTATTTGCTACAAAACTTGACAAATTATCTGTGAATTACAAAATCACAGCTCCCAAGCATAATATCAATCATTACAAACAACAAAAATGAACCTTGAAAAACTGTTAGGCTAACAATTTTTCAAAAATGACGATTGCAATCTCTTTCAATCTTCCTCAAGTTTGTCTGTCAGGGCTTCGTTTGGTATTCTCTGTGTTATTTAAACTTTTTCTAACTTTTTAAGCATTTTTTTTATGTTTCACTCTGACAGTTTGGTTGAATTTTCCTAAATTTTGTGACACAGCTCCTTTAATTTTAATTCAAACTGTGATAAAAGCCATACTATCTTTTCTTATACAAAAATCTGTGTACATAGTAATATTGAGGGGGTGCGTGGACTAAGGCTACAAATGTGATTTGAGAAAAGGAATCTGCTACTCTGTAGTTAATCACAAAGTCAGTTGTGGCCTTTTTTTCAGGCACTCTTTCAATAATAATATTATAATATAAAGTGTGGAATATACCACCACAAGTTTTACTTGATTGTTTTGAGGATAATATGGGATCATTCTGTTTATCGATAGCAGAGTTCCCTTGCATGCCGTACGTCAGAATATAAAACCATCAAGTTGAAATCTAAAGTTTGTGATTAACGCAGGCACAGGACTACCCAAGTTGATTACACTCGTGTTTGTTTGTAAGATTGTATGACTAAAATTTAATATTGTCATAGCTATATGAATACTATATGTTCGGTATACATGATTTTGGATAGTTAAATCTCTGTGCATTGAGGCCCCACCAAACAGGGGCACCCAACGACGGTTTCCTCCTAAATACATTGAAAACACTTATTAGGCTATCCAGAGTACTCTTGGATCTCAAAAAATGTATTCTAAGCAGCGCTATAAAATTTGTATTCTACTTCTACTATATTACTTCGCAAAGCCTGTACAGCATCACGCGAAGGATCCGTATATCAAGGTTGACCACAACACCGGGGTCTACGACCCCTACTCTTTACGAACAGTGTGTGGGTTCTTTAACGTCCCACAGTATTAATATAGGCAAGGATTGTGAGATGGGGCCTGTATTTGTTTGGTCATCCTAGAGGAACTTGAGTCTTTTCAGTATTTTTTCAGTATCATTTTACTGAAAATTTTAGATCCAATTTAACTTATTACGAAAGTGAGAATAGTTTTTCCAATCCGAACATTTTATGCTTAGCCGAACCTGGGGACTGAAATGTGAAAAATTAAGCCTCAGAAAATCGTAGGCAATTTATTAGATAAGCTTGGAAAATTGTACTTGAATGAAATGGTCATCTAGGAATTTTTTAGCTGTCCTCAAGTAATAGAAAATTCTAGGCAATATTTGGTTCTCTGAACAGATATTTACATGTAATCGAAAACAGTCGTTGGGTGCCCATGACCAAAAGTCTTTCCTAAATACAGTCGACTCTCTCTTAACGGACACCTAGAGTTGGTCCCTGCCTTTCTGTACTCCTTTTATTTGACTCTCTATAAGACGGACACCTCTCTAAGATGGACACTTAGTGCTGGTCTCAAAGGTGTCCGTCTTAGAGACAGTTGACTGTAGTATATAATTATCAGAGTGTAGTTCTAGTGTACTTATTTTATCATAACAGTACAATGTAATTTGCAATAGAAATTAGACACTTATTTTTAATGAAATTATGTCATTTGACATTTCTAAGTGGCGACATAGCCTTTTACCCGGTTGATCTATTCTGTACAATTGCGCTTGCCCTTTGTTAGTTTCAGGGATCATGCATATACACCGTGGTGATCACTGATGTACAAGTTTTGTTCATTAGATTGAAATGACACTGCAGAGTCATTGTGGTATAGCAGGCAGTGCTTTTGATGTCACTAGGAAACACTTTTTTACCTCAATCACCAGGATCTGTTTACTGCATGCCTATTGTCTTGGCAAACTGCCTGCCACATATGTACATGAACATACGATAAGTGAATAAATCAGAGTATTGATTTATTTGGTAGCACATCCACTTGGTGATTCTTCGTTTACCATATTCTTCACCAAATTAAAATTTGTTTGGAAATAACTGTTCAGCGAGAAAGGTGTAGAACAACAACAGAATTCAATTTACACAGGGTGTTGTCTCCGGGATCCAAACTAAGCTCACATTAATATTACTGGAAAGTGGGTGGTGGCTGGTGCTACGGCTGCACCACCCCTCTCCCCCAGCTCATCTTATTTTAAGAATGTGTACATGTATGCAATAATGAGGCCCTCCTTTTTGGAGAGGAGGTGGTGGGGTTACCTGTTGTTTCGCTTGTTGAGGAGAAAGCTGTGTTCCTGTTGGTATTTACTTTTGTCCTTGTGCTTTTCTTCGTTGCTGTGGCAGTTTTAACCTGCCTTTTGGCCACGTCGCTAGTCGGAATTAATGTTGTAATTACTTGAAAATTGAAAAAAAAAATCAATGTGTCTTTATGTGCCCCAAAAAATTGCCAGCGAGTAATGGAAATGTTGCAAAGGTTATGGTCGTTTTCATTTCTGTAGATGACAGATGCAGTCTATAACGAAGGTCTGAATGGGTTTAGTGTTTAGTGTTATTTGCCCTTAATTTTTAGTGTTTGCTGTTAAATTGGCCAATTTTTTAATATTTACTGTTTCCGAAGAAAACACTGTTATTAGTGTTGGGAGGGTTCTTCGGACACCGTCGGCAATGGTCGGATCTCTTCGTTAGTCTTTGTAAATCTGAAATAATCCGGAATAGGCCATTTGCACGGTGGCGTCGTTTTAGCACTAGAACCAGAATACTCTTCGTTTTTCCTTTCATATTTAAATTTGGAAATCCCTGCGAGGTTTAAATTAAAAAAAGCCCTAATTTGCACAAGAAAGCAAAACCCTGAAGGATTCTGGTCGTAGTAGTAAAACGACGTCATCGTGCTAATGGTCAATTGTCGCAAAATAGCCCAAAACTCCTTGATATACTGAACGAAATAACATTGGCCTTTTTGGAGCAGATTTTGCTTCTTTCTGGAAAAAATTTCCTGTTTCAAAGAATTTTTCACTATTAGTGTTAAAATGCCTAAAATTTAACTGTTTCATGTTACAAAGCCAAACAATGAAGTGTTTAGTGTTATCGAGGTAACCCCCGTTCTGACCCTCCATAACAACTCTTCAATGGAACTTGTGAAAGGATATATTTACACCTGGTACCTCTGGTCATAATTTATGACTATCAGACCTTGATCTATCCCTTTTTTGTATTGAATTATTGGTGTGAGACTCGAATTTGAGATTGTCGGTGTATTTCTCGCTTAACTCTCATTTTAAAACAACTGCGTCACTTTCAACCAAAATGTGCATTTGTACTGTATCTGTAATGTTTATAGTCTTCATGGGCTCATTCGTAAGGTCAGCCAAGGACTTCATTTCCTTTTTTATCATTATTTCAACAGAGGATGATTTTAAATTATTCGATTATTAAAGTTTAATGTAGAAGCTACGTCACCTATGTATACTTAACTGATTATCCATATCATACCTAAATATATACCTAAGTATGATGAGGTTCTAAAATAAACTGGGCCTTCCATGACCAAGGGCGCGATCCATTCAACGAAAATTTCCGGAAATTTCGGTCCAAAACCATATGGGCTCCTGCCAAAACGCAATGGATCGGTTCGGTCCAACCGGAAAAGTTTCGAAAAAACTGGTCCACCTTTTGAGGTGGTCCTCTTTTCCCGGGCGGACCGGTCTGAATTTTGGTTGAATTGATCGCGCCCCAAGTTTGTGTAGTTACTCTAAAGTGAGCTTAACCTTCCATCGGTTGTATAAATCAGTGTATACTGCTGCATCGACATTCGTAGAGAAAGATGTGGTTGGGCCTGGCTTTTATTAACGGCGAACGAAAGTTGGGGCGGTTGAACAGCACATAGGGTCCTATAGGTACTAACCTGTACCCGGGAGGTACTTTCCTATAAAAGTGATGGGGGGTGCTCGTATGAAAATTTCGAGAACACCCCTAAAAGGTACCAGAATCTTGTTTTATGGGTGTGTCCCAAATTCATTTCCACCTCTAAGAGGTACCAGTTTAACAACAACAAATCAAATGACTGTCACTTTAAATTTTAATAGTAATAAAGACAACTTTTTAACACCTTCTTCTCAAGGACTTTTTGAAAGTATTATCATAAATCGTCATCCTAATCAGTCATTTTAGGTTTTAGCACGTTGAGTGTGACCAATCCACAAATTTAAGCCCCTAAAAGGTACGACGAGCGCCCCTGTCACTTTTATGGGGGAGTACACCCCCCCCCCCGGAACCTGTACTTAGACTACTCGAATACATTGACACGTTAAGAAGCCGTGATTCTTGGATCAGCTGCAAGCCCGTTGGCTGCGTTGGAGCTATTTCCAAAACTGTGTACCATTTAAATTTTTTAGATGTTCTTCAAATTAATGTATGAGCCTACGAAATAAATTTGTTAAAAACATGAAGTTCACTTATTAGTATAACTGAGTTTTCGTCTCCAAGTATCAATGCCCTAAGTAGTCCAAAAAAGAAGGGAAAATTGGGGTGAGCAGAATTGGGGTTCACCAATAATTTAACAAACCCTCTTCCATCCCTTTGACAACTTGAGCCCGCTTCTGTTTTCGGATCGCTCCTCACCCCCGCGGGGCGCTGCTCAATATTTTACAATTATTCCTCGAGCCCGAATGGGCTATTGACTCAGAGGCCATGAGGGCGAGAGGAATAATTGTCTTAGTAAAATCCAATTAGTTGGTCAAAAATATCGAGACAAAAGAACTTTAGCTTGTAAAACGCGATTCAGCCGCCATTGTTTTTGTTTTCAAAGCTGGCGCTTTTCACTATCAGTGGGCTAGCCTAGTAGTAGCTCAACCAATCAGAACGCAGCATTGATAATAGACCACTAGCTGGATTTTACTACAGTCTCATATGAGGAGGCCCGAAGTGCCACCCCTTTTCCTCTTACATACCATTTTTGACAGAAACTAAATGGCTAAATGGCTAAATTCTAACTATGTGAATGACGGTACTCTCAACAACAACAACAACAACAACAACAACATAAGCTTTATTTGCATGACTATTGCAGTACCCTACCACTGAAACAAGCAACCGCTGACAAAAGTGTGTTTGATACGCGCGTCCGCGGGAGGACGCGCCAGGCGTTGTGAATTTGATGGTGTATTCGCGTTTCTTGATCTTTCTTGAGTCGTGATTTCATCGAGAGCGACAAAATTTTATCCCCAAAGGTAAGAAAGCTTTTCATTGCGTCATTGTTATGTAGAAGAGTGACTTATGTACTTGGAGAAATGGCCGGCCACAGTAAACAAATTGCGTAAAAATCGACGGGGACGCACGTTCATACTGACTTGTTCACGGGGCCATTTAGCTTTTAGCTCTACAAAATCTAATCAATATTGTCAGGGTTACACATACGTGTATAAATGGCTAGATTTCCACTGACTTTTCGTTCATAATACGGGGTCAATTTTAACCACCCATAAAAAGAGTACCTACTCGTCTGTTTGCATGCAATCGCGCATGTAAGCCTATAAGCAGAAGCTTAGGCAAGCGGCTCCATGAGGGCTAGAATGCAGAATACCCGGCCCACTAAATATCTAACTTAAAAAACTGTGCCCGCAGTCTCGCAGTAACCGTAGTTGTATAGCCACTCATTATCCACTTTTCAGTGACTGCGGTAGTGCAGGACTGCAGGAGCACTCATTTTATTCACTTAGATTAGTATTCGGCCTAATAGATCACAACTGTGGGACTGCGGGGAGCAGTTTTCAAGTAGGAGATTAAGTGGGCCAACTATTCTGCAGTTGCTCAGAAATAAGTTGCAATTTGCTTGATAACTTGCAAGGAAGCTCTCCAGGTTGCTCTGACAGTGGGGAGGGAAAAGGAAGGAGAGTTTGCAACTACATCTCTGGAATTTGAATATCTGTTTGGAAAAAGTCAATATGAAATGCTGACTGGTGGAGATGACATAAGTAATGGTGCCATTACCCTTGGCACATGTTTTTCAATGTTTGTTTACATTTGCATTCGTTTTTGCTTCATGCTGATCGGCCTAAATCTGAAAGCTCAGTTGACGGAGAGCCACAGGAGAATTGGAGGTGAACTTTAAATTCCAGAGATGTAGTTGCAAGCTCTCCTTCCCTTTCCCACCTTGCCTGAACAGGATATGGTTTCTGTCGTCTCAGGGTATTTTTTTTTGCGTGAGTCTGTCATAAGTAAGGTATATAATTTAGTGTCAGGCTGTCAAGTGTAAACAGGGTATTGCCTGCATGATTGGGTTGCTTTGTTTTATGAAATTTGTCAGTGCTCAAGTATACAGAAGCAATGACTATAATGTGAATTTTCTCATTGCAATTGCCAGCAAGACAAAACAGTGTTCATTTTGTCATTTTTTCTAAACAGGGTAATAAAATTGATAGTGAAGTTATGAATTATGAAAATCATGTATGAGAACTGCGGGGTGAAAAAGACCATCACAGTTATGGACGCAACTTTTGTAGCCTGCATAACAGGCCAAGTGAGCCAAGTGAGGTGAACGCGGCATTTTCTGCTGTCAGTCAATCCTTGTGGGTGTAGGTGGGTGGAAGAGGCAGAACAATAGACTCATAATGCATGGTTCAATTTTACTTGAAACCATGCACCCTCCCTCCCTCCCCAGGCACACCCCCTGGGATTTGCAATTCTTTTTTTTTTGTTGGAGGTCTATTCCCTACCACTGGGCACACAGAAAGAGACAATTCCCCACCCCCGAGCTCCTGATCGACAACCATATATATGTTTTTTGCTACATCTTTTTGATCCGTACAAAAGCAAAATGACACGTTTTCACAACTTTTATGAATGTTTTTCTGAGTTTATC